GGGTGACACGTGGCACCGCGTCTACAGGAACCCAATGCCAACGACAGAACACACAACGGGGCTGAGCTGTGGATATAATTATATGATCCCACGGGATGAAGTATGGTCAAAAAAATCCCCCAAGACCCGGACAGGCATGGGGAGGCTCTCATCCAGCAGCGGAGTGACAGAAGAGTGGATATACGGCACTCGGACGGTAAACAAACGTCTGTCCTTGTGGAAGAGGTACGGAGATGACACGTCCGTCATCTGGCCACATGGCCGACCAGCTCTGAACCAATTCCTCAACCACATCAATTGCATACACCCAGCCATCAAATTCACCATGGAGGTGGAAAAGGATGGCAAGCTACCATTCTTGGATGTTTTAATCTAAAAGAGACGTGATGGCTCAATGGGACAAGGTCTACAGGAAAGCCACCCATACGGATGCCTACCTAAAACCTGACTCCCACCACCATCCATTCCAGAAGAATTCCCTCATCAAAACTCTACACCATAGAGCTCGATGTATTTATGACCTATATCACCTAGCCAGTGAACTGGAACACAATGGATATTCAGACTACACAATCCGTAAAGCTATCACCCCAACCGTTGGGAAAGTACCATCTGAGAACACAATCAAAACCATCACCTTGTCATACAAAGCAGGGGTCAGCAAAAATACTTCTAAAATCATGAGCAAACACAAGATCCAGGTTCGATTCAACACAGCACATAAAATTCGTGATCTGATCCCATCTGTGAAGGATGTGATCCCTGACATGCAATACCCCGGCAGTCTACAAACTAAGCTGTGTCTGCGGCAGTAGTTACATTGGGGAAACTAAGCAACATGTCTCGGACCGTGTTCGTGAACATAAGGCAGATCTGAAACACGGGAGGACCAATACCTCGGCCGTGGCTGTTTTAATGCGGTGTGCTCACACGAAATTGATTTCTCCAAGACGAAGGTACCTTGCAAACCCTCTGGCTATCAACAAAGATTCGTTTATGAAACCGTCCATATATACAGACACAATTTAAACCGAGAAGATGGGTACAAACTTAGCAATCATTGGGAGGACGCTATCAACCAGTTTAAGTCATAACTGGCTGTGATGTTCCCATCCTACCACCTTCCGATGATAGTTGACATGATAATTATGATAATTGGTTTTTTTTACCCTTTTATCTGGCAACAAAACTGACCCCTTTTTTACAAGGAGTTATGTTTGCATAGACCACAATACCTGCAGTCGGAATGCAAACAAAAAACATAACTCTGATAATGTATCAACTTCAAGGACAGTGCATACATTATCAGAGTTATGTTTTTTGTTTGCATTCCGACTGCAGGTATTGGTGGTCTATGCAAACATGACTCCTTGTAAAAAAAGGTGTCAGTTTTGTTGCCAGATAAAAGGGTAAAAAAACAATTATCATATTTTTCTACTGGCAAATGAGGTTCCAATGGTGATAGTTGACATGTTCGGATCTCCGATTTTACAGTAACACGTTACATTTCTGACACTAAACACAGCCACCTTCGCGTGCCGACCTAGATCTTACATTAACATGCTCATCTCTCACATTAACATGCTCATCTCTCACATTAACATGCCCATCTCTCACATTAACATGCTCATCTCTTACATTAACATGCTCATTTTTACCTGGCAGCCCTTTAATTGGTGGAAAACCCACCACCGTCGCGGTCGCTGCCCACCACTAACTATTCGCTGCCCCGCCCATGCTGCTGATATTTTGGCTAGGCCTATTTCAAACCTTGATAAACAGGTTGCCTTTAGAAGCTAACCACCTTTTCCTGATGATGACCGCTTGTGTTGCGATCGGAACGTCGTAGTTTTTTTGTTATTTTCTTTGAACCTATCTACGTTACTTTACCGAAAAACCCCAAAAATAGGTAAACAAACGACTCAAGCAAACGCCATCTTTGCGAAGGAGACGTGGCATTTAAAAAGGGAGCTCACCGCACAAACGACAAAGTCAGCAATAAGAGACAAGGGGTCAGGGCCGCTGGGCTGCCACTGCTGAATTCGGGTTCCAATTGAGTTGGTGGTCTCGGCCTACTCACCAATGACTGCAGACACACACACAAATGAACCACATCACATTACTTTACATGTATCACTCCCGTCTATATTGTGTGGACGGGAGGTTACTTGAAAGCATCCCAGGAGCAGTTCCGTGATATCTTCTTCAGCGGACCGTTCTCAAGCACGGGGAGGGGGGCGCACTGCCGCGGCGCGAGACTGAATGGGCACGCAGCCTCTCACGGCGGCGTGGCGACGACGGCGCAAGATGCGTTTGGGAAGTCAAAATCAAGCGCACGTAGAGGGCAGGAAGAGACCCAACCCGCGTTTCCGCAACTCTCAAGAGCGAATACTGACCTTGAAGACCTGTGGGCCCAAAGGTTCCTTGTTTTTTCCTTGAGCTAACCACATTTCCTTTTTGTTTGGTGCCAAAGATGTAGATTTTAGATTGGATAAAGGTATCAATGTGCTCAAACAAGCACTGCAACTTCATGACGGCCATGAGCTCATGGGGGAAATGCCACAGTCCTATCGCAGAAACACGCGAGTTATGTCAAGCTGGCACCCCCGAGGACAAGCCCCTCGACCCCCCGCCTCATCATACTCTCCCACCTCTCCCCTCGACGCTCCTTCACACGCTCTCCACCTCCAGCCACAAAGGCTTTCTGTCGAATCTCCCAGTCAACGTTTGCTCAGTGGGAAGTCCTCTGCTGCCACCATTCGCAACTCTTTCCCCCCAGGTCTCCGTGATGTTCACTCCCTGGCCCTGTTCACATCTAGGTTCAAGAGCTTCCTTTTTCTACCTTTGACTGACTGCCTCTATGAAATGAATGTGCCCATCACTCCTCTGCGGGTTGTTCAAGGCGGGGAGCATAAAATACAACAGTGTACACCAATGAGTTTGGCTCCACTGGCCAATAAGTAACCCCATAATCTATAACAACCATCCGTGCATGGTGGTCGCCCATCCACACGCTATCCAGGCTCAGCGCTTCTTAGCTCCCTGAGATGCGCTGAGCGCGGACGCTTACCGGGTGACATGCCTGAAGGCGCCCACAATTGCGGCGTGATATTTGTTTCACAATTCTGATTGCGCGACTCTGGTCGTGTCAAAATCACGAGCAGCTTGTACAAGCTCCAGTACAGTGCGTACGTGATTTGGCACGCGTGTTTGGACATCAAATCTGATGCACATTTGCATAAAACACAAGGCCACTGAAACTGCTGCTGCTGCTCCAGCATCGCAGTGTGGTCACACATTCCACGCCGTGGGTGTCTGTGCAGATAACCTGCGCGCCGTGTGGGTCTCGTGCGTGGCGTGAGTGTGTCTCAAGAGCAGGCGTGTATGTTGCCAGGCTCAAACGGGTCAGTGATTGCACAACACTCAGGGATGCGATATTTTAAGCAGTCTATATGGCCTGCAGTGACACAGCAATCAGAAATGTGGAAAAATAGAAAGGAAATGGAATAAAAACTGAAAATGGTGTGAACAGACAGAGACAATTTCATGCTTGTAATTTAACCGAGACCGAAACAGGAATTATTCCATTGGGTAAGGCGCAAACAATATCCATCTTATTCACCGATTCATAACTAGATATATACTCTCTGCCACCTGACAATCAAGTCAAGTTGTCACGTGAGCAAACATGCCAATGGAGTTGGGTTTCCAGGATATCCGAGTGGTGAAACGCATGCGATATTGACAAATGTATGCATGTTGAATTTCTTTCGCACCGTACGTAGCCAACCGTGCTAATCAGAAGTGCGGGACACGCACCGCGTGGCCTGCTGAGAGAAGCGAGTGGGGCTTGGGCAGGAGGCTCTTCGCTCGGAGGGGTCGCGGTGGCCGAGGCGACACACAAGGGGCAGCCAGAGCGTGAAACACGCCAGCAGAGGACGGAGCGACGAGATCAGACCGTACACACAAGCAGCACTGCAGGGACCATTGCAGCACTGCAGGGACTACTATATTGTAGCACTGCAGGGACTACTATATTGTAGCACTGCAGGGACTACTCTATTGTAACACTGCATGTACTACTATATTGTAACACTGCATGTACTACTATATTGTAACACTGCATGTACTACTATATTGTAACACTGCATGTACTACTACATTGTAGCACTGCATGTACTACTATATGGTAGCACTGCATGTACTACTATATTGTAGCACTACATGTACTACTACATTGTAGCACTGCATGTACTACTATATGGTAGCACTGCATGTACTACTATATTGTAGCACTGCATGTACTACTATATTGTAGCACTACATGTACTACTACATTGTAGCACTGCATGTACTACTATATGGCAGCACTGCATGTACTACTATATTGTAGCACTGCAGGGACTACTCCACTGCAGGAACGAGCAAGGTAGCGACGTCTTGGGATGGCCTTCCAGCTCGAAGCGGCTGGTGAAGACGATGGTGAAGGGTGTTCAACTTGTTAGTTGCCGATGCCCACGCGGCATTCTCTCAACGCTCGTGTGGGGGGGTCACTTCTACAACGCCCCGGGACGTACAACGGCCAGAGCGCTACGGGGCACGGCTTGCTGCCCGAGTGGCTAACACTCCCAGACTGAGACATGGGTCCAGGTCTGCCCGAGTTGCTACATTTTGTCAAAGGAGCCGATGGAGCTCGAGGGCTCTCATTAACCGGGGGGGTCGTTGCGCTACGGAGACTCGTCCCAGGCGTGGGCCCGGAACATTGGACAGCCTCTTTTATTTCGACTTAAAGCTTTCGTGACTGCAGGGAATCATTTTCTTGGTTCTTTCGGTAAAGTCACGTAGAAGGGAAATAAAAAAAAAATTGTTATATTTTATTATTTCCCTTCTATGTGACTTTACCTAAAGAACCAAGAATATGCAGACTCTTTTACTTTATACTTTTTTTCCTCTCGGTAAATATTTGCAAACTCGTCTTATTACTCACATACCGTACAAAGGAGAGATATAACCACATCGTTTAATAAACATTCTCTTTGAACAAACCGAAAATACCAGACCAGGCAAGACTCTCATGGAACCAGTTCTGCCACTGTATGACTGCCACGTCTGCTCCCACTGACAGCGCCGCATATTTGCGGCGCGTCCTGCTGCGTGCGTGCTCTTCACCTCTTCACGCCCGGAATCGCGCGGCGCACGGCACGGGCCTTCTTCGCCACGCTTCACGTTTGAGTTGCGTCCAAGCGGCAGAGGCCTGCGCGGCTCAGCTAAAGTGACTTTCTTTCTGCAGGCGAAAAATCACCACGCGCACGGCTGTGTACAGCGACACAAAGAGCAAAGGCCCATTACCGCGAAGCTTTGCAGAAAGCAGAACGCTGCAGGCATTTTTGATTGCGAATAAAACATTGTTATTTCCAGCTCGGCCCTAAAGCTTGAGTGTCGTGCAATTCTCGATAATAATAATAAAGCACACGCCGATAATGCAAAGTTGTTGCGGTTGTTGATTTATGCGCGCACGACCGAACGTCCTCCCAGGCAGAGAAACCACAGCAGGTACCGGATGCACCACGAATCACTTCTCATGGCGTTTTCAGCTTCGTGTTTTTCACTTTTGACTGCTTTGGACGTGAAACATGTCACTGATAGTTCATGTCATGGTGAGAAAGTGGTTATAATCGGTTCTTGTGGCAGAAAAGTGGCCAAATCGACAAAACACATCAACAATTTGATGACAAATCATGTCTGAGGCTGCCTTTACACCAACGCAAAAATTAGACCCAAGATGCATTACACATCTGACCACAGCCCCCGCGTGTCAACGGCAGGCCAGCTGATGTGTCAATATTCCCATTTTGAGATTTACCAATCTCACCAACTCCAGTCCACCAATGTCACTGCTGCAATTCGTCGGGAACGCGACCATTTCCTAGCTTACAAATTTCCCCTTTGCCAAACGGACGCCAGTTGACAGTCATCTACCGCGAGCCCATGAGCAAAAACCTCCACGGGGGTCTCCCATTTCCTCCAGCGCCCAACCCCTTCGTTCGTATCCCCCTCGCGTTCCCCGCGGGGTGCGAAACAAACACGAGCGGCCTTCACGAGCCCGGCAGACGGCGTGGAAACACCTGCAGCAGCGTCCACAGGCGCCGGCTCGGACGGCCATCGCGCAGTGACAGCAGCAGCCGCAGCGACGGCAGCAAATGCATCGCCCGCCGGATCCGCTCATTTCCCCCGTTTGTAAGCGACCTGTTTGTATTAACTGTATACAATAGGAAGAACCCCTTTTTTCACAACAATCGGGTAATTTTAGCGACCCCGTTGCTATATATATATATACGCACAACAGCGCTGGCGGAGCATTGTGTTTGGCGGAAGAGTGCATCCCGGCGTGCGACCCTGCAGCTCCTGCAGCTCTGCACGAATGTGGCGTGACGTTTGTATGCGCGAGACGTGCACTTGATGACTTCGCGGGCAGCAGCCTTGTGGTGCTGTTTGCCTGCATTGTCTGGCTGCTCTTTGCCGGATAATTCAGGCAAACGGTCGACAAAACCATAACTTGATGCCACAAGACAGTGGCAACGGATTGTAAACGAATGCTGCGATTAAAGAAATTACACGTGTGGTACAATGTATGGTTTCAGCTTCTGCGGACAATTGCATCATCTCATTTGCACGTCCGCCAAAAATAAGAAATTCTGTAAAGTGCGCATAATCGACACGATTCCACAGACAGCACGTGACAGCCATCGGACTCGCACTCAGAGCGTGCGACCGTGGGAAGGGCATTTATTGCTGCAAGGAGAGAGAACACTCGGCACGAGCCTGAAACGTTGACTCGGATCATAGGCCCACCACACTCCTCACGAAAGGATGAGCCACGCATTCCAGGCAGGACGATCCGTTCAACAATCCTGAGACTCAGGGAGACTTTTCTCAGAAATAATTAAAAGTCTCTTTTAGGTCAAAGGTTACAAGCATTATTATTAATGGTGCCAGAAACGCTGCCGATTTGAAAGATACATTGTTGGTGGCACAGAACAGTCGACCACAACCGCCAACGCCACGAGATTATCAACCAGGAACGTCGCGGTGTTGCTCGCTGTGACCAAGTGCACCGCCACCACCACCACCACCCATCTCGAAGTGAATCGAGGCATTCTTCGTGTGCAAATTGCCGCAGCTTCAATCAACAAGAAGCAAAACATAGGGCTGGCAAAAATAAACTCCCTACGCCGGTTCTTCACAGCAATAGACGACGCCGTGTCACTTTACACCCTGGCCACACAACGCTCAGTCACTCTGCGTGCGCACGCACTAGAAAACCTGCATATGAAATTACAGTTCAATTACGCACTGTATTTACAAAATAAAAAAAATGTCCACACAGTTGTACAGTGCACCATACATGTGCACCCCAAACGCTCGCACGCACCCAGACCACGCACCGTGAATCCGTCGTGGGTCCACGTTTAGAGTCACGCGCGGGGCTTCATTTTCTCACTGAATTGTAGGCACATCCATAGCGAGAGGTAGACTGGATGCGGTGCGTTGGGTGTGGAGATGTTTTCCGGGTCATTAATAGGCTTGAGAAGGTGGCGTGTGAGTTTTAGCCACAGCCATAGCGAAAGTTTTACTGGATGCGGTGTGCTGGGTGTAGAAATATTTTTCGGTTCGCCAAGCCAAAAGGAACGACCAGGCTAAAATGAAATCCTGGTTCCACGAGGCAGCACCCAGCGGTGGCCGCGGTGAGCGCTGGGGTCCACGCATCACCGCGGCCGCTTGCGCTTGTGCATCCTCGCCAGCCGGCGACCCTCGGCGATCACTTCGTGCAGCTGGTGCAGCGCCTCGGCCACGCCGGCACCGGTGCGCGCGCTCACCGCCTGCGCGCGCCACGCCGTGTGGGGCGACAGCTGAGTGGCGCCCACGCGCCGCCCCACCTCGTCGGCCGGCAGCGCTCCCGGCAAGTCGCTCTTGGAGGCCGCCACCAGCACCGGCACGCCCTGGCACTCGGGCAGCCGCGACACGCGTAGCAGCTCGCACCGCGCCTCCTCCAGCCGCTCGGGGTCCGACGCGTCCGCCACGAACACCAGCCCGTCGGCGCCGCGCACGTACGAGCGCCACAGCGGCCGCAGCTTCTCCTGCCCGCCCACGTCCCAGAAGTGGAAGGAGACGGCGAGGCCCGGAGCGTGCTGTGCCACGCGGCACGCCGCGTCGGGGGGCTCCTCCTCGTCGTCGTCGGAGGAGGAGGAGCTGACTTCGGTGGAGGCCGCGGGCCCCGAATTCATCCCGGGGTCACCGCCGGCCTCCGCGGCGGAGGTGCAAGTCTCGTAGCTGCCTGCAGAAGAGTCGTTTGTCTCGTTGACCTCGTCCGGCGGCGCTTCTGCCAGCGCTGCCGCCGCTGCCGGTGGTGGCGACGGCTCCGCGACCTGCAGGCGCAGGCGCTCGGTGTTGAAGCTCACGGTGGGCGTGGTGTGGAGGAACTCGCCCAGCTTGAGGCGGTAGAGCAGCGCCGTCTTGCCGGCCGAGTCGAGCCCCAGGAGGGTGACGTGCAGGGGCGCGCCCAGGCCCAGCGACGGGAGCGCCGAGGAGGCAGTGCCGCCCTCGCCGCTCAGACTGTTCCCCATGACGGCTCCGGGCTGTGCGGCGTCACTGTAACAGCATCATAATCGTACAACATTGTCATCATCGTCATCAGACGTCGCTGATATCATTATCATCAGACATTGTTATCATCGCCTTAATCTGCTTAATGATCTTCTTTTGTCGTCTTCCCCAATTTGATAAAACTCAGAAGCAAAATATAATTTTCAGAATAAAGCAAATCATAAGCATAGGTTGGACTATAAATGTGCCAAATTTGAGCTCTCCAGCCCTTCCAGAACATCATTAAAATGTTCACGGAGAGAGCTACAAAAATGCAATGATTAAGCATCGCAGGCACGCCTTCACACACCCGCAGTGAAGCCACCGAGGTTCACTCTGAACCGCGTCTGCCAAACGGAACTAAGAGGGCATTCATTAACGCTGTGTGACAAGTGGGATGGCCGTGAGTCAGGGGCGCACTGCACACACCTCTAAGGTCGTGCGTTCAAGTCCTGGTTAGAAGTTGGTGTGAATCATCATCTACCATGGGTTGGAAATCATTCCAACCGGGTAGGTGATCTGTAAAAAAATTCCATACCCAGCACACCACATCCTTCTTTAACCATTGCTTTTGTGATGAATTCATCCCTCGTCATGGTAAGGAGCACTTTCCACCGATGACTCTGGCTGCCAACATAAACTAATGGTCGTTTCATCACAGGCTGGGTCAGGAGAGCACACGGTGTTACAAAGAGAAATTCTGTCTCCAGCATAATAATGGACAAAATCACAACGTGGTCTGGAACTCCCCCGGCCGTCCGGGCTGTCAACTCCCTGCCAAAGAGGCGGTCAGCCTGTGACTGACCGCCTCTCTCTATAAAATACGCACGCTCACCGTTGCTTTACAGCGCACGTAGACGCGTTTGTACCTACATGGCGCTGTCAGCCATCGCCAACCACATCCAGCAGTGGATTGACAACAGCTATAGCTCATCATGTGGTGCTTGCTACAAAGCGGGTACGTGTTGTAACCACATGGCCAGAAGAGGTGTGTGTGTGGACTGTGATTGATTATTGAGAGAGGGAATGGTCACAGGCAGAAGGAAATGTTGGGCCGGGAAATTAAAACGCACACGTCTCCCTTAATGGGTGTGTCCGCTCGCTAATACCTGCCGGGCAGGTATTCAGGCAGGTCAGTGACACACGTGTACACACACATGTTCCGCATGCATAAAGATCCCTGTGTGGCGATGCTATTAGCGAGCACCTATTAAGGCCAATACGGCGCACAAGACGGCGCACAAGACGGCAGTGGCGGCGGCGGCGTGTGGGGAGAGCCACGCCCAAGTCACCTTTGTCTCATTGCTCACACACAGGTACAGGCAGGTACAGCCGCACAGACATCAACACCCACAGGTGTTTCTGTACACCCAAAGACACCCCCCCCCCCCCCCCCCCGGTAGAGCCTTGGCAGACTGTTGGGGAAGTTCTGATAGCGAGGAGCACCTACGAATGTGAACGCAGCACGCGAGGGGTTGGGTGGCCAGCACCGTGCCCGGCCGTATTTGTCTCCCTCGTGGGAGACTCGTGTCAGGCCAAGCCAAACTCGGGGAGGCTCGCGACTGATTGAGATGAAGGTGGTGGTGGTGGTGGTGGCGGCCGAGAGTCGGAATGAAACTCGGGTGCCCGGGTCGGCAGCGCGACACCGCTCCCCAGGTATACTCGCATGCTGCTGGTATGCCGTGTGGTGCACCCAGGTACGCACAGGGGAAATACACGCAGGCAAGTCACACACGGAGACACATGCTCAGGTATTTACACACACACAGGTCAGAGACACAGCACACACAGATATATCCACTGATAGATGCCCACTAAGCAATACTGTACACACCGGTATTTGATCAACAGGTAAGTTGAACGCAGAGCTTCCTCGCTCGCTATTGATTAACGCTCCTTGGATCTTCGGCGTAAGGCACTACAACTAGAGTAAATATTACACCTATCCGTAATAATCCTGTATTATTGTGCCATACATTCCTATGAATATACAGTAACAAAGATAAGTAGGGTGATCACGTGGATGTGTGGCCGTCCCAGCCGCAATTCCCGGAACAGCGCACCGATTCCACACACAGAGACAACGCACAGGTAATTCACGTGTACACACACACATAGATATATACACAGACAGGAGATACACACACACACACACACGGGAAGCCTATACATAGGATACATAGACCGGTACGTGAAGCAAATACACGAGAGATGAACACACGGGTAGTGCGTTACACATACACAGGTACGCACGCAGGTACGTACAGGTAAAAGAGACACAATTAAATACTCGCACAGGTAAGTCGGGTACACACATGTAGTATGTACACCTACACACATACATGTAGTATCTACACACACACATGTAGTATCTACACACACACACATGTAGTATCTACACACACACACATGTAGTATCTACACACACACACATGTAGTATCTACACACACACACGTAGTATCTACACACACACATGTAGTATGTACACACACACACATGTAGTATCTACACACACACACACACACATGTAGTATCTACACACACACACATGTAGTATCTACACACACACACATGTAGTATCTACACACACACACATGTAGTATCTACACACACACACATGTAGTATCTACACACACACATGTAGTATCTACACACACACACATGTAGTATCTACACACACACACATGTAGTATCTACACACACACATGTAGTATCTACACACACACACATGTAGTATCTACACACACACACATGTAGTATCTACACACACACATGTAGTATGTACACACACACACATGTAGTATCTACACACACACACACATGTAGTATCTACACACACACACACATGTAGTATCTACACACACACACATGTAGTATCTACACACACACACATGTAGTATCTACACACACACATGTAGTATCTACACACACACACATGTAGTATCTACACACACACACATGTAGTATGTACACACACACACACATGTAGTATCTACACACACACATGTAGTATCTACACACACACATGTAGTATCTACACACACACACACACATGTAGTATCTACACACACACACACACATGTAGTATCTACACACACACACATGTAGTATCTACACACACACATGTAGTATCTACACACACACATGTAGTATCTACACACATACATGTAGTATCTACACACACACATGTAGTATGTACACACACACACACATGTAGTATGTACACACACACACATGTAGTATCTACACACACACATGTAGTATCTACACACACACATGTAGTATCTACACACACACACACACATGTAGTATCTACACACACACACACATGTAGTATCTACACACACACACATGTAGTATCTACACACACACATGTAGTATCTACACACACACACATGTAGTATCTACACACACACACATGTAGTATCTACACACACACACATGTAGTATGTACACACACACACATGTAGTATCTACACACACACACATGTAGTATCTACACACACACACATGTAGTATCTACACACACACACATGTAGTATCTACACACACACACATGTAGTATCTACACACACACATGTAGTATCTACACACACACACATGTAGTATCTACACACACACACATGTAGTATCTACACACACACATGTAGTATCTACACACACACATGTAGTATCTACACACACACACACATGTAGTATCTACACACACACACACATGTAGTATCTACACACACACACACATGTAGTATCTACACACACACACACATGTAGTATCTACACACACACACATGTAGTATCTACACACACACACATGTAGTATCTACACACACACACATGTAGTATCTACACACACACATGTAGTATCTACACAGAGAGAGAGAGAGACGCTCTCGGCACGGCCACTCACGGCAGGAGGAGACGACTCCCTCTCGGGAGCTTCGGCTTCGCCGGGGTGTCCCCCTCTCCCAGGCCAGTGACCCCCTCTCCGCCTGGAGTGACCCCCTCTCCTCGCCGCGGTGTCCCCTTGTCCGCCGCGGTGTCCCCCTCTCCCAGACCCCCTCTCCGCCTGGAGTGACCCCCTCTCCGCCTGGAGTGACCCCCTCTCCTCGCCGCGGTGTCCCCTTGTCCGCCGCGGTGTCCCCCTCTCCCAGACCCCCTCTCCGCGCCGCGGTGTCCCCCTCTCCGCCTGGAGTGACCCCCTCTCCTCGCCGCGGTGTCCCCTTGTCCGCCGCGGTGTCCCCCTCTCCCAGACCCCCTCTCCGCGCCGCGGTGTCCCCCTCTCCGCCTGGAGTGACCCCCTCTCCTCGCCGCGGTGTCCCCCTCTCCGCGTGCCTCCCCGGCCTCCTGCTCCGCTCGCTCTGCGCGTGGAGCTCCGCCTGCCCTCAACGTCATCAAGACGGACACGCCCCCATCCCCCCCCACCACCCCCCACTCCCCCCCACCACACCCCCCACTCCCCCCCACCACCACCTCCCCCCACCGCTGCATTTCCACCGACAGAGGTTGCGTGTTTCTCCCCCCCCATCCAACCCCCGCGGCGTCGTTCGTGACGCAACAGCAAAGCGGAGCGCGGCCTCGAGACTCGCGCCGAGGTCGCGGTGCGTGGCCATCACGGTGACGTCACCGCGTTTAACGGCTTCCGACGCGAGGGGTGGGGCAACGGTTACCGACGTCACGTGGTGCGGGCTGGGCCAATGAGAAGCCGCCTCGAGCGTTTGAATTTGTCATCCCGTTGGTTGTTTGGTGCCCGCGGCCACCGTCGCTTCCTCGCAGGGTAAAAACACTCCTCGCCATCATCATCGTTATCATCATCATCATCGTTGTTATTATAATCATAATTATCATTATTGATGATTAGCCAACGCTGTGTCGCCACGTTGTCGCCTAGGTAATGGTGTAGTTGAGCTGGTTGTTGTTGTTGTTGAGGGTGGGCGTCAGAAATCCGTTGCGTCCCCAACGTCTGCGTTGTAACCCCCCTGAGCAGCGTGGTGAAGTATGGTCAACTCACCCCCACGACGTGCGGCGTGGGGGGGCTCATCCAGCAGTGGAGTGTTCGGCTGTAATGATGGTGGTGGCGGTGGCAGAAACACTCAGACAGCCTCCTGCTGCTGCACACTCGCCTCCTCCTGCTGCTGCACACTCGCCAGTCGCCTCCTGCTGCTGCACCCTCGCCTCCTGCTGCTGCACCCTCGCCTCCTGCTGCTGCACACTCGCCTCCTGCTGCTGCACCCTCGCCTCCTGCTGCTGCACCCTCGCCTCCTGCTGCTGCACCCTCGCCTCCTGCTGCTGCACCCTCGCCTCCTGCTGCTGCACCCTCGCCTCCTGCTGCTGCACCCTCGCCTCCTGCTGCTGCACCCTCGCCTCCTGCTGCTGCACCCTCGCCTCCTGCTGCTGCACACTCGCCAGTCGCCTCCTGCTGCTGCACACTCACCAGTCGCCTCCTGCTGCTGCGGTTGTAGTATAATTGTTTGGCTGTAATGTGGTATGTTTGTGTTGTGTTCTTATAGTTGTTATTGCAGGGTGTTGTGGTTGTAAATAACATCCTGCTTTGGGAATTGCTGTTTCATTCTCTTTTAATAATGAGGGAAGGACACTGGGGTGGTTAGAGAACCCGTGCACACAAGGGGGGGGGGGGGTCTCACCTGTGGTACGGATAGCCGTCAATAAACACATGCACCGCCTCCTGGCAACAGGGCTTGGTTGAGCTGTCAGATGGATGTCTCGCTTATTGGATGGTACCTGGTTTGGTTATCCACGAACTGCATCTCTATACAAGCATGTACTATACCACCTCGCCTGGCTATCAGGGGTAGCCTGGCTTGTGTCATGACTAAGATGTGTCGGCACCCTAGGGGCTTCTGCTTGTGTCATGACTAAGATGTGTCCGCACCCTAGGGGCTTCTTCTTGTGTCATGACTAAGATGTGTCGGCACCCTCGGGGCTTCTTCGTGCTCGCCTGTTCTCACCTGTCCACAATGCCCCCACTTTGCCATGTCCAGGTGGTGGCCTCAGGTGGAACTATGGCCCGCGAGAGAGAGTGCCACGGTGAGTGTCGCCTGGGGCCATCGTTGTCCGTGACGTGTGAGCACTTGGGTTGTTGAAGTTCGGGATCTGGTTCCAGGCACATGTTGCTGCTGCGGGCTGCGTAGCGAATGGACTGGGGTGTTTTCATGATACTCGACTAATGACTTGTAGCCAACATTGATTGAAACATCTGCAGTTTCTTGCCACATCAGTAGATCCAGAAACTATCCTGCTATCCTACAAGGCAACATTGAGGGGGCGAGAAAAAGAGGGCGCCCAGAACGTTTAATACTGCACCGATGTTGAAGCAAAATTGTCAGATCCACGATGTTGAGGACTGGGAAAAGGTGGCGTGGCAATGATCTCGCTATTCGGCCAGACGGGAGATGATGGATGGACATGCCCTGTAGCTGTCGTTACAAAGGGGCAATCTTTAGCTCGGCATTGCCTTTCCCCAGTCAACTTAGGAAAGTTACTTTTTTTTCCATCATACACTGTTCCCCAACCCTGCTGAGAACTCGTGCCGTTGAGTGTCGGCTTGTATTGCCAGTACTTTTTTACGGCTTAAAGAATGAGATGTTTTGAATACTGTAGAGCTGTGTTTGTGAACATATTTTGTAACTATACTGTGCCGTGCATTGCTGGATAAATGCAGTTGATGTTGTCACTTGGTGATTGTAACAGGGACCTCCAGCGGTGTGGCCCAACCCCCGAAGGACGTGCCCAAAATGAGGTCCCACAAGGAAAGCCTCGCTCGATTAAAGGAAAAAATATCAAACAAACGAATCCTAAAACTCTCCCGGACGAATGCCACCGTGACTCACAACCTGGCGACGAAGGCCAAGACGAGGCGACTGAGTAAGTGTGCCAGGCCCTGCCTGTCAAATGATATAGTGGATTCGTAAAGCATATAAGCAATTTAGTTTGTTTCCACATGTACACATTTTTTATGATTCCATCAGCCAAACCAATATCAAGGAATATTTGTTGAAGCAAGTAAACTCTGGGCTGTTTTAACAATTCTAGGTCTCGTCGGAATTCAGTCTTGTTAAACACATTTTGCAGGATTACCAAACGTTTGGCAAAAGCAGTTCATAAAACACATTTTATAAAATGAGGTCAAAGCATGAGAGACGATGTAATTGAACCTGCATGGTCTTCCACTGTAAAGGGAAAAATATGTTCAAGCAACAATAATCTCCCTGTAGGGTAAACTAAGACTGGGAGAATGGAGTGTGGGGTGTGCTGATAACGGCTGCCCATATCGTACAATATCTCACGTAGTGTGATTATTTAGTAATGATGGCAATCTGTGATGAGATTAAGCACCAGTAGGCTTGTGGAATATTGGCGAGAGACGTTTTCCATGCTTGTCATTGATCGCCATCCAAAGCCTCCGGCAAATGTTTTTCAATTTTTTTTCCTCCCGTGCAGATGTGTCATCGCGGCAGACACTTCTGGCGAGCAACAAGGCGCTGGCACTGGCACTGGAGGCAGAGAAGCACAAGGGCAGCATGGCGATCAGCCTGATGAACGAGATGCGACACACGTGTTACGTGCAGATGTTAAAGGCCTCCGTGCTCAAGAGGCGCCTCAACGTGGCTGAGACGAGCTGCGAGGAGGCCCAGGTGGGTGGTGGTGGGACGACGGGCTCCGTCGCTGCGGCGTCTCGGTGCCCACGCTTGGTGGAGAACCTTTTGGATTTTGTAATTGGAAGTTGCTGAGCACAGGCCCAAAGTGGCTTCATTGCATGTACATATGTTGAACTTGTTTCGCACCGTACGTAGCCAACCGTATTAATCGGAGGCGCAGGGGAAGGAAAAGAAACTAAACACAAAAAGCAGTTAATAGAGTTGTTCATACGTAAATGTCAATACTTTTCTTGACCTAAGCAAGGTTATAAGAACTTGGCAAAAGAGACATTGGAGTGAATTCCAAAGTAGAGCAAAAAGAGCGTTGTTGCGATCTGCAGTGTGGATGAGACCAAACAGTCTGGTGGACGGAGTCCTCAACGTATGTGGAGGAATGAAGTTCACGCAAACGGCAGCCGTGCTAGTTGGTGCGAGCATCTGATGGCACAAAGTGAGACCGCTAGAAGATGAGGGTGGCTTGAATAATATTGTATGTGTAGTGACTTAGTCGGAGACAGGTTTCTTAAGGCAACCTCTTTTATTCTACACTTTGGGGAGCTAACCGCGCCCCACGTGCTCGCACGCTAGTAGCACATCCGTCTCCTTGGACGGCACTACCTAGCGTTATATATAACAGTTGGCTGGCTGACTAGCGGCGTCTAAGATGGTCGAGACAGCGGCGACGAGGGTGGCGAACAGCAACACAGCGAGGGGATTCACTTCCAGCAAACAGCCGCGAGCCCGGTCCTTGCCATGCCCCCTTTTCTAGAACCTACGAGCAGGTTCTCGGCTTCCAGATCGACCCCTTTCCTGGGCTTCCCTTTCGATCTCCTCCTGCTGACGTGTGTACTGCCCCCTGCTGCCAGTACCACTCCCCGTCAGCATCCCGTGTTATTGCACTACATCTGTATGAGCTGCAAAAACATATATTCACACGCATTTTAAAAGATTAGTGTGCTTATTATTTAGGTTTGGAATATTTTGTGTGTGCATATATATATACTGCTGTGGGGAGCGGTAGTGTAGCAATTGGCGTGCTGCACCAGGAATTTGGGGACCCGAGTTCGATTCCTGCTCATGGCCAACAACAGTGGTGATTGAGTAGCTGGTGCAGTGTAAACATTTCCTGGGAAGACAAAGGTGGCCGTGTGTGGTGTTGGCCACTCGCCCACGCGTGCGCCGTGCCGGCCTTCATGGGTGCTCGCTAACAGCCCTTGTCCCAACAGTCTTAAGGCGATACGGGAAATCATTGTCTTTGTTATACTGCTGAAAAGGGGTTACGTGTGCGAGGAACTTTGATTGAGAGCTAACGTGGAATTTCTCTCTCTTGTAGATTGTGGTCGCAACATTGCAGGATCTCCTCGTCCACGTTTGCAATAACAACGCTGAGCTGCTGTCTGCAGGGCTCAAGGCGTGCGCCCAGATGGTGAGTGGGCATCACCACGCGCATGTCATGTGCGTGCGGCTATGGCGTGTGTGGTGTGCAAAGTCGTTTGAGGACCAGTAGTGTTGCAGTTAACGCACTGCGCTATGAAGCCGGCGACCCGTGTTCAATTTCCGCTCACGGCCAATACCAGTGACAAATATCTCAACCGGTCCTGGGCCTCCCCTCGGTCGACTCGGCCTCAAATGAGTACCCGGTGCGATGTGTGAACATCGCCACTGGGGAGACGATGGCCGTCGGGTGTGGTGCTGGCCACCCACCTCCTCGTGTGCCGTACTGGCCTACATAGGTGCTCTCTAAGGGCCATCCCTTAGTCTGTTCAGGCTATACAGGAGATCTTTGTCTTTGAAGTCGTTTGACATGCCGTGTCGATCGGTGCTTTTCACAGAAGAAAGTCACTCCGGGTCAAGCAAGGGTTGTGGAAAACGAATTTGGAGCATCATCTGCACAGTAAGGATGTACCTCAGCGGTGTTCTTTACAACCTATATTGTTCCAGGATTTAAATTGTCAATCCATTGGCTCTGTTCATCGAACTAGGTGTCACGATAACTCCTATAGATGATTTGATATGAATGGAATTTTAATATACCATTGTGTTGCTTTTGGGGAATTGCCCAAATAAATCTAGCCAAATAGATCTAAGGGTTATTATCCAAAACTTTGAGAGATACACCAATGCAAATATCACTTTGGAGATATGCATGTGTTTTGCTTTGAATGATACCCGTGGCCTCTGTACTAATACTTATAAGTAAACTAGCTTTTTTGCCCGTCCAAGGACGGGTGTATATTACAGTAAATCTGAAATACTCAAGAGAAAAATTAAGCTCGTGATTATTAATGAGGGGGTGGTTGCCCATGTCGAGTGACATCACCCCCTCATGGTTATTAATGAGTGGAGGGGTGTGGCATGTGGAGTGACGTCACCCGCTCATGAATATTAATGAGGGGAGGGGTGCGGCATGTGGAGTGCGTGACCTTCTTGTGCGTTCGTGTAAATTTCCACGTGGGCATGAATATTAATGAGGGGGGGGGGCTCTTTTGCAGTGACGTCACGCACGGATGTAGCACTGTGCTGCATAGATTTATTTTTTACCGTCACTTTCTGTACAGAAACTTCATTTGAAGCGACTTTGCGTAATAAATTATTTAATTCAGCTCGACCTTCCTCTGCGTTCGTGTAAAAATCCACTCACTTATGAATATTAATGAGGGGGTGGGCCTCATGTGGAGTGACGTTACGCGCGAGACGGACAGACATTTATGGGTGATTATAGTGGGTAATACTGAGAACAAACTGATGTTGCTGAGCATTACTGAACTTACATTCACTAGATTTTTATCCCTTAAACAATTTATGGATTGTATATTTTTTTGCCATGGCCAAAATTGTAGCTGACGATTGGAGACATTTGAACGACGTGTGTGTGTAGAGCTTTACCTTCACAGATCGTGATGCCGCAGCGGATTCCAGTAGGAATGAGCCGCAACGAGGAAGAGGTGGTCTCTGCTCCTGAGAAGCGAAACGAGTGCTCGCCACACAGCCCTGGTGAGTGAGACAGCTCGTGAGGGGAAGCGCACACATCATGGCGCACGACCTGGCTTCGTTATCATTCGTGTTTATATTTGCAGGGCCAGTTGCCACCACCGCAAGGCTTTCGGGGCTTAAGCTCAGCTTCTTGGACACGACCGCCACAGAGGAGAACGAGCGTCTGCCTGTGGCTTTGGCATTAGAACCAACCCTGCCCTCCTACATCACCTCACGCCGGCGTAAAGACTTGACCACCAATCCGGTCCTCACTATTGTCAATGAAGAGATGAATGCGGCCGGCGTGACCGAGTGCAAGATTCCCGCCTTGGAGGTGGACAGCTTCAGCGAGCCGGTGCCCAACACGAGCACTACTACCGAGAAGACCGTGTACAGCCAATTGGACATGGAGATGACGTGCGACTGCTCCGTCAGCATCGAAGTCATCAGGACTAACAAGACGGAAAATGCAAAGGACCCCACTCTGACCTCGGTGCAGTCTACACCGAGCAAGGCCGAGGGAACCGCGGCTCGTTGGGATGAGCAGGAGAATGACAAGGAGAATGACAAGGAGAATGGCAGCAGGCCCAGGGTACGTTCCAAGTCTGGGAAGATTAAATCTGCTCATCTCGTGAACAAGGTCTCGCAAGCGGGAGCCGCCAACAAGGCGCAGCGTAACACCCGGAGCGAGAGTGTGGCGACAGTCGAGAAGACAAGAAGGGCGAGAAATGTGAAGTACAAATCTTCGCCGATAGGAGGGGGAGGCCTTGATGATAGAGCCGGGGATGACGACGATGCATTCGACTTTGATTTGAAGGAGATGTTGTATAAGACCCCCTTTCGCTTCACGTCCAGAGTGGCGGTGGTGGCAGAGGAAGAGCAGGAGCTGGTGCCAATACCTTCACTGACTATGCCTGCAAATAAGAAGTGCAGTGCATCAAGCACATTGGCCGGTGAGTGGTGCTAACATGAGCCGGGGCGTGGGTTGTGTCCAGTTAGCAAAGGACCATGGTCGGTCACCTACTCGTAGCGTCATGGGGAAGTGGGTGATGACTGAAGGATCCAAGTGTGAGCATTTATTATCTCCAGCTGTCGCCAAGCACTACCATGGGTATCTTCAGCAGTTGAAGTGAGGAATTTCACCTTTAGGACGTGCATTGGCGGTAAATGCTGCAGGATATGTTTTTGTAAATGTGACAATCGGAAAAAAGTGTTTCAATAAAGTTAGTCCAAAAATCCAGCTGAAATTAAGAATATTTTTTTGGAAAGCAATACATTTTTGGAATGGCAACAGATTGTATAAAAGGATGTCTAAGTGTTATTGGCCATTGTATGGCACGGGTTGTAAGTTGGTGAATTGATTTGTTGCCACCATACAATGGTGTTAAATGCTTCCGATTTTTCCACTCCCCAGTCATATGGTAATTAATTTCACTGACAAAATAAAAGTTCCAAACTCGTGATGCCGCACACTGCCCTTGTGCGTGCACAGAGGCGAGCGTTGCAATCCCCCAGCAACTCGTCGACCGAACCAATGAGGCGACGGCTGTAACCGGCACCCCACCGGCACACGGCCACCAGCTGATGCTGAGTGAACCCAAGAGGCCCAAGATATCTGTGATGCCAACCTCGGAACGCCGCTGCAGGTCACTGGTGAACTACAAGCTGCCGAACATCAATACGTGAGTGTTGCTTGACTGCACAGCCCTTCGTTGTCCTTCCCCCGCACCTCTAATTCGCACGGTTGGCTACGTATGGTGCGAAAGACGTTCAACATACGTTGTTATTGCACGCATTTGTCAGACCAGAAATTACTTAAAGTGATTTTCTGCTCAAACGAGCGTTGAGATATCATTCCGCTCGTGTTTACAGCTCTGAACCAATGGTAAGAATTCCACATTAATGTGGCAATGGTTAGTCTGTCCATATGACAAACACTGTTGACTGCATCACAAAGTGATAATCATGTTGATTTGAAGCTTTCGTGACTGCCCCGAGGAATAATGGGCTGAGTCAATCCCCAGCGAGGATTTTTTTTACAATTGCGAGCCGCTCGCTCTAATGTGGAGCCACCGCGATTGTCTTGGAGCCTTGTTTATATTTTTTATATGGAATTAAGAGCGACGGACGAGTTTCTGACAATGTTGAGTTTGGAAATCCATTTGGCAGCGTCCGAGGTCGTCGGATGGATACAGTTCCCGTTGCCCACACTGCGGCAGTGGGTTGAGTAGCATTGACTTTGGCGGCCCGACTTTAACAAGTTGTCTTCAGTGTCCAAGTATTGCCTCCCGTGTGTTCAGGAAGCTACGGCGAGGTGACGAGTTCACGGACGCACAATTCCTCTCCTCTCCGATCTACAAGACTGAACAGAAGAAGAAAAAGCGGCAGAAGCGAGGCGCCAGAACTATTCCCCAGATGTCTTGTTTTGAGGAGGCCGATGTTGCATCGGCTAACCCGCCACCTGCTTTACATTGCATTCAAGAATACAATTAACAAACCTTTTCATGGGTTATTGCAAGAGTTCACTTGGTAACTTTCAATTGTTTTGAATGTGTTATTTTTAAGCTTTTTTACCAGGAAAGGATTACCCTCATGACTTTTATTCCAGAGGGTTCTGCCCAAGTTTTGCAGTAGGGAGGTGATTTCCATGTCTCAATCAATATCATTAACTGTGGAGTCATTGACCAAGGTTCACGTTAACCTGTGCTCAAGGTTTGTGTACAAGTTGACGGATTTGCTTTGTCATTTAACATTTTGCAACTTCTGACGTTAATACCAGAACAATGGCCTACTCTTGTTAATGCCGTTACAGGATATAGTTAACGTCCACTGTGAAGCAGACGGCACACTTTTACAGTTAATTACATGCGTAGCGTTAACCAGGGTGGCCTCTTGATTAGAATGTGCCGCCACAACAAGTGAATAACGCGTTGCCGCGAGGCCATGTCACCACTCATTTGAATGTTGCATCTTTACAAAGCATAATTTTGATTTTAATCGATGTGGGTTTGTTAATAAAATCTGGAACTGTGCGGCGTTGTCAGCGGGGTATGCAAGGCGACCGATTGCACCGTCGCGTGGCTGGAGGGGATGGGGATAAAACACTGGATCGTTGCCACCATGACACCCAGCGAGTGGCATCTGTTTCATGAGAATACAGCAAAAGAGTTGCTGAACAAAAGCCCAACATTCCAAGCAGTCTGCAACAAACCACTCATTTTAAATCTGCTCTCAGCCCCATTTCATTTGGGGTTCCTCAGGGTTCAGTTCTTGGCCCTCTTCTCTTTTGTATTTCTATGGTCCGACTGGGTCACTTGCACCGAAACCTCGGCCTAAAGTTTCATTGCTATGTGGACGACACTCAATTTACTTGCATACTGAGTCCAATATTCCTTCGTCCGCCTCCATGCTTACTTCGGCACTGGCTTCCATCAAAAGGTGGGTGCATTAAAACTTCCTACAATTGAAGTGTTAAGTGAGGTGATGCACCCTTCAACATTACGATTGACACGTAATTAGTAAGGCACAGGAAGTCACAAATCTCCATGGGTGGCAATGCGAGGTTTAAAACAATTAGGTTTGATAAGGTTTAAATTTTAAAAAACCTCTTCCAAAGGTCCAACTAGGGTGAGGTTTTGAGGTTTATTATAAAAAGACGGCATTTTGGTTTTTGCAGGAAGTCTGACTGAAGTAACGGACTCCTGAAGGGCGGAGCCCGGAAATCAGAAATCTTGGCATTACCAGAGTCACTTGCGTCATCAAAACAACCCAGTTTCCACCACGAGCAGGATCATGGATCAGGACCTTTACTCGATTCCGAAGAATGTGATAGTGATGTCATTGTGATGGAGAAGAATGGAGTGGCCGACGAGGCGTCTGTGAACGCAGGGAAGGCCAAAACATGCTCGATGGGCCAGTTTTGGCACGACTTCACCGGTGATCCGGAGCCACACAAGTTGAAGAGTGTCGTCTGCAAACATTGTCGCACCAGATTCAACCATCACAACAAGAGTGAGCAGGCAATGAGGCACCTGAATGCATGTGTAGTGACATCGTGGATGTCACTGCTATGTTCCCACATAGCAGACAGTACGGGGTGGGTTGCCAAGAGGCCGGCGCTAGCACAGCACGGCGTGCGATGCACGGTCATCGCGTAGACCCCGTGGGCAGGTGAGGTACCAGCCCTAGCGGGGCTTGGTGAGCGCTGGGATAGCGCGGGTACCATGCGTCCCGTGTAGTGCGAGCTCCCAAGATTCCGTACCAGTCTGAAGTCTTGCCGGATTTTCACGCCCTCCCTGCTGAGTTTGCCAAGTTGCACGAAGACGGTCATGCGAGCACTGAAGAGATCAACGACCTGATCAAGTTGGCAGCAAGTCGCTTTCAGTTTATGTACGGAAAGGCCCATGGACTGGCGTATCTTAGATCCTCGCTTCATTGGAGAGGGCTTGAGCCCGGCTAATCGAAGAGCTGTAGAACATCTTACTGGCGACACCGATCGACGATGAGACGGCGGTTGATGGCGAGAGGCGCTCTTTATGCTGCTCACCGAGTACGTAATTTCGGCGCAGTAGGAGAAGGATGCCGGCGGGTTGAGATTCACTATGCTGCTCAAGGGACACAAGACACCTTGGCAGTATTGGTAGTCTGACGGCGTGGCCTGGCCCGATCTTCAGAAGATCGGCGTCAAGCTGTTCACCATGGCGACATCCTCTGCAGCCTGGGAGCGCAACTTCTCAACTATGGGCTTCATACGCAGCGAGCTCAGGAACAGCTTGGCACCCAGTTCGGTGGAGAAGTTGGTCTACCTCAAGAGCAATTATGCGGCGTTCACCGAATACAGTTATATGTCCGAGGGTGACGACAGACTTGTTGGAGGACCAGCACTGATCTGTGAGTATTGCGAATAAAACCATGAGGTTTATTAGGTTTTATTAAGGTTTAAACTTTAAACCTCTAATTCGGATCCGAAAAAGTTATGTTTTTCCCACCCCTGCATATCGAGGGGTCATCTGTGACCGATCCCACATTGTCCTTTGAGGCTCATTAAGAAAAAACAGACTTCATTTTCCCACCTTTGTAATATCTCCCGTATCCGAACCCTTCTCTCTGCCTCAGATACAGAAAAGCTGGTCCATGCCTTCATCTCATCTCGCATAGACTACTGTAACGTCTTACCCCCTGGCGTGACTAAGAAGGTGCCGATCAATTTGCAGCATGTTCAGAATGGGGCTGCGAGGGTCTTAACCATAACACCTTCAATCTTGATTTGAAGCTTTCGTGACTGCAGGAATCCATACTCTGTGGTTATTTCGGTAAAGTCACGTAGTTAGAAAAAATAAATAATCACGACGTTTCGATCGCAACACAAGCAACCGTCATCAGGTGTGAAACAAACAAACAGCAGGACTTGACCTTCACACATTCCACCCATTGTGGCCTCCCTGTATTGGCTTCCAGTTTCACATAGAATGCAGTTTAAAATCATATTAACTGACAAAGCAGTGAACCATCTTGCCCCAGCTTAAATCATTGACATGCTGCACCATGTCCCCTCAAGGTTCCTAAGATCTGAGGATGCAGATCTTTCCCCAGGTCTTAGGTTTTGGTTTATGGGTGACAGTTTTTTCCCGTGTAGACCCCAAGCTATGGAATGCTCTGGACATTTAAAAAATGCGCTTTACGACCTATTTGTACGCTTCCGCTTATTACACTTTCCGTTCATCTTGTAAATCATTCTTAAAATGTATGTTTTTATTCTGCGTGTCTGCTGCTGCTGTGTCCTGTACAGCACTTTCGAGATTCATTATTATTAATGTACAAGATGTCTTGTTTCTTGAAGGTTGTACAAGAGCTTGGGAAAGCGAAGACAGCAGTGTTGTAACCTGTAGTGTGATAGTGGAATGCAGTATGGATGAGATGGGTGGTGATGCTACTGGCAATAAATGGCCACTACATCAGACAGGCAGGTGTTGACATTGTGGTTTTATTAGTTAAACCAATGCTTCGTGTTCCGAAAATTACTCCTAAGTACAACCACATGGGTAAACTGACCAACAGCAGTGTTGTTTGCATTGACTGATTTGAATCACAGTAGTCCATACAACTCATCGCTAAAAAAACTCCTTCCTAGTTCACAGCGTATAAAAATGACTCGTGAAAAGCCTTTATACGACAAGGCCTTGTCACGTGAGACCGCCACAGGTCACACATGAAGAATTCTGAAATTAAGCATTTGTAAAATGCTTAACCGTTCAACTTGTGCATAAACCTTGAGCACACAGGTTAACGTGAACCTTGGTCAATGACTCCACAGTTACTGATAGTTGCAATTCTTCAGTAGGCATTCCGGTTGTTTATAAACCACGCAGCTGCCCTTGCCTCATCCGAACCACAAGGCACAGGGGATTGAGCAGCGAAAATCTGCACAAGCACAATGTTTAAGAAAAACTCAATCTTTGGAGCAAACAGAAATATTAACAGGAATGCATTCATCATTCTGCTAACCTGCACAGAGGTAGAGGTCGGCTCCAAAGACAAAAGGATTCCTTCCACTTCATGGATGTGGGAGATTTCACCTCGACCAGATAATGACGGCACCCCAAGTGTCATACGCACGGTTACCAATGTCCCCAGTTAAAGTGTAACGCATGTAACAGCCACCCTACACGTAGTACACAGTACACGTGTTGCGTGCACTACACCTTGACGTGGTCCAAGTCTGGTGTCATTCGAGGTTATACGGCATCAACTCCCAGTGGCTAGTGAACCCAGCAGAGGTCACTCCACCGCCACCTGCGCTGGGCATTTCACCTGCCGTGGCAACTCGCTCAAACGAGCGCGGTAAAGAATCTCACCTGCTCGGCTGTTTAACCGCTACCTGGGGGTCAGTGGGAGGAGGTGCCGTGCGGTGCGCTTGGCTCGCAAATGCCCGTGGCGGGCTGGGCAATGCGGATCAGATGCGCGGTGGCTGGACTGGCAGGCGGGTTGGCTGGCTGGAAGGCGGTGAGGATCTCACAGCTTGTGGGGGGGGGAGTCTGCGGAGAGCTTGATCTTGAGGTTGTCGGCCAGCTTGTCCATGAATGCGAACGTCTCCAGGTAGTCGCCCTGTTTCACGCTGCACAACGCAATGTGTGGGGGGGGGGGTCTCTGTGACCGCAGCTCGAGATGTTTCACAAAAACGAAACAATTATTGTTTAGAGAGAAAGAGGCAGTCTGTTAAAGGCAGAGAGAAGAGGGGCAAGGAGTGTGGGTCTGGATCTCTACATGTATGAGTCAAGGTTAATAGGTCTCTAATGCAATATAATTACACGCTTTTTATTAACTCACTCTGTCTATTGTTGTATCCTCAAATCTTGTAACTCAATTTTAACCCACTTCCCAATGTGGTATCGACTGCAAACTTGGTATACTTATGTCATACTGATGACAATACTATATTCTATCATATGTTTCGGCTTGGGTCTAATTGTCCACGCTCAACTGACGTTGGCTGTAAATCACCACGGTCCCTTACGTTATGGCAAGCTTCGGGCCACTTCCTGGAGTCGTGGAGTTGTGCCATTACTCGTACGGTACATTTCATTAAAGCGTGTTTTTAAAAAAGTTTTTTTTAAATATTACTTATTTAGATGTAATGTTAGTGGCAAGAGCACCTTCACAATGGGGCAATAAAACAACACAATATTGTACAAAATCTATATCCTGTAATACATAAGAATCTATTGTTATAGGGAGCCTTTAATTCAATGATCGCAATGTGCATATTGACATCATCATCGGCCATGATCGACCCACTGCCGAGTGACGTGAAAGGAGCCTTACTTGGGAAGTCCCTTGATGCAAGCTGCCAGGTCCTTGGTCATGAATCCGGCCTCGATGGTCTCCACGCACACGGCCTCCAGCGCCGAGCAGAAGCGCGTCAGCTCCACGTTGTTGTCCAGCTTGGCCCGGTGAGCCAGCCCCCGCGTCCACGCAAACACCGATGCTAAGTCCGGAGGGAGGGGTGGGGTGGAAGAGGTTCTGCCGCTGGTCAATTACAAATGGGTGGGTGGCAGTGGTAATGGGTGTGCCTCACAGCGAGAAGGACCTCGGTTCTATACCAGATTCAGGCATATTACTTTGTAGGGTTTATATGTTCTCCCTCTGTGCTGTATGGTTTTGTCCCATAACTAAAATAAACAACATAACTTGTATTGGCTAAAGATCCCAATGATGAAAAATTGACCTGCGAACTACTCAATTGGGATTAAACACAGCAGCAATATCACCCCTGACTGCAAACACCTGGCAGTCTTGAGACTCAGGGAGGCTTTCCTCGGTAAATAAGCATCAACAGAATAACAAAGGATTAACATTTGTGTTTGTAACATCACATTAAGCGCCTAAATTTGCATGGCCCTTAAAGCACCAAGAATACACAACCCATACGACAACTGAAATGGTGTTGTGATTCACTGGGTGTGGATGATTAAACGGTTACATGACATGTGTGTAATGTGGGCAGCCCAGTGTGTCAATCCACTGCTAGCTGATGGCATCCACAGGCCAGGCAGGTCGTTGTTTGAGAGTGCGTCGCCACGCTGGTCACTCGTGGAATGGAGAAGGGTGGAGGGAGGGGCTTCGGGCAGTTCAGATATCGCTCGCTACTGAGGTTAGCGACAGCCGGGAATTGAACTCATTGCCAGGTTCGTAGGGTGGTGCGCTACCCAGTGTGCCACCGCTCCACCAGATTTGTTGGTGTAAATTGACTAAAACGGTTAAATTTTATTTCAGGTCAAGAATAAATGTGAAAATCGTTCCTAAATTTCTATTCACCAAAGTAAAATAACTACCCTTGTAACCCGTGCGAGTAGTGCGTGGTGAACTGCCCCGTGCGACGCAGCGTTACCGATGGGGTTGGTGGACGTCTCCTTGCCCTGCTGGTGCATGCGGTAGTGGCGCGTGACGGTGCCATGCGCCGCCTCCGCCTCCACCGTCTTGCCGTCGGGGCACAACAGCACGCTGGTCATCATGCCCAGCGAGCCGTAGCCTGCGGGGAGCCCGCCGCAAGGCCACGTCACGCACATCACATTTGCACGTCGCGCTCGCACGTCGCGCCGCACGTCGCGCCCGTACGGCTTTCAGCTCACTCTAAATGACACGTCGTTTAGATATGGAGTTTCATTGTCGGTGGTCGGTCGACTCCTTACCACTCTTCCATTGCCACTACCATCGTTACTACTCCCGTGAACGTTAACTTCACTCGTTGATGCCTTCACCCATGTTGAGGACTCCGTTTACCAGATTCTCGACTGTTTCGTCTCATCCCCACCGAGCTCAACCACCGTACCGCAGGTCGCAACAATACTCAAGTCGCCCGCCCGCCCATTTGCTCGCTCCCCCGCCCGCCCATTCGCCCATTTGCTCATCCGCCCACCCGCTCGCCCGCCCACCCATTAGCTCGCTCTCCACACTGCGAGCCACAACACTCCTCTTTCTGCATCCTCCCTCACACTGCTCCACTGTGGAATTCCTTCCCATCATCCCTTTTCCCGAAGCTCTTTCAATAATAACCTTGCTCATTTAAAAAAACGTGTCAACTCTTTATATTACAACATGATCGTGCTGTTTGTTGCTGGCTGCTTTACGTTTTGGGCCAATGAGTCTGTGCTCAGCAAAAGTGTTTAAAAATACTAAAGTACACTTCAAAGAAATTGGAAATTTGTATCTAAATTGTAATTGGTAATCTAACGTATTAAATGGCATCTAAGTTACACACCTCATAGCAATGGCAGTGGCTATCTAGTCGTCCCAGCCCTCGCGTTGTCAACACCTTCGTCTAATTTCCACCAAACGAACGTGGACACGCGCGGCGGGGTGTGCAACGGTACCCTGGGCGATGGAGTCGGACTGCACGTCGCCATCGTAGTTCTTGCACGCCCACACGAAGCCGCCTTCCGACTTCATGGCGTAAGCCACCATGTCGTCGATGAGCCGATGCTCGTACCAAATGTTCTTCGCTTCATACTTGGCTTTGTAGTCCCTGGACACATATGCACGTGCAGTTTTTCATTCATTCTCAATTTCTCATTCTCTCTCGAATCATCATCTCTCTTGAGAGAGGACGATTCGAGGAAACCACCGAAGGCAGCCAGAACTGGCGGCAACAATTTCCCAAGCTCTGGGGCCTTATATTAGGATGTTTGGCGAACTCCATGAATGAGTTATTCATACATGTTGGAAGAAACCAGAGTACCCGAGGAAAACCCACACATGCGATGGAGGTAACACTTCAATCCCCATACATAGATGGAAATTAATAAACTTGCTGTACTGCCTTGCGCGGAGGCACGCTCGGCACGGCAGGGGGAGACGCTCCAACTTCCTGGGTGATTGTCTATGCCCTATAAACTTCATCATCATCATTATCATCCGCCATGATCAATTCCCTGGTGGATGAAGGCATACCCAGGTTGTCCCCATGCTTCACAATCCTGTGACACAATGGCTCCCATGTTTAAATAAATAACGTTATTTTAAATAGTTATAAATCTGATTTTCTCTTACATTTTATGAGAGAAATATATATTTGGTACTAAATGCATGATTGAACTTCTTGTCAAGCGAGCACTTATTAACCATCTCAATGCAGAATCCCAATGACAAAACTATCTGGACACTCCGTGATCCTTTCCTGGATAAATAAAAAACATTATCCTGGAATATATATTAAATGAAGCCATTGTTAACTGGGCTGGAACCACCAAACTCACCACACTTGAGAACTCAGTCTATCCATGGATGTCTGAAACCTGGATTAGAACCCAGCTCCTCAGCATTGCCGGCGCATTGTGGACCCGAGCCGGCCAGCCTCCTACAACACCCCCCTTCACGGCACGAGTCTCTTACTTTTCGTAGATGTCCTGGAAGATGTCCTTGAAGCGCCCGTCGTACTTCTTGAGGATGGTGTTCTTGGTGCTCAGGTAGAGAGGCCAGCCCTTGTCCAGCGCCATCTGGAGGGAGCTGTGCGCAAAGTCGGTGATGGAGGCGTCGGTGTTGAACATTCCCATCGTCACTCCGCCACCGTCTGCAGATCAGAGTCGAAGCGGAAAGTCGCTCCACGTTACGAGATGCACCGTCTCAAGTCAACATAAACGTCACGAAACAATCCAACAAGTAATAAACTCAATAATCCGACACAAGATCCGTTACAAAAACCTGGAATCAGCGCAAAGGCAGATTAGGGTCCACATCCCAGGAAATTACTATTTGTTACTTTAAGAATTTTGTTGCATGTATGTTGAACTTCTTTCACACCATACGTAGCCAACCATGCTAATTGGAGGTGCGGGGTAAACCAGAAAAGTTGCTACATCGAGCGAAACATTTTCTGAATTGCCAACACTGCACTTTAGCTCGACGTGATCTCCAAGATGAACGTGAATAACCGCTACTGCGGAAGTGTGGCCACTGCCATGGGTGGCAGCGACGACGGCCGTCCTCACAAGCGAGACTGCGATGCACGCAGATTTGTAAAAAAGCAGGAGACCGTGCGGCTCGTGCAGTCATCTTCACGCGTACAGCAATGCCTGTTGCCATGGTGACATCTGTCAATCGTTAATGGTCTTCGCGGAAATGTTCAAAGGTGAGGGACAGAGTGGAATAAGCATCGCATCAGCAAGTGTCTCGGTTTCTGAGTGGACGGTCGTAGCTCGGCTGACCTTTGAACTCGTGCACAGTGTAGGTGACCGGCACTCCTCCATTTTTGGGGGTAAAGGTGATGTCCACCTTGCCAGGGCCCGGCACCACGAAGTCGGTGGCTATGTACTACGGGGAGAGAAGTACAGCAGTGGCGTTAGCGCAGAGGGGGGCACCTCTCAGCGTCGCCTGACACCGGCTGCCTTCCCTGACCACGCCCACGCCGGGATCAGTGGCCGCGGGACCGTGAGGCCGATAAGCGGAACACGTGACAATTATTTGAACACACGGCAGCACCCTGGGTTCTCTTGGCACGTCCCTAGGTCCACTTGGCAAATGAACGAGATTCTATACTCACGGGTACAGTAACCGCCTGTGACCATATCACCTGGAATGACTCCGATCGTTTCAGATAGGACCGAGCTAGGACAGTGCTTAGGCGGGTGACCACCGTGCACGTCAGCTGGTTACAGGGCTGCGGTGCTACGAGCTAGGGCCGTAGAGCGCAGTGCAGAAAAACCCTCTGTCGCACTGTACTTCTATGCTCCAACGTCTGTGCTCTCCGCCATCACCAGCCCACACTGACCAAAGTGAAAAACGGACAAATAACCAAAATGACCCGCATAGCATGGGGAAGCCCTCATCCAGCAGTAGTTTGGCAAGGAACCGCTTAACTTCCGCGCTTTGATGAGAATGGGAACATTCCTGGGGATTTGATCAAAGGCCTGACACACAAATTACTGTGCAATGCAACCTGAAAAATCACTCGGCTGTGACAGTCCTCGGCCCAGTCGCCACCCCTTCACACGGAGGCCCCTGTGAAGCAGGGACGGTGCCCCATAGTCACCGCACGTGTCACCGTTCACGAGCGCGCACCTGGTCCCCGTAGGCATGGCGGCCAATGACGATGGGCTTGACCCAGCCGGTGACGAGGCGAGGGATGTTGGAGCAGATGATGGCCTCGCGGAAGACGGTGCCGCCCAGGATGTTACGGATGGTGCCGTTGGGCGACTTCCACATGGTCTTGAGGTTGAACTCCTCCACGCGCTTCTCGTCCGGCGTGATGGTGGCGCACTTGATGCCCACATTGTAGCGCTTAATGGCCTCGGCCGCGTCCACCGTCACCTGGTCGCCCGTGGCATCGCGGTTTTCCATGCCCAGGTCGTACCTGCCGTTGGCATGGAAGATGTTCGCGAGGTCGGTTTTTAGCAGGGCTTAATTTAAGCCTGGTCTGTCCGGAACATATATTTATGAACCCCCCCATAGCAAACACAGTGCACCATCTAACTTACGGGTGTGGCTACCAGTCACGTGCCTACTCCGGCCTATAAGTGAATCAGAAAATATTCTGTGAGAAACTAAGCCCTGGTTGTGAGCGGTTAGCGGCACTTATCACCTCTCGCAAATATCAGCTGCTTGTGCAGCCAAATCCTCTGCACGTGGGCTCAACTTTGCACCACAGAATGAACTGTACTGCAGCAGTGCATGTTAAATAAATCTTGACTTAACGCTTTCGTGACTGCAGGAATTCATATTCTTTTGGGTCTTTCGGTAAAGTCACGTAGATAGGTAAAATAAACAACACGAACGATCGTCATCAGGAGGAAAGAGGGGCAAAGCTGCTGAATGCAGACTGTTTTACAGGTTTAAAATGGGTGTAGTCTTATGGTCATAAACGAAGTATATCTTACACAGAGTTTTAATTTTAAAATGTATTATTGTTTAACCAGCTGAGAACTCAAACGAGACCAGGATGAGTCTGATTTTCAAGAGTGACCAGGGCCACCACAATGGCATTAGCAAAACAAATACAATTAAGCACAGCGATGAAAGGAACAGAAACCAGCACACGAACAACTGTCGTCTACGAGTTCAAAATACTGCACGAACGTAAATCAACCTAACAAATATAATTCCCTGTAGTGAAAATCTGCTGGGGCAGATTATGTTTACAATTAAGTTACATGAGCATTTAACAATGAATAAATGTCGGGCGCCAATTGTACGTAGCCAAATGGGCTAATCGGAGATGCGAGGGAAGGACAACAAACTAAACACGAAAAGCAGTTCGCATTGACCAGCACGAGGTGCTGTACAGCGAGTGGTTGGACGATGAACACCGGGTACTGTGCTCTCGGCACTGTGCGCATGTAGTGAAGCGCGGGGTGGTGTGTGTGAGAAGTGGTGCTCACGTGTGGAGGTCCATCTGGATGTAGGGCAGAATGAGCTTCTCCTTGATGAGGTCCCAGATGACTCGCGTCATCTCGTCACCCTGCATCTCCACCACCGGCCCGGCCTTGATTTTCTGCGACATGGTCTGAACACAGGACACGAAGAGATCCAGTCTCACACGGGCAAATGCTATTAGCGAGCAGCACCTATAAAAGGCCGGCATGGCACACGAGGGGGTGGGTGGCCAGCACGACGCCTGGCCGCCTTTGTCTCTCGAGCGGCGATGTGTACACGCCGCACCATGCGCTCATTTGAGGTCGCGTAGACCTCGGGGAGGCCCAGGACTGGTCCAGATAATCGTCACTGCCGTTGGCCTTGAGTGGGTATCGAACTCGGGTCGTTAGGGGCCGTCCATAAATGACGTCACGCGATTTTGGACGATTTTTGACCCCCCCCCCCCTCGTCACACGGCCTCACAAAAAGTCAGACCCCCCCCCCCCCCCTAGGTGCGTGATGTCATTTATGGACGGCCCCTTAGGTTCATTGAGCAGCACCTCCATATAGCCTTTAATCGTTTGTGGTGGTAAGTGCTGTTAGCAAGCACCTATACAGGTCACACATGCATCTGGGCGCCTTGCCCCGCCATGGCTTAGAATTATTCCCCATCATGGTTTAGAATTATTCCTCATCATCATCATCCTCCCCACCCTCTCACGCCCTCCCAACCAATAAGCCCCTCCCCAAGGAAACCCATCATCAGCCGCACGTGACCCTTTCATCTGAAACCCCTTGAGCGAGCAGCCGCATGACCCTCAGCTGATCAATTCGAGCTGGCTGCCTGGCTCAGCACAAATGCAAGACTCTCGGTTGTTTTACAACAACAGGCAGAATTTATCCAAATAACACACACGGCTCTCTCATCTTGTCGACATGACATCTGGTTGTAATTCCATATATACATACATACGCGTGTGTGTATATGTAGAGCACAACTCTGCACTCACACAGCCAATAGCTATCAACCCATTATCAGTGCCCTCCCTTATTACAGACCAATTCAGACTTCATTGGTCACCCCGTACCCTTGTAAATCTCAACGTTCATCCTACAAAGTCCCATCGTCGCGAGGGAGACACACAGATACAAATAATTGCCGCTATTGAAACGGCTGTCCGCTGTATGGACCTGAAACGGCAATCCGCATGGGTTGACAGCTCTTGACTGGTAACATGTAGCACGCGACTGCCGCTGTGCACGGTGTATCAACATCTACAGCACTTCGAATTGCCCCCCAATGCTAGGTGGTGCCCCCCCCCCGTGCCGGATTAAGCTAGTGGGGGGCCTGTAGCATATGCTATAAAGGGGTCCAAAAAAAAAAAACACACAGAAATATTAAAATACTATTTTTTAACAACTTGCATAGTAAAGCAATTGTTTTTTTCAACGGTTTTATTTAACTTGACTCCTGTTTGTCGTGGTCAAATCTTGGAATAAAAATTTCGTCTACTTCCTGTTGTCCAATTAATTCCAAATGTTGCACACCTACTGAGATCCGGTGACAATGCACGCCTGTATCAAAATCGGCGTCAATTAATCAATTAAATTGCTCTTTTAAAGCAATTAGCATTTTGTTTGAACGGCTCATTAATTAAATATTTATTGGGGTCGGTCAAAAACGCCACGGTCCCTAAACTCTGGAATCGCCTCGCCCAAGAAGCAGGCGCCACGCTCCGTGTCAACGAGTTAACGAAGTCATCACTTCAAGTCAGCGTTGACGTGGGAGCAGGTGCCGCATCATTGACTACTTCTCGACCGCGAGTTAAACGAACTTGTTAATAAAACCGTTTAAAAAAACCTTTTTAAAGGAGTTTATTTCATTTTCTGTACAGCCAAATAATACAAATGGCTAACCTTAAACACCCAATCGTTCATAAAAGTTGAAGGCGGTTTCGTACTATAGTAATAGAGCAAGTGCAGAATCACTGAACCGGAATTGATAGCTTGATAGCATTTAGCGCGGGGCCCTTGAACGTGCGGAGGCCGTTGCATTTGTAGCAGCTACACGTGCAGCAGCTACTACTACACGTGCAGCAGCTACTACTACACGTGCAGCAGCTACTACTACACGTGCAGCAGCTACTACTACACGTGCAGCAGCTACTACTACACGTGCAGCAGCTACTACTACACGTGCAGCAGCTACTACTACATGTGCAGCAGCTACTACTACACGTGCAGCAGCTACTACACGTGCAGCAGCTCGTGCTGTAGCTACGTTTGCTACGAGGATAATCCGCACTGCCCCCACCCTCCCGTGAGTAGACGGGTTGACGTTGACCGGGTCCTGGAATCCCGAGTCACGGAGGTCACGGTATTGACCCCTACGGGGGTCACGGAAATGACCCCGAGTCACGGGGGTCACGGCAATGGCCCCTGCGGGGATGCCACTCACGAGCCGCCAGGGGGAGTCGAGAGTTCGCGGCGTCAACGTCGCGAGTCGATTCGTCGCCACGATTCTCCAGGTCACGATTCCATTGGGGAGTCGAGCGCCTTTTGCCTCCCGTCTGAGGTCGTTCCGATTTTAATTGTCTCGTTGGCGCAGTCGCACTCGCCCCGTTAGCCTAAACGTAACACTTTGGGGGAAATTGTATTTAAAGTGCATGCACACATCGATTGCAATGCTCGATTATTCAATGCAGATATCTGAACTGGGGATCAATGTCGATCAATTAATCGTGACCAGCGGAGTCTCGTCGCCTAGCAACAGAAATCGCTCCTCAACCACCTCCTCACCCTCCCCTCGTCTCACCTCACCCATCCTCACCACACCCTCACCTCACCCTCACCCCTCCTCACCCTCACCCCGTCTCTCCTCACCCCTCCTCACCCTCACCTCGTCCCTCCTCACCCTCACCTCGTCTCACCTCACCCCTCCTCACCTCACCCTCACCCCTCCTCACCCTCACCTCGTCTCACCTCACCCCTCCTCACCCTCACCTCGTCTCTCCTCACCCTCACCCCTCCTCACCCTCACCTCGTCCCTCCTCACCCCTCCTCACCCTCACCTCGTCTCTCCTCACCCTCACCCCTCCTCACCCTCACCTCGTCCCTCCTCAGCCCTCACCGCTTCCTCTTCTGCCAACAAAAAACTGCAACCTCACGCCGGAAGAGGCTCGCGAATAAAAACACAAAACTCGTCCCCACCCCCTCACCCCCCTCGCCCCCCTCCCTCACCCCCCTCGTCCCCCTCCCTCACCCCCCCCTCACCCCCCCCTCACCCCCCTCACCCCCCTCGTCCCCCTCCCTCACCCCCCTCACCCCTCTCACCCCCCTCGTCCCCTTCTCCCTCGTCCCCACCTGGTCCCCTCCTCCCTCGCCCTCTCCCAGGGGGCTCGGGGCGAGGTGGGAGCCGCTGACCGTCTCGACCCGCCGCGTCGCGTCTCGCATCCCTCCCGCCACGGGGTCGCTCCAGCAGGGACCAACGGGGGTCAGCGACCCCACAGCGACCCCACAGCGCCACCCGAGGCCACCCGAGGCCTCGCCCTGAGCCCCGCTGCTCCACCACCCCCCCCCCAGGCTGCCCATCGCCGCCTCCCCTGAACGCTCCGCAACAACGGCGCCTGACCCGACCCCTTTGCCCGCCTAAAACCAACAGCCCGGATCCGAAAACGGCGACCCGTGCGTGCAAACCCCTCGACGCCGCGGCGCAATCTGCAGTGAGCTCGACCAGAGCTCAAAGTACAACATCGACCAGCACGGAGCGCCAGACCCTGACGCCAGGCGGACACCGTCGACCCGCGGCACCGATCGGCGAATCAATCAGCCACGGCCGCCTCACCTGGGTGCTCGTGGCGACAAGCAGACCCGGGGCGAGACAGACGACGAGGTGACAGGACGAGGTGAGAGAGACAGAGAGAGAGACGCGGTGAGAGAGACGAGATGGAGGCACCGCCTTCTGTTAAAGGCGCCGGGCACGAGGAGCCGCCCTCGCGCCGAGGGGGCGGGGCCACCTGCACGTGAGGCCCCCTGGCGAATGGCGCGCGAGGTGCGTCACCACCGCTTCATCGCCGCGGCCAATGGGCGTGCCCCGTCCAGCTGATCTGGCCACGCCCACACGAGGTGACAATCAGCTGTTGGTGACGTCACGTCCATTCATTATTAATTCCCTCCGTCAGCCGGTGGCCACATTAATTGGCGCATGATCGTCATCGCCACCATCGGCCGCTGCTGGGTGAAGAACTCCCCACACGCCGCCGCCGCCGCCGCGGCTTCTCGCGAGCCCTGGCAGAGGCGACAATCCACGACTTACGGGTTCGTCGCCGTTTGGACGATGACTGCATCAGTGACTCAGTCGGTTTTCAAATATTTCACTCACTCGTCTCACCAGGCGACAGCCTAGACCTATCCACTGCTGGATGGCGGTCTCGAATCGCAGCTGTCGGCGACGGTAGCATTGCAACCCTGATTCAAACCGTAAACAAGCTGATGTCACCGAGGTGCGATATGGATCTGTGTAGGATGCAATCACTTTAACATGAAGGCATTTGTACAAACTATGGATGACAAGGAATGGAACGCGCCCGAGGGGAGACGGTGCGATGAAATCAGCTCGTGTGCAAGGTGCGAGCTAGGGGGAGCGTTGTTGCATCGCAGGGTCATGAGAAGCGGCGGCTTGGGGAGGCATTTATCCAGCAGTGGATCAACTACGGCTGATGGTGATGAAGTTGAACGCGCATCTTGTCCAGGCTAATGTACGGAATGTCAAAATACAATGGGCACAGCAATTAACAGCGCGCACTGCATTTAGCTGTGCCCGGGGTGAAAACGAGGTTGCGCGAGATGGAACAATGGGTGCGCCTGTTTGGAAGAATTCGCTGCACGCAACGACAGCGGCCTCTCGTCGTGTTTGCGTTGCGAGGACGCACAAAGGAGGGGGACGTGCGGGAGGAGGGGAGGGACTTTGGCCGGAATGGGCCAACGGGGCGGGGAGCGGTGGGGGGAGTTGGAGCCAAGGTGGCGTGATCACCCTCCCCGACAGCCCCACGCCCACCACCAACAGGCCGGGCGACAACAAGGCACGACTGGCCGAGCCTCAGTCAACTGCGGGACTTTCACTGCCGCAGTAAACCATACCCCCCACGAGCACTGCCTTACAACAGAATGGCCAAGGCGTCAGACCAGCGTGGAAGAGTAGACCAACTAAATATCGTGGAGAGGGCTCCAGAGAACTCCCTCGAGCGGAGAACTCTTCCAGCAGCTGCAGTGGCGTGAGCAAATAGTTTCAGGGCTGCACCTCTACATTTCACTACAGAAATTCCTCTGCCCGGAAAGCGCCCGATCTCGTTTCACATCAGCAGAGTTGAGGCCAGGACAGTGCTTGGATGGGCGACCACCACGCACCGCTGGTTGCGAGGGGCAGCGTGCAGCAAAATCCACTGTTGCACTGTTCTATGCTCCTCACCTTCGCCCACCCACTGACGAGTATCGTTTAGTAACCCCCCCCCCACGGTGTAGAGAAGCACTCGTTTAGCAGTGGAGTGACAAAAGGGCTGCACGTGTACACATCAGAACATAAACGGGGCTTTGTTAGGGAGTCTGGGAATACCGGGCTCTGTCGGAGTGGACTGTGGTGGGCCAAGTATCAGAAGAGCTGCACCGGAGGCCTGGGTGTGACTCGCGCGCGTGTGGGTGGATTGTATCCGGGTAATCAGGTTTCCTCCCACCAGAATGGCACCAACAGAATTGGCCAATCTCAGGCTTTCCTGGGAACAGGGCACTCAGAAGCACGCTGATGTTTGGGAGATGCCCTTTGGAGTAGTCCAACCAGTCACTTTTACGTGGTGGCTGCACGTTACACCACAGTGCCTTGCACGACAACAAGCATCTGGGACGGATTGGATATAACCTCTGTGTAGCACGATTGGCTACGCACGGTGAGAAGTAATTTCAACATGCATAACGATGAGGCCCATCATCGTCAATTGTGGGGAGGACTTCCACAGGTTCGTGGACCTCGAGGTCCTCATAACGGGGACTGGGTGGAGAGAACGCCTGAAATATATCAGAAGTTGACATTTGAAGCCTTTTCAATTGATATGTAAAGTTTTTTTTCTCTTAACAGACATCGAATAACCATCAAACAATACAGAATCCAGGTATAAATTAAACGCACCGAGACGGTATAACCACACCGCGTGACCTTTCTGTTAACACTTGGCCTTCTGAAAACGTGACAATTGCGTATACGCACAGCTTGCGGCGTAGATACATTCGGAGTTGTTGAAGATTAGTCGTTTACGATCACATACAAAACACGACAACATGACGCAACCAACAATGTCCATGATGAACGTGGTACATGTACACGAAGAATGACGCAACAGCCACTACCTTCAGAGTTCAGGACGCGTGTGACCCGGCGGGGTTCACCAAAGCAAGCTTGGCAGGACGGGTTGTTTTTAAACGTTATCTACAGTACTTACGCCCACGATTAAATCACCCACAATGCGCCCCATCTTAAGATAAGCAAGGTGGGAGCCTGCATGGCGCTTGGATTAGCAACCACCAAGCACATCAGGCTGTGTGCGATGGGCTGCGGGCTACGTGGTGGACATCGCAAAATCAATCGTACTGTACCCCTATGCTTCCCGTCTGGTGACAAATTATCAAACGGTCCCCCCGACCCGCACGGCGTGGGTTGACGTGGACTCTACGTGTACACGTACGAGTGCAAACAACATGAAAATCTGCTCGGTGAAATGGAGAACCCTCTGATGCACATGGCCCTGGCAAGGTCACGCAAGTACAACCACCAGCCTGCGCTATCCCACACCACATGTGGCACCGCACACGCAACTGCTTGCGCAACACGACTGTTTCTGTTGCTGTCAGCTGCAGGCTGAGTAGGCGACACACTCCAACGCGGGTTTTACAGTCAATGCCTGCGGGTGTATCGAGAAACTTCATGTGCGACGGCCAGCGGCTTCACCATCAGCGTTTCTTCACCTGCGTCCCATCCCCCCCCCATCTTCCCATATCCATTCGACATCCGCTCAGAATTTACGATGACAAAGTTGCGAGGAGAGCTTCTTAGTTGGAGGGGCAAAAGGAAACCTGTAGACATTTCTCAGGGCATGCAGCTGGGGTTTGAGCGATGCAGATATTTAACGCTACAATTCTTAACAGCTGTATCCATATAAATCGTTCGGGTATAAATTCAGCCAAATGGAACCAACTCATAAAATGTAGCTACCAGTTCAAGTGCTGGCAATGGTTAAATTTCAATCTTTTCAAAACTTTACAACTCAGGTTGAGAAAAAAACTGAAACTGAGTGAATGTAATGGCTTATCTTCTTGGTTCTTTCGGTAAAGTCACGTAGAAGGGAAGTAATAAAATAATAAAAATAAAACATAATAAAATAATTCTCACGACGTTTCGGCCACAACGCAAGCAGCCGTCTTCAGGTGAAGAATGAAACACTGCCAAGCTTGGAGCGTATATACAAGCTGGGTTGGAGGTGGAAGAAGAGCGCCTTGACTTTCAGACCGCAGTCCACTCACTGGCATTGACTGTGTATCTTGTGTTCTCCACAGGGAATGCATTATTTGCTCCACTGCGGGTTTCCTGACGCCGCTCTCCCATTGACATGTTTCGTGGCTTCTACATACTATTAACCTTCCCTCTCTTTGTTAATGCTACCCCCTACCCCCTCCCTTTGATGCTGCTAATCCTGCATAATGCATGGGCATATGACTTTGAAACCCCCCTGCCCACCTCCTACGCATTTTCATTAATATGCTAAATTCCTTTTGATATGCAAATTCTTTTGTCAAGGCGCTCTTCTTCCACCTCCAACCCAGCTTATGTATACGCTCCAAGCTTGACAGTGTCTCATTCTTCACCTGAAGACGGCTGCTTGCGTTGTGGCCGAAACGTCGTGAGAATTATTTTATTGTTTTATTTTTATTATTTTATTACTTCCCTTCTACGTGACTTTACCGAAAGAACCAAGAAGATGAATCCCTGCAGTCACGAAAGCTTTAAATCGAAATGTAATATCTTACTTGTCTGTAGGGGACGTAACTATCTCAAAGTTCATCCCATACGAACTTAATGTTCGTGTAAAGTTATGTTGCAATTAGGATTTGCATCACATCACGTGCCGTGTGTTGTCATCTCGCCGTGTGGTTTGGAACGTATCGTTCTCATCGCTGAATAAATACTTCCATCAGCAAAGCCTATTGGAAAGCGGTGCAGAATCCATACATCCGCACCTCCGATTAGCACGGTTGGTTACGTTCAGTGCGAAAGAAGTTCAACATAAATACATACGCACGATTCTTCTTCCTAGTTTTTAGAATAAAAATGTGACCTTGTTTCCATTGCCAATAATAGAGCGAATCGGCAGGAAGATGCATTTGTGCATTTAAGCCGTGTGTGTGTGTGTAGTCAAACGATCACTCTCGCCCACAAAGTACAATTAGTCAACTACCTGCGACTATACATTCGGTGTGCAAATCGTACTTTTAACATTCACATTTAAATTCATACACGTCAGTATGTACTAAAAATATACAGAACTACAACTGCAGTCGAATGCTTATCGGCAAAAACCCTTCACCGACTTTGCATTCTGTTGCACTGCAGGCACTCGTTGACTCAAGGGCACGCCACTCCCAAGCGAGTAATAAAACAACTTTTTCATCCCTCATTGCGTGCGTGTTTATACTCCACCCTCCTGTTGACAATGCAAGCGCTAAACGACGCGGTGGTCCGTCCTCAACGCACCCACGGATCGCCGCGGCGCCAATGCTGGCAGCACGAAAAGTTCCGATTGTTCCTTCCACGCGTCATGCGCTCGCAGCAGCTCTGTGTCGCCGACGATTCGCAGCGCCACCGTTTCCAAACGGCAGGAGAACTCGCTCGTCGAACGCGCCCCTGCAACGAGAGCTGGTGGGCGACACCCCCGGCCCCCGTGGCAATTAGCGGTCTGGACTCGCGTCGATTTCCACGTTTGTTCGGCCGCTTGAGATTCGGGCTCTGTCCCAAGCCTGGGATCCGCACAACCACAGCCACCACCGCTACTTGTCGATGAGACCGGCCTCCTTCATCTTGTTGTAGAAGAAGCGCTCGAGCGTGTTGGCGCAGCGGTAGTACTCCGTCTCGGGGGGGTTGTATTCGCGGCAGTTGGTGAAGATGCGCTGCATGTCGGCCATGAAGAGCTTCTTGGTCACGTAGTAGCGGTTCTTCAGTCGCTCACTCATCGTCTTCAGGTCTGTGGTGGGAGCGAGTGCACACGGGGTGCACAGCAGGGAAGCAAATGTGACACATTACGCAGATGCTGAAGCCAGTAAGTGGCGATCGTCACCAGAACAGTCACTACAACGTGGTCAGGCAGCCTCCATTATTCCACTAGAAGACACCGACCCTTTGGAGACACGGGACTACCTTTTTACCTCTTTTGCAAGGGCGACCTGGATGATATCTAAGTCTCCATATCGCTCACTATTTATAAATGCACCTCACAATCGTGTGTGCGGTAGAACGGCCATGTACAAGGACCCACGCTTAAAGCGCTTTCGGGTGAACTTAACTGGCAGATGCTCAATGAGCATAGAGACAACGATGGAGACAGGTGCAACGACAAAATGCGCTCTGTAATGCGTTCGCTTTGGACCCCAAACCTGTGGCATTGCTATGCTGCATCCCTGCCAAATGTGACACCTGCTTTCCGTGAGCAAAGTTCGTGGACAATCACAGCCACACTGCTAGGAAGGCGCCACACCATTTATGATGTCCAGTCTCAAGCCACCAGTGAGCTTGAACTTTAATGGTTAGAATTTGATCGATACATGGGCATGTATAAAAAGTATATATTTGAAAATGTGACAATCTTGTCAGGTGGTAGAGAGTTAATGACAAGAATATAAGCAGATAACTAAAATGTGGCCAAGCTAAAAAACAAATGTAGATCACCGTATTGGCTACAAAAACGAAGTGTTGAGTTTATTTTTGTTTGTTTTATCCTCTGCGCTCTCACCCATGGGAAAGCGAATGACGTCGTAGTAATCAGGGGCTTCAGACTTCTTCACGGGCTCCATGAATGGCCAGGCGCTGGGCTGACCCTGGAATAATCATGCACACACACACACAACAATTTGTGTCTATATACAAAACAAAGATCCCTGTATAGCAATAACAGATTGCTAGGGAAAGTGCTGTGTGAGCAGCATCTATGAAGGCCGACACGGCACACGAGGAGGTGGGTAGCCAACATCACGCCTGACGGCCTTCGTCTCCCGAGTGGCGATGTTTACACAACGCACCGGGTACTCAATTGAGTTGACACAGGGGGAGGCCCAGGACTGGTTCAGATAATCGTCACTGGTGCCGGCATTAAGTGGAAATCGAACTCGGGTTGATGGGTACCAGAGCGCCAACTGCTACACTTCCACCCCCTAAGCACTACCACTATATACACCCACACACACGTATGTGCACACATCCCCCCCCCCACATATACATACACGTGTAAGTCCATCTCACTCAACTGCCTACTGCAAGATACGAGCCCAGCTCATTGCTTACCGATGAGGTCACTCCCTAAAACATCTATTGTGGGAATCCACTGCCTTGAGTGAGGTCAACGTATTCACTCCACTTGCACGGTCACAACCCATTTGTCCATCCACTGCCTGGATGAGAGCTTCCATACGCTGTCCGGGGCCTCGGGGATAACCGACCAAACTTCCCCACGTTGGTCAGTGTGGGCTGGTGATGGCAGACAGCACAGACGTTGGAGTACTGAAGTACAGTGCGGCAGAGGGTTTTTCTGCACTGCGCTCTACGGCCCTAGCACGTAGCACCGCAGCCCTGTAACCAGCTGACGTGCACGGTGGGCACCCGCCCAAGCACTGTCCAAGCTCAGTCCTATTTGGCTGAAACGATTGGATTCATTCCAGGTGATATAGTCACAGGCGGTTATTGTACCCGTGAGTATAGAATCTCGTTCATTTGCCAAGTGGACCTAGGGTGCTGCCGAGCGTTGCACTTGGGGTCACGTGTTCCGCTTATCGGCCTCACGGCCCCGCGGGCACTGATCCCGGCGTGGGCACGGTCAGGGACGGCAGCCGGTGTCGGACGCCGCCGAGAGGTGCCCCCCTCGACGCCAACGCCGTTGCTGTACCTCTGTCCTGCAGTCCAAAGCTACCCAAAAACGGAGGAGCGCCTATCACCTACACCGTGCATGAGTTCAAAGGTCAGCCGAGATGCCCCGTCGACTCGCAGACCGAGACACTCGCTGACGCGATGCTTTTTTCACTCTTTGTCCCCCGTCCCCGAAAATCTGTGCAAATTCCGTTAACGATTGACAGATGTCGCCGTGGCAACAGGTATTGCTGTGCGCATGAAGATGACGGCACGAGCAGCGCTGAGAATGTTCAACACCGACGCCTTCATCGCCGACGTTGCACACAGCTCCCTCCAGATGGCGCAGGACAAGGGCTGGCCTCTACCTCAAGAAGTACGACGGGCGCAGAGAACGCACGCCCCACCCCAGCGCCGGCGCGGGTCACGACGTACCTTCACCTGCTGCATGATGCTCTTGAGCGTGTTGTAAAGCTGCTCACTGTCCTTAGGCTCCTTCCTGCCAAAGCAACACTGGTCAATACAACCACTGCACAATCTTCTAGATCAGCACTCTCATACGTGCCATCCTCCAACGGACTCTGATATGTTAATATTAATGTAGAGAAAAATATGATAAGCTATGTGGATGCATTTCATATCGTTCTTTGTCGTTGACTAAATCACCCGGAATGCTTCCAATCTCATCAATAGATTGGCAAAGGGGCCTGTACGTTATTAATAAATTAACTAGATTTGTTTACACTGCATCGGCCATCAGAGATGATGCATGTTGCTTAAAATAATTAACATACGAAACATTACTCAAGACAATGTCACACAAATACGTCACTGCCGGTGAGATGTTCACCCCTTGTCCTTGGTGCTGGCCTTCCAGCCGGTCTCACCTGGGGAAGAAATCACAGCCACGATTCAGCCAACAATGTTTTTTCTGCTCTAGGAGGTACCGCGGCGGAGCTCGGACCGGTGATGCACATGCTGGGTGGGTGCCCAGTGAAGACAAGGGCGGGTGCTGGTGCCACGGGTATACGGGAATCTCTGCTACTCCCACTGTGTGCACAATGGGTTCGAGCGCCGGCACTGTAAGGATGGGTAGTGCCAGCGCCCGTGCTCTACATATGGGGAAGGGCTAACACGCTCGTGCTATACTTGCAGGAAGCACTGCTGCTCGTGCTATATATGATAATCCGGTGAGTGTATGAAGCGGTGATGCTAAAGCTCTATGTGGGATGCATGTGCTGTTTGTGTGAATTTACAATGCCCGTGCTATACGTGTGGGGAGAGTTTGTGCTGTAAACGTGTGCAGTGCTCTGTCTGGTGCAATGTCAATGACAAGTAACGGTGCCGTCTACATTCGAGCCACTGGTACTGGCGTTGTTTGTCGAAGCGCTGCTGCCGGCGCTGTACAAATGAGCAGTGGTGCCGCTGCCGCTCGTGCTCCGTTCGCAGTAAGCGCTGGTGGTCGTTAGAACGGCTGGCAATGTACGCACGGATGCCAGGGATGCTCTCGATGGGGATTTGCCGCACGCCCTCCTTGAAGCACGTGAGGCCGGGGTACACCTTGCGGATCTGCGCCTGCTTGCGCTCAATCAGCTTCTTTATTATCTGGGGAAAGAGGTCACCGTCGTTACACATCTCATTACTATTTTTAAGGAGTTTTCGCAATAGACGGGTGATGCTGCCGTGAGTTTCCCAACTGAATAATTTGCGAAGAGATTAATCGTCACATGACAGCAAAAGCACAATTGAGATCAACGTGTGGGGAATTAGGGGTGAGGTCCCCTAGGCTGAACCAGCCACATGGAGACATATCGCTACATTACAGGCACAGTACAAACGCAAGTAATAATATTATTATCAATGTGAATTTTTTAAGGGAAGTTCTGCGGCTATCGCTGCCCTACCTCCTTCTGTTTCTTGATGATGACGGAGAACTCCGTGTAGGGGATCCTGGGGTTGAGCTCGCAGCCCATGAGCGTGGCGCCCTCGTAGTCCTTGATGTAGCCCACGTACTTGCTCTTGGGGATCTTGATGTCCTTGGAGAAGCCCTGCAAACACCCAGAGAGAGAATCCAAGACGTTTCTCACGTGGGCCGTCGCAAGACTCTGTCACGGCCGTCGGCTGCTCTCCATTTTTAAATTTGTTACGAAGAGCAGCTGCAGCGTATAAATTGACATTGGGCCTGGACTTTGCATTACATCAAGAAGATATTACGTTCTTCCATCTTTGTTGGGTTAGCCCAACGAAGATAACAAAAATACAGTGGAGGTTGCAGGAACTCTAGGCGAGTGAAGTCCTGTCTGATGATTTTTTAAAAAATATTCCCAGTTAGGATGGTGCAGTCGAGTAATTGGAGGGGGGATGGCTAAACCGAGAATTGTACTAACGATGCCAATCACATGCAGTGGGGAAGACCAAAACGGGGACCGGTTCTGATGAAACGTCAGGGACCTGTCGGCTGAAGCCCTGAAGCTGTGATAACGAGCGAGCAGCGAGGCGGATGGGAGTGGAGGGGGGTAGCAGCAGGCGACGTCACCTGCTTCTTGAAGTAGCCGATGGCGTACTCGTCTGCGAAGGTAAGGAAGTGCAGCACGCCCTGCTTGATGTGGTACTCCTTCAAGTGGTTCATCAGGTGGGTGCCGTACCCCTGCGCCACCGAAAACCGGACGCAAGCACCGCACACGGCACCAACCGTCGGTGATTCGGAGGTGAGGACGATGCGCAGTGTAGCTGAGATAATATCAGATGCTAACAGTCGCACGTTTCTGTGAGATATGGCTCTATATCTCGCAGAACACTTTTAAATGCGTTAACACTGTGTGTATTGAGATGGTGGGAGATATGAAGGGGGCTTTGAAATGAAAAGTTTTCTCCATCATTAATCCATTTGTTTAGCAGGGCATCTATTACTGGATCACCCTGTAAGTTATGCGGGTGGATAATTGCTGCGAGTGAGTGGCTGTTGAAGTGTTAGCTGCTGGTGGATGACACAGTAGGTTGTGTGCACATGTCTAGCCCCATTCGTCTATCCACTGCTGCTTGAGGGCCTCCCCGTGCCATGTGGGTTGTATGACCACACGTCACCATGCTGGCCAGTGCTGGTTGGTAAAGGCCACACAGAAGTACAGCGCAAGAATGAGTTTTTGTACGCTTTGCTCTCCATTGCCCTCCACCTAGCCCCACAGCAGCCTACAACACCTGTCACGTGTGCTGGTCACCCATCCAAGCACTATCCAGGCTCAAAACTGCTTAACATCTGAGACCTGGTGAGACCGGGCACATTCTGGGTGTAATGGGTGGCGCACTGAACTTGCGATGCAGAGGTCGTCGGTTCTGTCTCCCAGCTGGCAGCTGAAAAAGTGGGCACGTTTTTTAAACTCCGGGAGATTTGATGGCAGGCATGTGCCCACCACGGCAGAGGCGATTGAGAAGGCCGCGTGGGTGAGGATGTGGAACAGGTGCCTCTCACCTTGACCTGCTCGTTGGAGGTAACGGCGCAGAAGACAATCTCGGTGAAGCCCTGCGTGGAGAACATGCGGAAGCAGATCCCTCCAATCACGCGCCCGTCCTTCACCAGCGCCAGTGTCTTGTGCTTCCTGTGCAGACGCCACCACCGTCCCACTTAGAGTCGCAACAAGACGTGGATTTACAGTGTCTGAAAGCGGCCTCATATGAAGATGCTGCGCTAAAACAGTGGGCACACGTATTTTATACAAGAGGTTCTATAGGAGTCTGGGGGTCCCTGCATGGGTCCATGGGTCTCTATCTGAGTCTATGGGTCTCTGTGCGAGTCTTTAGGTCTCTGTACGAATCTATATAACACAACACCGTCAGCAAGGTGACGGCACTCTGGTGTTTGTGCACGTGACCACATTGCCACGTACGGTTCGCGTGTCCGGGTTTAGGGCGAGGGTTAAGCGAGCCTGTGCGGTGAGCGTGCGGCAAGGAAGGGGCTCGCTCACGGGTCGAACACGAGTCGCGTGATGTACTCCTTGGGCATGCGCGGCAGCTGGTGCGAGAACACGTTCTGCAGCCCCACGAGCCACATGAGGATCTTGCGGTTGGGTTTCTGCGAGAGCGAGTTCCCCACCACGTGGAACTCGATGACGCCGCGCCGCTCCTCCATGCGCGCCGCCTCATCGCGGGCCGCGTGCGCCGACAGCAGGCTCGTCTGCGCATACACAAACACACACGGATGTATACATGCACACGTAGTGAGGACGACACAACGCACACACAAAGATCCCCCTGTGGAATGACAAGATCTCCCAAACCGTGAAGGCAAGTGCTGTGAGCGAGCACCTACGAAGGCAAGCACTGCACACGAGGGGGTGGCTGGCCAGCACAACGTGTCTTTGTCGCTCCAGTGTTGCACGCTGCACTAGGTATTCAATTAAGGTCGAGTCGAGCTCAGGGAGGCCCAGGCCCAACACTTCGTACACTGTGCGGGACTACACGTGCAGTGCAGCGCAGAGAGATAACCGTGCTGCAGAACGAGGCCCACGCGGCTCGCGTGAACGGGTGAGGTCTCACCTCGGGCCCCAGCATAGCGGCGGGGTCCGTGATGGTGGACATCACTTCGTTCACCAGCTCCATGGGGATGTCGCCCATCACCCGCTGCCTCTTGGCATCTTCCAGAGTCATTGACTCGTCGAGTTTGCGCTTCTCACCTGGAAAAAGTATCAGGGACAAGACAATGTAAACAAGGCTGCACGACACAAACATTAATTAAACACCCCCTCCTGGAGAAAATGTAATATAAAATGATATCAATTGCAAAGTGGCCGGGTGGCTCGGAGGTCAGAGCGCTGAGCTGCAAACGCTGAGATCCTGTGATTGAATCCAAGTTTCAGCCACCCAACTGTGAATGAACTAATATTTCAAGTGTAGCGAGTTAATGGTTTCGGCTCGATAACTATTGACAGAACAAAATAACCAAACAAATTTTTTATAAATTCCACCTCTGAGATTAAAAAATTAGGTCAGAATGTGCTGTCTTCTATTGGGTAGGCGAGATGTCACTTGATGGGTTGCAACTGGATGCTTCATCTCATGAAGCATCCATGACAAAGCCAACAGTACAAAATATGTAAAAAGATAATATTTTAATGCAGAATTCCTGGTCTCTCTATATCAATCAGGCACCGATTCCCACACACACCAGCCTCCCCGACGAGCCCGCCGTGACCATGCTGGCATCTCACCGGCCGCGCCGCCTTCCTCCCCCTTCCTCCAGGGGCTGAGCACGCCAGGGCTGAGTCCGCTAGCGCTGGACGGCTCGCCGGTGACACACGACACGCCCGACTGGAAGCTGAACTGCCGGTTGGACGTGGGGGTCCCGAGGCCCTGGCTTCCAGACACTGTCGCGCACGCGCGCACACACGCATGCACACACTGGCATTGAGAATATCCCCAGTTAAGCCCGACACATTGTAGGACAAGAGTGCAGAACCGTTCCCTCGCATACAGCACACATTACACACACCGCGTGATGCGCACCACACGCTCCACACGCTCCACACGCACGCTGCACATACCACGGTGTATATGCAGTGCCGTGCCTGCAGAGGGGGGCTATGTCTGCGATTGCCGACACTGGGTAAGTGCCACCTGTGTATGGGCGGGGGGGCCTCACCTGCCTGCAGAGCGGCCTGAGCGCCAGCGACGTCGGAGCCTGAGAAATCGGCGTCCCAGATTGGAGAACTGGAGCTGTATACCTCCTCCTCAAGCATGGACAGGAACCTGACCACAACCGCCAGCACCACACAACCGCCATCACCAGAACTGTCAGCAACTACAATCGCCACTCACTGGCAATTACAACCATCAGCAACCGCAACCACTGGCACCTCGGCAATCACCACCACCACCGTTAGCAACAACAACCACTGCCACAACCATTATCATCACAACCGTAAGCGACCATCTAAACCACAGCAACTGTCAGCCACCACAATACAATATTGCCTTCACGAACAACAATCAGCATTCACGCTGTCTCTTTGAGAGATGTAAAAATTGAATAATGTCACGCGTCTAATGCTCACACACAGTCAGGCTCCAAATCTGGCAAGTTCAAAAATACCCGCCTATAAATAGCTATCAGCCCTACCGGCAGTCTCGGAAATCAGATCCTGGTTTCTCACCTGGTGAAACAAAATACCCTTGCGACACACGCACACGCACGTTCGCACACGCCAGGAGTTCTCGTGCTGTGCGTTACTTGGGGAAGTGCGTGAGGATGAGCGTGCGCTGCTCCGCCGGGAGTTTGTCCTTCTCCTTGCGGAACTTCTCCTGCAGCTGCAGCCGCATCACGGGGAAGATGGAGCGCAGCAGCGTGCGGCCGAACACCTGCGTGGTGTCGTAGCAGGGCAGGCTGTCGCAGAACTGCGGCACGTTGCAGTAGCACAGCCACCTGGACCGCGCGCGCCGCAGACACAGCAAGGGGGTGAAACTCACCGACGTGGGACGCAAAATCGCGATGACGACACACGCCTAGCCCGTTTCCCAAACAGCGCAATGACTGCATTCATTCTCTAACTTAGCTTTAGTACAAATATTTTAAAAGTATTTTGACTGAGCCAACTTGAGTGATAGAACACGTTATTTTATTTAATACTGATATACATTTTTGCAGTTTTAATAAATTCACCTTGTGGGATGCAATTGCATAAACAACGCTATATAAAATGAAATTACTACTCACTACTACTACTCAAGCAGGAGTTCTCGGATTTGTTTTATTTTCCTTGCTCTAATTTTTCTTTATTCCTTTGTCATTTTTGTGACCAAGGTCACTCCGGCAAATAAGACTGGTCTCTTGAGTTCTCACATGGTGAATATTTACTAACTTCATGAAACTATTTACCCCTCGAAAACCTACTTGAGACTCATACTCGAGACTCATGTGAGTCTCAAGTAGGGCTGAATTTCAGCCGCGTCTGTCTTTAACAGTGACCCGGAAAATATTTCCACACCAAATCCAGTAAACCATCCGATATGGCTGTGGCTATTAGTCATGCGCCACCTACTCCAAGCTATAAGCAACCCAGGTTGCTGGAAGATTACTGATATCATATTTAGTGAGACATTAAGCTCTGGTCTCAAGACTCTTAGGTGACTACTTCAGGAGCACAGGTGCTGGGCAGGTGCCGGGGACCCCCCCCCCCCCCCCCCCCGGGACACCGGCTGGTGTGCACCTCCTCCCGGCACTCCGCACCTTGTGTAGTTGACCTTGTAGGCGGAGAGCTCGTCCGTCTGGGCACGGGCGCGCCGGTGGGAGGGCGTCTCTAGCCGCCAGTAGTTGAGGCAGCGCAGGAACATCTTGGCGAGGTCGTACATGGGCTGCCGCTCCTTGGGCGGCAGGTGGCTGAACTTGTACTGCACGAAGTTGGCCACGCCCTGCCGACGACAAGAGAAGCGTGAACGCCGTAGGGTCACAAGTGCTCTGCAGCAGGACCACTATTCCGTTTGTCCTTTGACTTTATTTGACAATGACAAAATCATCCTGAATGTGCCCAATCTTGAAAGCTAGCAGGGTTAAGCTTGTCCAATGCTTAAATGAGAGACTGTCTGGGAACACCAGGTGCCGTGTGGGCTTTAGCTGTTATGCGGCCAGGAGACGGTGATACAGCAATATATATTTTTTTATATACCTGCGAGGATCTTTCAGCATTAACCCTTAATTAGTGATGACATTTCTCCATCTTCTCAGATTTCCTCCAAACACTCATTCATAAAACTGGCCAAACATTTCAATGCAAGACTATCTTGAAAAATAATCTTGAGACTCTTAAGGTTTCAAGAAAATATTTCTTATTCATTTACCTGCCCCAACCACCCACTTCACCTTGCGTGTGATAAGCAGACAAGTAAGCAGGGCTCGGGCGAGAGAAGGGCTGTACCTTCTCGATGCTGGGCTTCTCGAAGGGCGGGCTTCCCAGTGGCCCCTCCACCACGGGCTTGCTCATTTGCAGGATGCACTTCCTGAGAAGCTACGCAAACAGCACAGTGCAGCGGCGCTCTCTCAGCACCCAGCAGCGCACCGGCACTTCCACACACACTTGAGAAACTGCAGTCACGGTCCAATGCACTCACCTCTGAAGATGAGACAATCAGAAAACTATCAGTGAATGAACCGCAGATCCGCTTGACGATAAAAGTTAAAATAAACATGCCGACATAAGAATTATGAGGCACGATGACGAAAGGTGCCTTGAATGCAGACCCACATGGTCTTGCTGATATTTTGTTCAGCACCACAGGAACAGGGTGGAGTGATCCGTTAAGAAGCCAGTGACCCAAGTTTGATTTCTGGCTACGGCTAACATTAGTGGTGATATCTAAACCAGTCCTGGGGAGACTGTACAATAAATAAATACAAACAGGAGGAACACAATTATTTTTTGTAAAATGTTCATATTTCCTTCCACCGCACGAACCACACGGTAACAACTGGAGGTGCTACGTTTTTTTAATTGAATGGGAAGATGAGGCGGGCTCGTCGCACCTTGAAGAGGTAGAAGAAGACCTGCTTAGTGTCGGCGTCCTCCTCTTTGGTGACACAAATGAAGAGGTTCTCCACGTCCACCACGATGCCCAGCAACCGGTTCATCTCCTCTTCCGACACGTTCTCCAGGTGAGACACATGGTCGGCTGTGGACCAAGTGGTCGGCACACGGAACGCCGCACCAGAGGCTTACCGGTCGGTACAGGTGCCGGCGATCACAGCGCGAGATTGTTTGAACAAATACAATTGTTTAAATGTACATGTTAAACTTCTTTCTCACTGTACGTGTTCATCACGATGGTAACAATGAGTTAGCAGTATATACAGGTGGCCTGAGTTGGGATTAAGGAGGCTCAAATTAAATGATTTTTAAGTGAAGCAACCCCAGCTCCTGCTGCGATTCATCATTGATGTTTACTTGCAGGCTTGGCGAAAGTTGAAAGTTATATTGCATCTGCAGATATTGGGATAAGTATGCAGTCTCTTTGGCACTGCTGTCAAACCCGGCTGAGGCATATTTACCTTATTATCAAAATGCCTCATCTTAACCATGGACTGTGAAATTCCATAGTTTGTTTTTCTTTACTCTTAATCACGACAGAAACACAGCTGTATATGTCCCGTTTCAATGCCGAGTGGTGGTATAGGCGTTAAAAAAACTATTCACAGCACTTTGTCCAACCCTTGCTGTGTGGGCTGTAGGAGCACAGAGGAAAACCTACAACATGTGTTCACAAACCAGTTTACAATCCACTGATGGACGGACGCCTGACCACACTATGTAGGTCACGGGGGTTTGTTTCACTAGATTCACCACCGCTGGTCAGTGCTGGTTGGTGAAGGGAGAGGTCGCTGCCGGGACCGGTCTAGACACTCACCACCGATGTTGGTTAACCCACAGCCTGCAATTGAACTCGGGCCACCAGACTGCTCCCGTCGTGCGCTAATCACGATGCCACCACTCTCCCCCTGAATGCGGGATCGCCTCGCCTTACCGAGGACGTGATTACAGCTGCGGCAGGGATCGCTGAGTGAGGCGACGTTGTGCTGCTGCACGTCCACAGTGGGAGGGTTCGGCGCTTGGTTGGGGTTCTTCCAGCCGTTGCACTTGCACGAGTCGTCGGCCTACAACAGCGTACCATTGATTTCGTGAAAGATCTCAATGGTGGGAAATATTTACCAACACAAGTGTTTGTATTATTTTACTTTAGTCAACGATGATGACCGAGTTGGACGCAAATCATCTCCAGCATGATTATAGTGGCGAAGACACCCTGACAAACTCTGAACCACTTTGGACCCCCATAGGGCCCTCAGGAGTCTTGTTACAGAAAAAAAATGTGCTTGATTTAAAGTGAGGTAATTAGCAAGCGCACTCCATGCACACTCTGCTCCCCCCTGTGTAATATACAGGATTGATTGGTGATACTGCTTTGGCAGTCACGCACAAACACAGACAACAAAACACACATTTGTCATGAATAACGCTGTGGCTTTAAGATAAAAAATATACAAAAGGCGACGTTCCAGACAATGGCCCTTCATGGGATGGTTTTGATATTAAGGACCATTTCCACAAATGTAGTCTATTATATTTGTTTCCTTTTTCGATTTAAAGCTTTCGTGACTGCAGGGATTCATCTTCTTGTTTACCGAAAGAAACAAGAAGATTTGTTTCCTTTTAAGGCCAAACCGTTATTGAGGAACGTATAACATACATATATATACATACCTGTACAACCAATACCAATACCTGCCATTCGCCACTAAGTGATGGTGACATCACCACGGCGCCTGTACCAGGCCAGGTGCACTTTTAGGCCATGTGAAGTGTCGAAGGCTTGCTGACAGAAGGTCTCAGGACAGTCCCAGGTGCCATGGGTTGGCTGACTGAGACGACCGGTTGATGTACCAGCTGTACCCCCGACTGTGCTAACTTTATGCATTTTAATCGCACAGTGCTCCGCTCGTTGTTGTGAGCGTCGCTCCTCTGCCCTACGTTGTTACTGGAGGGCAACTGCCTCCAACTGCTCAGTAGCGTCCTTTACAAGCCTCCGTCATAGAGACCAATCTTGACACCACTGGTGCCAGTCGTCGCCAAGTCCACTCGGCTCCACATCCTCCCGTACCGCATCAGTCCATCTCTTCTCCAGCCCATGTCGTGTCCGTTTAGCCACCTCTATGCGGCCAAACAGAAGCTGCTTGGGCATGTGGTGCCTGGGCATGTGGGCTACATGACCCAGCCAATGCAGCCTTGCTTGCCGGAGGAGCTGACTGATGGGATTGTGTCCAAATCTTTCAAGGATTTGTGAGTTCCTTACAAAATCCGGCCTGGTTAAACCCAGGATAGATTGTAGGCATGCCAGCCTGAATGTTTCGAACCAATGCAGATGTTCCATTAGAGGGGTCCATATTTCACAAGCGTAGAGAAGGGAGGGCAAGACTGTGGCCAAGAAGTCCTGAAGCTTGGTGCAGAGCGACAGACCAGATAGCATCCACACAGCCGATAAAAGTGATAATGCCTCCCAACTGATTCGGAGCGAGACCTCTGCTGTCAAACCAGAGCTGGTTATAAACACACTGCTCCATCACCAATGGGCAGCTGAGGGGGTGGAGTATTTGGTGACACAAAATACCCAGGCAGGGGTTTAGTTTTGGTGGGGCTGATGGTAAGACCCCACCTCTTAGTGGCACACTCCAGGTTCAGCAACAGCGCCTGCAACTCCTCCTCTGAGTGAGCAGCAATCACCAGATCATCAGCATACATAACATAGTTGACCAATAGGGAGCCATCCCTCAACCCTTCGCGAACATCGATCAGAATCTGTACCAGATGGAAACTCCTCCGGTTATAGCCATGCAAAGCTTCTTGAACTACGTGGTCAAAGATGATGTTAAATAATGTGGGAGCCAGAGGACATCCCTGTCGCACCCCAAGGTAAACAGGGAATGGCTCCGACTCTTGGTCACATAGTTTACCTGGGCCTGCCCACCATCATGAAGGCCCTTAATGATTGTGAGCAGAGTCTGGGACTCTGAAAGCACGAAGAACTGCCCATAGCTCTGGCCTGTTGATGGTTTCATAGGCCTTGACCAAGTCAATAAAGCAGATTTAGGTCTCGTTGGAATTCCCTACACCTCTGTTGTAGCAGACGGACGAAGAATATGGCATCTGTGCAGGAACGCGCTGGTCTGAAACCACATTGGGGCTCCGCAAGCCTCTCCTCAGCGTGCCTGGCAAGGTGATGTTGAATAATTAATCCTTGCCAGGACCTATCCCGGTACACTGAGAAGAGAGATTCTCCAAGAGATGTTACAACCTGTGCGGTCCCCTCTTGAAGAGGGGGACCACCAGGGCAACCTTCCAATCCTGCAGAACTCGTCCTGTGGTCCACAGTTGTGATGATGTAATGTAGGGCAGTCTGCACACAGAGGCCACCCTCCCTTAGCATTTTGCTTGGGAGATCATCTTTGCCTGGCATGTTTCCTGGTCTCAGACTTCAGATCACCCCTCACACTTCCTCCACAGATGGCACCTCAGCCAACCATTCAGAAGGGGTAGTGACTTCTGCCAATATTTGAGGCACCACAGCCCTAGCAGGGTTGTCCCCACTTTTCCCCATGATATTGTATGGGCTGAGGGAATTCCCCTCCCCCAAGACCGTTGTTTCCCTTAAGGATGGTGATAGGTGAGGTCGCTGCAAGTTACCTTTTTATGGAATTAAACTGATTTGTGATTGCAGGCTACTGAGACAGATTGCATCTCCTCAGCAACCCACTCCCACTATTTATCCTTGCAACGCCGCACGGCTCTCCGAATCTCCGAGCGAAGGCTGTGGTAAGCCTCATTCTCCGATTATGGATTCTGTAGACGACGTGAGTGGTCCTGTCGTTTTCTCTCAACCAGCCAGAACACCTCCTTTAGCAAGCATCTCTGGGGAGGTCTGGACCGCATACCCAATGCAGCCGTGGCAGCTGCATGAGCCACAGTCCTGAACCTCACCCATTTCTCCTCAGCATCAGAAGGAGGTGGACACAATACTAACCCCAGCTGCAAGCAATGTTGAAATTCCTGCTTGAAACTATCTTCAGCTAGCTGAGACCAAGCAACTGTGGGTTTGAATGGGGTCCTAGATGGAGACCCACCACCGGAATGGAAGAATGTCAGGCGCATTTTACAGATGACAAGTCGATGGTCAGTGGGCAGATCAGCTCCACGGTAGGTCCTGGTGTCAAGGACATGGGTCCACATCTGCTGGTCCGTCACTATATAGTCCAGCAGATGTTCTTTCCTGGACCTGGCGTGCATCCATGATGTTGTGTGGATCTGCCGATGCTGGAACAGCGTGTTCATAATTACAAGCCCATGGGCTGCACAGAAGTCTAGCAGCCTCCTTCCTTTATTGAGCTGATCTGGCCCATGCCTTCCGATCATTCAAACCCATGTGTCTGCGTCATGATCCACTCGGGCATTAAAGTCACCCAACAGGATGACTCTATCCCAAGGGGCCACTTTAGCTAGCACCTGGGACAGGAGGTTTATAGAAGGCATCAGACTCATCGGCCCTGCCTGCATCCCTCCACTGATGTTCATTTTCGGTGGGGGCAGGAGTATTCCAGTACACCCCACAGTAAATACACTACAGTACGACAGACTATGTAAACATACATAGACTAGAACGCACGCACACAGATACACAAACACACGAGGACACCGAGAATACGCACACTAATGCCACACGCTCTCAGGGAAAAGGGCGCCAAAAACAAACCGCCGTCAAAAACGTTGAAACAAAAACGTTAAAATAAAAAAACAATAAAAAAACGCTACTTTAACGCACACTAATAAACACGTAGATATATGCAGTACTATGAGCACCTACCTTCATACAAACGTTCAATAACTTTTGATTTAAATTACACACGCACGCTCACACAATAACGCGATCGCTGAGGCGATCTCCGACACCCACAACACCTTTACCCCCTCCTCCTACTAGCCCCTCCCCCTCCTACTAGCCCCTCCCCCTCCTACTAGCCCCTCCTACTAGCCCCTCCCCCTCATACTAGCCCCTCCCCCCTCCTACTAGCCCCTCCCCCTCCTACTAGCCCCTCCCCCTCCTACTAGCCCCTCCCCCTTCTACTAACCCCTCCCCCCTTACTTACTCCTCCCCCTTCATAACCCCTCCCCCCACCTAACCCCTCCCCTAACCTGTACAACAAAGACAAAGATCCCCCGTGTAGCCTCAACACTGTTGGGGAAAGTGCTGTTAGCGAGCACCTATGAAGGCCGCAATGGCACACGAGGGAGTGGGTAGCCAGCACCACGCCCGGCCGCCTTTGTCTCCCCAGTGGCGATGTTTTTACACACCGCACCAGGTACTGATTTGAGGCTGTTGAGGCTGAGTCGACCTAGGGGAGTTCCAGGACCGGTTTGGATAATCGTCACTGGTGTTGGCCACGAGCGGGAATCGAACTCGGTGGCGGAGTTCATTGACCAGCGCGCTAACCGCTGCGCCACCGCTCCCCACACAACACACGCGCGTGCACGCTTTACATCTCGCAGCTCGCATAAGCGGCGGCGTGGCGCCTACCCGCGCTGGGGAATGCAATGCGCGGCCTTGCCTTGCAGGCCGAGTAGACCCCCAGCTTCTCCAGCTTCTTGCTGTGCGCGTAGCCGCGCACCTGCGCCTTCCTCTGCGCGATGCGCTGCAGGTTCTCGGCGCGGCTCATCTCCACGGGCCCCACCGCCGAGCCCGCCTTCTTGGGCGCCGTCTCCGCGCTCGCGACGCCGACGCCGCTGCCAGCCGAGGCCACGGGTGGATCCGCGCCGCTTTCCGCCATCGCGGGGAGGGCGGGGCTACACGCGGGGGGAGGGGCTTAGATAGATGGGCGGAGCTACACACGGATGGGCGGGGCTTAAATAGATGGGCGTAGCTACACGTGATGGGCGGGGCTACACGCGATGGGCGGGGCTACACGTGGTGGGCGGAGCTTAGATAGATGGGCGGGGCTACACACGGGGGGAGGGGCTTAGATAGATGGGCGGGGCTACACGTGGTGGGCGGGGTCTCGACGAGCTTCTGGAGTGTGCTTTGAAGAACATTTCCAGGGCCATTACCCGAAACGTCCAAGTTCAAGTTCATTTATTAGTTTTCGATTTAAAGCTTTCGTGACTGCAGGGATTCATCTTCTTGGTTCTTTCGGTAAAGTCACGTAGAATGGAAATAATAAAATCATAAAAATAAAACATAATAAAAATAATTCTCACGACGTTTCGGCCACAACGCAAGCGTCTGAATGAGACTCTGTCTTCTCGACAGACCTGTTCTTCACCTGAGGACGGCTGCTTGCGTTGTGGCCGAAACGTCGTGAGAATAATTTTATTATGTTTTATTATTATTTCCATTCATGTATTAGGTAAAGCCCTGTGAGCCATTCGGCTCTTGAATCGGGTGCAACCGCAACAAACAAAAAACAAAACATGAACAAGAAAACATCTTAAAGTGACTAAGTGCAAACAGAAAATCCAAGAAAAGACAGAAAAATATTGCAGAAAAAGCACCGCACACCAACCCTGTGCAAAAATCCCAGTGGGATGCAAGTCAAACAACAACAACCACAAGACAACTTAGATTAAGGCCATCAATCTAACTCCGTACTACAACAAACAAACATGGCCAAACCAAAAAAACTTTTCGAAAATCACCAAAATAAAGTCATAAAAGCAATGAAACAGTGATATTTGTATTTTTATCTTTTAAAGGCCACACTGTGATTGAGTTTTTTGGAAAGACTGAGAGCCAGAGAGCTCTGGGGGTGGGGCCACTCAGAGGGCGGAGCCTGGGGCGAGGGAAGGGGCCGCGCGGTGCCAGACCCGAGGGGAAAACCCTCTGTCGTCATCCACCAGCCAGGATCGATCCACTGCTAGATGGCGACTTACCAAAATCGGCACCGACCGAGTGAGCAACTTGCTCAAGTTAAAAACATTCATGCTACGGCCAGCCAACTTAAGATTCCAAGCAGAAGCGCGGGCGATACGCGTGCGAACGTGCGAACTCGAGCGAGATGAGTTTGTGTGTGTGAGAGAGAGAGAGAAACCTCTGTCCTGGCAACGCCGCGTGGAGGTGGCGGCAGAATAAAAAGTGGCGGCCGCAGCCCCCGGGCTCCCCCGCCTCCTCCGCCTCCTCCTCGCCGGTCCCGGTCAGCTGGGAGAGACAATCGTTTTCGTTTTAGAAGCATTGTACAGCGCTGCTCGCAAAGCACGTGGACATTTCTGTTTGGCAGCGCACGTGGACTGCGACTCCGGGGGGTTGCCAGCCTTTGAAATCGGCTGGAACTCAAATTTCGTGAAACTTTTGTGTCCGACGCAAAACTGCATTCGTCCATACTTGGGCACGCCTGTGATCTGCATGGCTTCATCGCTCTACGTCCACAACTATGCTTCGGCGAGGTGAGCCTTTTGTCCGGAGGGAATGTGAATTAGAAAAGATCATCATTAGTTTGTAAAAAAAAAAATCGATGCCAACTTAATGCGCCCGCGAGCTCCTCCACCGCGGAGACGGAGCGATGTAATTGGAGCTCTGTGTGCGGGTGCTGCTGGACTGGATTGCCACATGGCGAGGCCGTGGGAGATGGATCCATTGGCGAGGAATTCCTCCAGCAGTGTTAGTGACGATGGTGGCCGATCGAGTGGAGTTGGCGAGCGCGATGGTGCAGTTCCCGTGAGCCAGCTTGCTGGAAATTCCACGTTCCCATGACGAGGCAATTCCGCCCAAACGAGAAGTCGTCTCAAGGTGCGCGACTTGTTCACCCCGCGGAGGTGATGGGGGGGGGGGGATAGCCATGTTCAACTTTTAGTCACGACCGCCTTGAATTTTGCGATCTTTCGCAAGTTACTTGCAGCAACTGTATATCGTAATGCAATTAACTTGCACTCCATTCGTAAAATTACATTAAATTGTTCTCTATAATTGGTCATCTGATAATTATCGTTATTTTCTGCAGGGCGCGTGGATTTAAAAGTTTAAACTGCCTCCGATGGGCAACCAGAAATTGTAGATATTGGAGCTGAACTCCCCGCGTGTAACAACCAGCGTGGTGTGTCACTCGTGCGCCTAAAGGGGGCACTGCCACAAACTTCACATACTTGCACAAATGTAAATAAAGTAACGCAGTTTCAATTGCGATTGGTACAGACTGGGGCGCGCAGCCTATTTGATGAGAACTCGACAAACCGGTAGTCCTCGCACAATGGGTGCATTTCATCTGCTGGTTAAGGATGATACAACAACGGAGCAAGATGGAAGATTTGGCTTTTAGTTTTAGACTCTGCCCGTGGAGCCGCGACGAAGCCGCCAAATCTCACACGGTCCGACTGCAGTGCGCGATGAAGTGGGAACGCGAACCACGCGAATTGATGGGGGTGCTGTGTGTGGGGGGGGGGGGTGTGGGGGGGGTGCTGTGTGTGGGGGGGGGGGGGTGCTGTGTGTGGGGGGGGGGGGGGGGGTGCTGTGTGGGGGGGGGGGGGTGCTGTGTGTGGGGGGGGGGGGTGCTGTGTGTGGGGGGTGCTGTGTGTGGGGGGGGGGGGGGGGGGGGTGCTGTGTGTGGGGGGGGGGGTGCTGTGTGTGGGGAGGGGGGGTGCTGTGTGTGGGGAGGGGGGTGCTGTGTGTGGGGAGGGGGGTGCTGTGTGTGGGGGGTGCTGTGTGTGGGGGGGGGGGGGTGCTGTGTGTGGGGGGGGTGCTGTGTGTGGGGGGGGGGGGGTGCTGTGTGTGGGGGGGGGTGCAAAGTGGCGATTGGCACCGCCTGGAGGATTGTTTCAACACAAGGGGCCTCGGGTGCAGTGAGTTGGCGGTCTCGGCCTCATCACTGCATACAAACACAATTTGGTTTTCGACTTGATTGGGAAATAACTGAATTAAAATTTTCGTTTTCCATGTGACGAACTTGTGAACTGTAACACCTTCATACCAAATTAGTGTTTTGCACTTGTTTTCTAAATATTGGCAGAATCAAAACTAACGTGCTTGGGTTTACAAGTGGATAAGTCGAACTGCAAATTGAAAGTTTGGTCCACATCTCGTGCCACTGACGTTGCCGATGCATAAACCCTTGAGCGCCGACTTGTAAAGGTGACAACTCGTGACCTCTGCCCTCCCATATCCGTGCAGCGGCGAGGCGGCTGAGGAAGGGGACCAGGATGCCTTCTGCGTCTTGGAGCTATGCGACCCGCGTTCGCACCCCGAGGCGGACCCCTCCTCCATCACCTTCTTTGGGGCCCTGTCGGAGGCCGAGGAGGGCAGCGGCATCGTGGGAGCTCCGCCGCATCGCTGCGACTCGGTCGCCACGCGTCCGCCGGGGTTTCTGAGTCGCGTCCTCGCGGCGTTCCTGCGTTGGATTCGCAACCGCGACAACCGCAACGCTGCGGGGGATGCACGCCGAGACTCGCGGGGCCGCGAGGGGGAAGGCCCGGAGGAGTTTCCACTTGTGCAACTTTGACCGCAAAAGACTTTACACGTTTTAACTATGGGGGGATTTTGAAAGTGGTGTTAAAAAAAAAAAACTGCCTCAACTCTTTCAAATGGCATCGACACATTCACATGGGCGTTTAGGCAACAAAGGGTGATGATAAAGTCGTGCGAAAACGTGTAACCAAACCCTACCTCCCGCGATTCAGATCGCTTTCCTTTTAATCTGATTTTATTTTGGGGGCAATGCACACGGGTGGTGAATTTACCGTGACTTCTGATGCGACTTGATACTGATGTAGTTCGCAATATTGAATTGGCCAATAATTTTTAATTAACATTTTAAAGCGTGTTTTTACTTAACTTTCCTGCATAAACGTTTTGAGACTGAATATGAACCTAACCAACTTTGCGCAGTCACAATACAAGGGGCTCCAATGTGCCTAACGTGAAAACAAACCACTTGGTAACTAATAATGTGACGTTGGTTATGGAAATGTGCGTGTCATGGGACAAACCACTTGTCACAAAGGTTGTGTTACCCTTGCCTTTTAAACTGTGCAGGTCAATTTTGTATTAAACACTTTTTACCCGTGACCTCTTTGGTTTTCCATCATGGCCAGCAATAGATGGTGGAAAAGAACACCAATTTAGTTCCAGTAAAACTGAAGTAAATCACTAATAGCATAGTAGTTCCTTACCCATTTGATACTAAAGCAGTGAACACTACTTGTGGATTTCATATAAAGAACAATATGGCCCCAGAATAAATTAACTCTGTTCAACAAACTCCCCAATAAGCCATGCAGTTCATAGTTATTTTGCTGGGATACAAGATTGGCTTTTAAAATCCTTTAGCTCTTTGTAATCAACCTTGGCAGCAGCAGCACCATCTAACAGTGGATGACAGAAGAATGAAGTTCGGCACCAGAAAATTCATTGGATTTCGGAAAACATTTTTTATAGTGCACTAAACAGGAACAAACATTTCTGTAACAATTCATGAATTAAATTTATTGTATACAGAAAAATCTAACTCGTTAAATTCTAATGAAGCCACCTTAAAGTAACTACATGTGGTCCATGATTTAAGACTACACAGGATTTGCCTGGAGATGTAATTGGACATCAGTGGGTGGCCTATGTACAAATCAGATTTCTGTGGAATAACAGGCACCAATCCATTAACCTGCTCTTTCAAGTGACGCTGAGAAAAGGGAGGACATTCCATGAACAAATCGGCATAAACCCTGCATGAGCAGCAGACAAGACAACCTCCGATTTTTCCTGCCACAACTATTACACCAGATCCTTGTCTGCAGAGACTGAATTGGAGAGCGTTAACACGTCGCCCTGCCACACCCGTCATGAACGACAAAAAAAATCCAACTCCCTCGCGGTCCAGTTTCACCAATGCACAATGAGGTTCGCTACACTTTGTTATGCTGTTAATAACCGGTAATGTTATGACTATTGTTAATGCATGCACAGAACTGTTTCATATTGCAACTTGTACATATCCTGAAAACAAAACAATCGTTAAGAGCTGATCATTGACGGCACTTGACCAATACAAAAAACGTCCTCGTACATCAGCCCTCATCAAGATACAAATGCCAAAACTTCCTTTGCAAATTTAATAACAGGATGATTTTTCTACATCAACGAGGTTTTTATTTTAAACAGGATTCAAACGAGGAAACCCTTGCCGACCGACGCGCCGGCTGGCCGATTGCGCCGGGGCGGTTGCTTGCAGACAGACGTGGTGGTGACGGTGCGGGGTGCGTGCCGCTGTAGGGGGGGGGGGGTGCCGGTGGTGGTGATGTCGGCACCAAGTTAACTACAGCAGGTCCTCCTCTGGTGGCTGTCTGGTCCAGCGGCCACCTGCACCGTACCCGTTGTTTTTGTGCCTGTGCCCGGTGGCTCGCTCCGTGGCAGCTTTTTGGCTGCACCGTAACAACTGAAGAAGAACAATAAGCATTGCGTTTTCTGGGATTTCAAAAGTTGGCTCTGTGATATCCGCTTCTGTGGGCAATTCCCTAACACGTAGGGTCACACTGCTCTGCGAGAGATAAGGAGCACTTTGTCACATGACGACGATAGCACAATTCGGATAACATTGGGGAAGTGACAATGTTAACTTAATTTCCTTTACTATCCATTAGAAGCCTCAACGAGTTGCAAGACTCTTTCAGAACACTCCTGCATGGCATATTTGAAATATTTCTACATGTTTCAATATTACGAATATATTTCACTGTCATGCATTCCAGGTGAATTGGTCATTTGTATCAGATCTCAAAAGCTTAGCAGGATTGAACACTTGGATGGGTGGCCACTGCATGTGGGAGGTTGAGAGCTGCAGAGGGCAAATGTAAAATATACTGATTGTATTTCATATATAGCCATTAACACTCAATTACAACACGTGTTACATAAGGAAGCTAACATTTTACAAAACACCTTTAAGAGTCTCCTCAATACAGTAACGAGAATAAAGTGATGAGGGACCATACCTATTGCCAAGAATATATCATTGACATTCATCGCCGTCTTCGCCGACGTCTCCATAAACAAGAGTCCGTTGTCGTCCGCGTACGATTGCGCCTCCTGCCGACGGCAAAACCAGTGTCAGTATTCCACAGCACCTTCTTTGTGTTTTGCCATCACAAAGTCAATATTCAAACCACTCGATTTTCCATGTAACATTTGAGTTCAATCGGCCGTTTTCTTTTCACCTTCTCGCCCTCACCGTCGGTGACAGTTCCTGACAACGTGGACGGCCGTGTGTTGGGCAGCTCGGCAGCCACGTGCAGTAGGGTTGGAGCGCACACCAATAAGGTGCCAAGAAATCGGTGTGGCACACACACCGTGGCCCAATATCAGTCTCTTACAAAAACTGTAATTACCACTCCCTCACTATGGCAGACTAGACTCAATTGCCACACGAATACCACAGCCACCACGATAAGCCATACTCTATTACCAAGCCACCGACGCTCTCAGGGCAGACCCAGACTCCCACCTTCAATTAGCACGGTTGGCCAGGTCCGGTGTCAAAGGAGTTCAACATGCATACACAAATACTCGCCTCGAACTCCACTATCCGCTTGCTGGCGAGGTCGGCTTTGTTCCCGGCGAGTGCGATGACGATGTTGGGGCTGGCTTGTCTCTGCAGCTCCTTCACCCAGGTTTTGGCACGAGAGAACGTGTCCTGCATAGAGCACGCAGACGTGGCACAGAATGAATTCTACGTGTTTTTGCGTTGTGTTTACCAAAAGTGGACATTGTACACAGGGGGATCTATCATGCCTCAAGAAGGAACACCAGTGCCCACTGTGTACCACCACTCCACTCACTGATCCGACTTTCAAACAGCAACTGCTTGTGGGGTGACAGGGAAGGGCACTCAGGTTCTACAGGCAATGATCTCACCACATTACACCTCACCATCACTTCCTTCTGCCATATTCTTGCAGCAGTTGCAATGTGAACAGTTGATCCTCCAAGGTCTGCTTAGTCGCATCCCACTCATGGAGCTTTACACTCGGGGTGTGGATGTAAGAGCCACCTTCCCGCATTATGTGGTGTCCCAGGTTTACTGGGTGCTAGAACCATCACTGAGGCCTTGAACATAGAAAATACACAGAAATCTCAACATAGACCTGAAGTGTGTTGGTGACAATTGTTGTCGCCTTGGCAGTGATGTGGTGGTGGGTCTGGAAGTGGTGGATATGTTTTTGGTTGTGCTGGCTGTAGTGTTGACTGAGTGTTGAGTCACTTTTTGGTGACGATGGCTGTAATTACGATGGTAGCGAAGATTACAGTGGCACGGTTTGCAGTGGTCAACAGGTGTTACGTCTCGCTTGTGGCGATGGGCGCGTCGGTGGTGTTGGCGGCGAGCGGGGCTGGACCTGGTTGGTGATGTCATAAACGATGATGGCCGCCTGCGCTCCGCGGTAGTACATGGGCGCCAGGCTGTGGTAGCGCTCCTGCCCAGCCGTGTCCCAGATCTCAAACTTCACCGTCGTGTCCTCCAGGCACACCGTCTGCGTCAGGAACGCCGCTGCACACGGCCCACAGCTGTTATCTCGCAAATGCAGTCACCCCCTCCTCCATGCCAGCGTTTAACAATATTAGCGACAAAAATATTCGTCAGCCAAGTGTTTTGTTACTGTAGTCAACGATGACAAACTGCATCAAGCGTTACGGTGACTTCCACTAACCGCTAAATATCAAAGCACGATTATGACGAATTGAAATAAACTACTGTAGTGTGAATAAACATGCAGGCTAGGATACTAAATATATTGCAGTGCACAGACGAAGACCAACAATTGGTCAGTGGCTATATATGTATATGAGAAGACTTCCAGCCATCTGCAAGACTTAGCGTGTCACTGGTCTCAGCCATGTTCACCGATGACTACAAAATAAGATCACCGCAGTCGAATTTTTTTTGGGCAATTAATTTGGTTGAATCCAGGCAAGCCCGAAGCAGCCCCGTGCACAACGACACAAAGCACAACTCCTAAGGGAAGACCGAGTGTGGGAGCTTTGTGAGACGGACCTCATTGAAGGCCATCATGCGAAAGGCTTAAGGATGTTGCTACCACAATGTTTCACAATGAGATTGTTTATCTCTGCCATCACAGAGGATTTGGTTTTGTTCATAGACAAATATTAGGGATTCTTATTCCAAGAAAAGAGTCTCATTGAATTGAGTCAGCTGCTCAGACTCCCTGTCTCCATGTGCTTCTTTTGTGTCTATTGCTGTCCTCGTATCCAAATCCACTGCATGCGCCCATCTCTCGCTCGGTTTTCCTGAACCCCTTCTGCCCTGCACCACCGGTGGCATCTCAACAGTACTTCTACTCATCTTGGCACTAACATGGTGCGACGGGCGATGCAAAAAACAACACGTAAACAGCCATCTTGGCTAAAAATACCAACTGAAAGCACTAATTTGCATGGTAACTGCAAGTGAACATAATGCATCATACTTAATTACCACCGGAGGGCCCAAGACGACATCATGCGAGACGGGCAAACTCCCCCGGGCAACGTGATAAGAACGGAGTTCATTAAAGCAATTGGACATTCACAGTGCTTGTGCTCTGCCATTGCCACGACTGGGCATAAAAGAAGGGCAGATGACGCGACATACGAGGACATTATTAGGCAGCGCACCTTTACACCTGAGATGCTCCCAACCGCGTACACTAGTCATTTATAATCAGAAGGAATTGACGGGGCGTTACAACTGCTGCGGTTTCCAATTTTCAAAACTTTACCAAGGCGGTCGGTAATCGTTATCCATAATATCCATCGTCCACCGAAATTAAACACATTTGCATAATCAGTTACTTTTAAAAAGCATGCGCATGCATGAATTATTAAATGCTCTAAAACATGTGTTTGTCATCAGAAGGGTTTCATTGGCAATATGAAATGCAACAAGGCAGCTGTTTGATCAAACTGCATTTGCATCTTTGCGAACAGTGCTTTTTAGTTTGGTTTGTTCAAGGCTAAGGGTAACAGGCCTTGAATAAATCTGTTCTGGTTTTGAAAAGGATAAGTCTCGAATGGCAACACAAATTGACACTACAGGTTTTCTCATATTGGATCATCTTTACGAGTCACAGTCCCCCTCTCCACGAATGCTCTCAACCGTAGTTGAGAAGTGTGCTGGCCCTAAACCCTTTCAGAACAACCCACTGAGCCAACGCCGTCTGTGCCACAGCCCTGATCACATCCCAATCATCCCCCCCAACTTTCCAAGCTCCGTCCGTGACGCCGGTCTCCCTCACCGCCGATGGTGCTCTCCTGGTACTCGTGGAACTGCCCCTTGACGAAGCGTAGCACCAGGCTCGACTTCCCCACCGCCGACTCGCCCAAGAGCACCAGCTTGAACTGCAGGATCTTGCTGGTGGACGCCAGCGCGCCGGCCGTGGTGCCGTTGGTGCGGGCCGTGGCCCCTCTGGCCGCCATGCCTAGCGCGGCTACGGAGCTCTCGCTGCTGTGTCGCTCGCGGACGGGCGGCTCGCACGGTCGGCCGGTCCGCGGTTACAGCTCCTGACCGCGAGTGGTTTCTGCGCAGCGGGACACGCAAAATAACACCGCAAAAATGCCGTCTTTCACTCGTGCCGTGACAGAGGTGTTTGTCGAACCCTCGCACAACACTCCAAAACCAGCCACCCATGTCTTACAAAACGCGCCCACTGCCTTGATTTGCAGACAATGCGCCCGTCAGTTGGCATGGATGGGTAGGTAGGTGGGTAAGGGGACAGCTGGGCAGGTGGACAAGTGGTGAGGTGGTAAGTGGACAGGCAGACAGGTGGGTGGGTAAGTGGATGAGTGGGTTAAGTGGGGAGGTGGACAAGGAGGTGTGGGGCTGCTGCTATATTTCGAAATTAGCTACTGAACTGTGCGATTCACCGTCACGATTTGACGAGTTAAATTCTCTCTCATTTAAAATTGTGGTTAATGTGTAACAGCAGAAATCATTCATCCAGCAGTGGATTGACAAAAGTGCTGGCCATGTAAATTATGAGCTTAAACATTTCTAACAAGTCAAGTCTAGGAGTAAATATACCTCTAAGGTGCATCGCATATGTCTGCCGAGGAAGAACCTTTATATTACATTCACGTTCCTTTTTATTCTATTCTTGCGTATGATGGCAAATATATTTCAAGAGTTATATGTTGAGGTCTGCTAGCCACGAGGAAGGATCAGGAGAGAGTTTGGGTTGTTTTCCCATTCCTCCTCCGATGAAGGAGCACAGATTACAGGAGTTTACGATATGGCCCCTACACTTTGGGTTGCATGGCAACAATCGCAGTTCCTTGCATTTCATTTTCCATTTATGAAGGAAATGCGCTCAACATGACAACACATTATGACACAAACTTCTGTATTCCGCGTGAGCCGAGTTTCACTCTTCATGTAAAGGCACAACCTGAAACACGGAAGCCCGTTATCGAGGAGACAGATCGTTATCCCCACGGTAACGTGAGAGCTCGGTTCGAGTGCAGCACAAGGGGCACCACAGCTCTTAACAAAAGTTCAGGTGGCACAGCGCAGAGCCGTGTGGGGTTGTGGAAAGTGAAATGCCCTGGCCCTTTTGCTCTTCATAAAAAGGCTTCCAATTCTGCACACGGTGTTGCCAACTTAGTCTACAAAACACTGCGACCACGTTCGTGCCGAACACAGAAAAACAGCAGCAGCGACAACAAACTCAAAACGGGATGTGACCAAGTTGTTATTTAAAAAATAATATATATTAAGTTTTCCCCAATTAGATCTTGGCTTGACGATGCAGTTGCCAGGAAAGGGCACTTTGGGGACGATTTGCAGGAACTGCCCGAGCACTGTGGCATTGGGAAAGTCGATCTCGCGGCCAGCCATCGCATTTGAGGAAGGCTAAAAACAAAAGATTTCCCTAATTGTATTCCGGTTGTGCGTGATATAATCTATCTGGAACGGTGGCAGAGCAGAGAAACCATTCGCATTACGAGAATGGGCCAAGAAAGTTTATACCTCAACACTCCACGTCTCTGCATTATTACACTATGTGAATGCTTATAAGACAATTAAGATGGGGTATGAAAACTCTACGCATATTTAAACAAAAACCTTCGTGACAATAATAATGTTTCGTGCTATAGAGCATGTGTCATGCAAACTGCATCTCATAATGCAGAGGAACCAAAAACAAGCCGGATGGCAGCCAGGTGGTGAGCTGGTGCCATAAATGACCCAATTTCTGCAGTCCTCTTAAATATTTGGATGTTTTCTGCTAATTAATGAGCATTTATACATGGGAGCAAACGGAAGCACCCAGAGAAAACCGGCACACGTTTGAGAGGGCAACACTGAACCCATAATGTGCTTGGCTCGGTACGATGCGAAAGAAGTTCAACATACATACATACAGAAGGAACAGATGGAGATAAGGCCACAATTTCGCTGTACCACCTTCTCCTGGCAAGCCAGGGTATGACACCCACAGGCGCGCACCACCACCGCCCAGCTACCCCGTATCTGTTACAGTGCCGGGATTATTGTGTAAAAATATAATTGCTTAGTAATTATTTTAGAGAAACAAAAATGCACTGCAATCGCTTTACAAACCAGGAAACTAACAAAAAAACCGACTGAATAGCAACAGTCACTAACACACGGTCAGCACAATGAAGGGGAGACCGGCTACTTAAAAAAACACAACCCACACAACCTCGCACAACACGAGCGTTGTAACGCCAGAGGCTTCACATTGCAAAAGCACAGGAGTAATTTTCTATACAGGCGTAGAGCGGAAAATAACAATTTCTCGAACAACTGAAAACACGTGACGATTACGGCGACAAGTCGGTAATGCGCTGCAGGTCTCAAAGGTCTCCGGCGAGTTTACAGAGCGCCTCGCGCCACCACCCTTGCCACTTCACTGCGCCAAAGTGGCCCGGGCTGCCTTCAACGTCCGGAACAACCCTCAGTGTGAAAACACGACTCCTGCGACACACCGAGCACGCCTTCGTTGGCTCCCGCCCTGAAACACCAGACACCCGCACGGAAACATTAACGATGCAAACCGCAACGGACTTGCCAAATGCGGCGATGCACCTACACACCAAATAGGAACACTTGGTATTGCAAACCCCGTGGTGACGCGGTCATGGGTACACCACGGTTAATAAGGATTCGTAATTGTTTTTCATTATGGACGACGTACACATTTCATAAAAACCGAATTGATTTTTGGTTTACCAACTTGCTCTGACCAGCATAGTGAAGTATAGTTAAAGAGGACTCACGATCCACGCAGTTTAGGGAAGCCTCGATCCAGCAGTGGATAAACAAAGGTCTGTAAGTTTGTTTTAGATACATTCTGTATCGCCAAGTGACCAATCACTTTGGAACGGGCTGTGCGGTTGCATAATTCAATGCAACTATTACTAAAACTGAACTGGATTTCACGATGAATTCCTTGACAATTGAAATCAATAATTTATTTTGGAAACTGTTATTGAAAAAAATGAATAATTCTAAGTTTTATAATTGGTGCCCTACTTGTATTCCTGAACTCAGGAGTTAAATGGAAAACTTGGGGAACATTCCACTTAAGAGTGCAATCACACAAAGGTGAGTAGTGGTGCTGGAGTACACAACGTGACGCTGTAGCGAGCAGCATTGGTGTATTCTGGTGGGATGCGCGATGTCACGTGTTATGACGTCGAATGGCTTCGTGACATAACAAGCCCTTTACAGGAACACCAATGTGACTACCTTGTCTTCGCGTCTCAAATCTCTCCTCAATCTCCTTTGGATCGTCGTGTCTCGGGGGGCCACTCCACGAGCACTTGCCACCAGTTGAATAACCTGCCCTGAGTGTGACGTCAGTGGTATGTCATGAAGAGTGACGCAGTTTCGGTGTGGCGCTATTGTATGGCAACCGCTCTAGTTAAGAGCTCAGGATTGGGTTGGCTGGGGTTACACTTTAAACAGTTGTGGCTGGGCTTTAGTTATTTGTAAATGGCTGTAGGAATACCAAGTGTGTAGTAATTTATGACCAATTAAAGAATCAGGAAACGACAAAGGTGAAATTCTCAACCCTTGTGGAAGAGGGATGGTTATCTTTGGCTCTGACAAGACGCACGTCCATCATGATGAATGATCAATGGGAAAGAAGCAAACTCTTGGACAATAAAATACGGAAAAGTCCAAGGCACAACATCCTCCTCACACCCACTCGCCTGAATGTGCACAACATATAAATACGAGCATTAACAAGCAGATACAGCGCTTAACGTCGCATCAAGGGAAACAAACTAAACCTTGATTCTATCTTGTCCATTGTGTATGAAGTATAAACTATCTCTTTAGTGTCACAATACATTTGGCACCATCACCTACAGTCATTAATAAACACGTACATTAGGAGTGATGTACAGACACCATCCAATCAACTTGCGGGAGAAGCAAACCTGGACGGTCAGACGGAGTAGGATGGCGCGCGTCTGTGGAGGCAAGACTCTGGTGGCTCACACCGAAATGTAACAACACTCCCACTCCCGCCAGGGTGGCTCACACAGATATGTAACAACACTCCCACACCCACCAGCTTGCCTAGTGGCCAGCAGTTGGCAGCACAGCAAGTTGGTTTAGGGGACGCTGTGTGGACCTTCGGAGTGTTATTCATATGCGATAGAGGGAGTTCTCTGGGTACTATCGACAAAAGTTAAAGACTCCTTCCAGAAAAAGAAACTCTTCGTTATAACATCACAATTCAGCAGGACCCACTGGAGAATGAGCCTCAAAGTCGACGAGGCTTCTATGCCTGAAGAGGTCACGCAACTACTTTGATTACCACCACTGTTATTGTTCTGTTGACAGCGACAGACGGTCGGCAAAAGCGGCGAAATAGAGAAACGCCAAACACATTCCTGCGGAGGGAGCTGGTAGGAACGTTGGGTTGCTCTGTCAATGGCCAGGGTCAACGGCGGCGTGGTGTATTCCGCAAATATGGCCGACTGTGAGGGCGGGTACAAGCCGGCGTGAGTAGGTTACACGTTGAGTTTTATAAGGGCACCACGGGGTGACCAGCCCCTCCCCACCCAGCCCCACGCCTCCCATTTTTGGATGCACGACGGACGGACACAATAATCCCCTGTGGGCTGGTGTAACCAGGAGGTTCCTATTCTTTGGTTCTTTCGGTTAAGTCACGTCTAAAGATAAAATAATAAATTAAAATAATTTTATCTTTAGACGTGACTTAACCGAAAGAACCAAAGAATAGGAACCTCCTGGTTACATAATTAAGACAGGAGGTTCCTACCAGTAAAAGACCATCAACTCTGTCCCTGCGACGATGTCGCAGTGCCGCGGGTTTCCAGCCCGTTGTACTTTAGACTCTCGCACCACGCGTGCGTCGCGTCCAAGGTGCGCATGCCGCCACTCGGACAACCCGCGGGCCGACGCGTCGTGCCCAGGCCCCCGTGCCTGGCTCGAACTCTACCCCGTGACCTGGCTGGGCTCACCCATGTCTCGTGCAAATCCACGCCTCGCCATCTGGGGACGCGGCACTCGCGCTGAGCGAGCGACTTTGACGGTCGCTCGCTCAGCGAAGAGAAGGAAAACGAAACTCCACCTCGGGGCTTTCCAAAACGTTCTCGTCATTAGCTGCGACAGAGTTTATCGTAGTGGGCAGTGGGGGGGCATTTGGGGAAACAGTCTTCTCTGCTCCATCGCGGATTAACTTGCCCTCATTTCGGATAAGTAAAGTATTTGGTCGTCATTTACGTACTATGAAGGGTCGTTGACCGAAACGTCGCATATACATTTTTCCTTTTAAAGACGCCCGGCCGTGTCATTGACGAATGTTGCGTTTGCTAATTGCCCTTGTTTCACAACTGGTAACGTAGCAGCCATCACCAGACGACGTTTTGTTTGGGAGAGGATTGCGGTGCCGTTTAACAAACCCGTTGACGCTTGCGAAATAAAAGTCTCGATCATCCGATAAACGAGTTACTCGACGGGGCGAAGTTGGATCACAGTCGTGGTTGTTTCACCGAAACCGGACCGCGCCAGGCAGTGGCGCTTTAGCCAAACGTTGGAGGGCACCCAGAAGCAGTTCAGCTGTAACTCCCCACAGACGCAAGGACTTCATCCAGCAGTGGATTGACAACGGGATGTGCCAACATGCGAATAAATTGGGTCGAGATTTACGAAGCGTCAGATGGTGCGCGGGTTAAATCCCACCAGGCGGACACAGCCGAGGAGCCGCGTCTCAGAGTGCCTCTCTTCGGTCTCTTGTCGACGGGTCCCAACTCGGGTCTCGGAGTCTCTCTCGCCCTGTACCCCCCAACACGGAGTCTCTCTCTCGCCCTGTACCCCCCAAGCCCAACACGGAGTCTCTCTCTCGCCCTGTATCCCCCAACACGGAGTCTCTCTCTCGCCCTGTACCCCCCAACCCCAACACGGAGTCTCTCTCGCCCTGTACCCCCCAACACGGAGTCTCTCTCTCGCCCTGTATCCCCCAACACGGAGTCTCTCTCTCGCCCTGTACCCCCCAACCCCAACACGGAGTCTCTCTCGCCCTGTACCCCCCAACACGGAGTCTCTCTCTCGCCCTGTACCCCCCAACACGGAGTCTCTCTCGCACCCTGTACCCCCAACCCCAACACGGAGTCTCTCTCGCCCTGTACCCCCCAACACGGAGTCTCTCTCGCACCCTGTACCCCCAACCCCAACACGGAGTCTCTCTCGCCCTGTACCCCCCAACACGGAGTCTCTCTCTCGCCCTGTAGCCCCCAACCCAACCGGGATCTCTCTCGCCCGTACCCCACAAACCCAACACGGAGTCTCTCTCGCCCTGTACCCCCCAACCCCAACACGGAGTCTCTCTCGTGCCCTGTACCCCCCAACCCCAACACGGAGTCTCTCTCGTGCCCTGTACCCCCCAACCCAACACGGAGTCTCTCTCTCGCCCTGTACCCCCCAAGCCCAACACGGAGTCTCTCTCTCGCCCTGTACCCCCCAACCCCAACACGGAGTCTCTCTCGCCCTGTACCCCCCAACCCCAACACGGAGTCTCTCTCGCCCTGTACCCCCCAAGCCCAACACGAAGTCTCTCTCGCCCTGTACCCCCCAACCCCAACACGAAGTCTCTCTCTCCCTGTACCCCCCAACCCAACACGGAGTCTCTCTCTCGCCCTGTACCCCCCAAGCCCAACACGGAGTCTCTCTCGCCCTGTACCCCCCAACCCCAACACGGAGTCTCTCTCGCCGTCAGCAGCTCACCCCCTCGCGGGTATCATCATCACCATCATCACCACCATCGCCACCACAGTGTTGGTCACCCACTAAGTATCCGTGCATCTCACTCTCCGTTCAGTCCCACACCCGTCTCTCTCGCTGCATCAGCACGTCCCGATGTGTCTCATCACCGAGTCTCTCCGAGATGCCCCAGCGCGCATCTCGGTGCCTCGGGGAGTGCGCGCAGCGAGGCGCCACACCTGCGGACCTGCGGACCCGCGCTACCGGATATGGGGCGGGTTGGCAAGTAGCAGCCCCTAGGCCGCAAGGCTCCCTCCCCTCTCCTGCCCCCCTGACACCACCACCACCACCACCACCCCCCCACCACCACGCGGCCCGCACCCCGCGCGGCCTCCGGCGACGCGGCGCGACTCGCGGCCCCGAGCGCCACTCAGCGCCGAGCGGCGCCGCCATTTCGCACAAAGCCAGAGGGGGGGGGGGGGGGCGCACGTCGCCGAGCCACGGAGGAGGGTTCCTCCCGCCGAGAGGCCGGGCGGCGCCCCACGCCGAGCGGCGCGACGCTCCGGGACCGAAGCGGGGTGGGGGGGGAGCGCCGCTCACCTCAGCGGCGCCGAGGCGCGGGGTCCAAGCGGCGGCGGCGGCAGCAGCGGAGGGAGGCGGCGGCGGCGGCTGCGCGGGTCGCGGCTGTCACGGGGGGGGGGGGGGTCACGCGACTTCCGGCGGAGCGCCCCGTGTATCAGCGCGCGCCCGGTGACGTCGCGGGAGAAATCGATTCACGTAATCGCGTCGCAATCGATTCTGCGGGCGCGGGTATCGATTCCCGCTGACTGATGACGCTGCGGGGGGGGGGGGCAGCGAGGGGCGGTCGCCGGAGGTTCTCCGTGCGCGTTGCTGCCCCCCCCCCACACACTCCGTGCCCCCCCCCACACTCCGTGCCCCCCCCCACGCTCCGTGCCCCCCCCAACACTCCGTGCCCCCCCCCCACACACTCCGTGCCCCCCCCAACACTCCGTGCCCCCCCAACACTCCGTGCCCCCCCCCCCACGCTCCGTGCCCCCCCCCACGCTCCGTGCCCCCCCCCACACGCTCCGTGCCCCCCCCCACGCTCCGTGCCCCCCCAACACTCCGTGCCCCCCCCCACACACTCCGTGCCCCCCCCCCCACGCTCCGTGCCCCCCCCCCACGCTCCGTGCCCCCCCCCCCACACGCTCCGTGCCCCCCCCCACGCTCCGTGCCCCCCCCCCCACGCTCCGTGCCCCCCCCCACACGCTCCGTGCCCCCCCCCCACACGCTCCGTGCCCCCCCCACGCTCCGTGCCCCCCCCACGCTCCGTGCCCCCCCCCACACGCTCCGTGCCCCCCCCACACGCTCCGTGCCCCCCCCCCACACGCTCCGTGCCCCCCCCCACACGCTCCGTGCCCCCCCCACACGCTCCGTGCCCCCCCCCCCACGCTCCGTGCCCCCCCCACACGCTCCGTGCCCCCCCCCCACGCTCCGTGCCCCCCCCCCACGCTCCGTGCCCCCCCCACACGCTCCGTGCCCCCCCCCACGCTCCGTGCCCCCCCCCCACGCTCCGTGCCCCCCCCTACACGCTCCGTGCCCCCCCCCCCACGCTCCGTGCCCCCCCCCCCACGCTCCGTGCCCCCCCCCACACACTCCGTGCCCCCCCCCACACGCTCCGTGCCCCCCCACACGCTCCGTGCCCCCCCCACACACTCCGTGCCCCCCCCACACACTCCGTGCCCCCCCCACACACTCCGTGCCCCCCCCACACGCTCCGTGCCCCCCCCCACACGCTCCGTGCCCCCCCCCCCCACGCTCCGTGCCCCCCCCCCACGCTCCGTGCCCCCCCCACACACTCCGTGCCCCCCCCACACACTCCGTACCCCCCCCCACGCTCCGTGCCCCCCCCCACGCTCCGTGCCCCCCTCACACACTCCGTGCCCCCCCCCACACACTCCGTGCCCCCCCCACACACTCCGTGCCCCCCCCACACGCTCCGTGCCCCCCCCACACACTCCGTGCCCCCCCCACACGCTCCGTGCCCCCCCACACACTCCGTGCCCCCCCCCACACACTCCGTGCCCCCCCCCCCCCACACGCTCCGTGCCCCCCCCACACGCTCCGTGCCTCCCCCCACGCTCCGTGCCCCCCCACACGCTCCGTGCCCCCCCCACACGCTCCGTGCCCCCCCCACACGCTCCGTGCCCCCCCCACACGCTCCGTGCCCCCCGCGTTCTTCTTGTCCAGGCACATTGAGGTTTCAATGCGGGCACACACAACACGTGTCTATTTGTGTGTCCCCCTTGTGGTGGCACTCTGTCTGGTGCACGTTGAGATTTATAGGGGCACGGGGTGAGCAGTCAGGTCTCAATTGGTGTCGTGTAACAGGGTAGAGGGCACTGCTAGGGGGTTGACGGGGATGGTATCTCACCACGAGGGCTGAACAAACGAAGCGACTCCTCCATCGAGGCCTCCCAGAGGCCCGCAGAAGCCCCGGGCCCCCACAGATGCGAGGGAGCCCTCCTGCCCCTGTCCACCCCGAGAGCGACGCGTTGACCTCCCCTACACTTTGCGCTCCTCCCGCCGTGCTGCTCTATCGTTTGTTCTTGTCACGTCCCGGCCTGCCCCCGACTGGACATCTGTGACAAAGAGCTCTGTAGCCCACCGGATTCCTCCGGTATTAATATAAATACCCAGAGCTCCGAGCTCCGAGCTGCACCCTGCCCCTCACTGCGCAGCCTCCACTGCCATTGGCGGCGGCGGCGGCGGCGCTGCAGCCGTCAGGTGGAGCCCCGTGGCCGGCTCCTGGCGGACACGAGGAGGCCCTCAACACAGAGGTCACCACACATCTCTCTGGCCACTGAGAGGTACGGTGGCAATGCCCGTCTGGGGTTGATGTGGCGCAAAACGATGTAGCGAACGGCGCTCCTGTGAAGTGGCCAAATCCCGTCAGAGGACAGTGGAATTTCCATTAGACCAGTCTCCAGCAAACGATTGATCCGTGAGATAACACCACCAGTCATGCTCAATCAGAGGTCGCAACCGGGTACCCGATACCCGTACCCTACCCGATACCCGGCTACCCGTACCCGACCGGGTACGGGTACCCGTTTGCGACCCTGGTGCGGCCGGGTACGGGTAAGGAATCAAAACCCGTTTGCGACCTCTGTGCTCAATTCACTGCTAGATCAAGGCGTTTTACCCCGAAGCCGGTGAGACGTTCATTAAGAGGGAAAGGTGCAGCCCTGCAACTGCCTGCTCACGCTCCTGCTGGTGGAAGTCGCCTTCACTCCAAGGAGCTCGACTCCTCCGACGCTGGCAGGCCGCCTCGACTGGCCTCGAGACGCAATTGCCGAAGTGCGCCGCGTGATGGCGCCATGCGCACGTCTCGAGAGACAGCGTCTGGAGGACTTTCTACCGCGGCTAGAGACGTGTTGTCTCGGGCCATCGGTCGCAGTCGAATCGTGCAGCGGCGGCAGCACCACTCGTGAGCAGCAGCGGCGTCGTCACTGACGCTCTGCGCTGCTGCTCTTGCAGCAGAGCGAGGCAGGCGGCACCCAGAACAGCCATCAGCAGCGGCAGCAGCAGCAGCAGCAGCCAGGGGACGATTGATCTGTCGCCATCATGGCACCCCTAACAAAGCACTGTTCCATCAGCGAACACGATCGCTGTGATTATTCATGAACACCCGTTTCCAGAATAATCACCTCTTTCGAGACCCACACATCGTCGTACTCGTCCTGGCTGTGACACTCCTCGTCCTCCAAGACATTGTGGGAACCCTCAACCGGCAGCATAACATTATTACTAGGCGGATGCTGCACCACAACTTCATGAATGGACCATTGGAGCCACAAGTCACAGCAGTGCGATTGTGGCCAAGCAACCCACACGATGGACCACACAGTTAACCCACTGTGACCTGCGTTCCTTCAACGGAGGAGGAGGAGCAGCCACACACAACACGGACTCTCTCTCTCTGGTGAAGCCCCCTCTCTCTCTCGTCGTGGTGACGAGCAGCAGATCTCGACTTGGCATCGATCTCCTGGCCACAGCGCTGCTGCCATGAGCAACAATGGAATAGAATATCAGTTCACTCTCTGAGTGAGAGACCTTCACCAGAGCAGACAGAGAGGCAAGCAGATATAGGTTCGTGATGTTTACGTTGGAGAGGCAAGGCGTCGAAATTTAAATTCTGGAGAAAAAAACTTGACATTGAAAATAAATGTCCGTAGCTTAAAAGCAATCCGCACATGCCACAGTGTCAGCCATTGAAGGAGCATTGCATTGGCTTTAATTTTATTCCCATTATTTATACAGCAGACCCACGCTGAGTTGTCCGACTCTTTTTTTAGGAAGGCCCTACCCCATTGGGTATATTTATTTCATTTTCAGAACGTTTTAGCGATGAGTAATGATCAGTTAACGCAGGAGGAGACTGGAACATCCAGAGAAAACCCGCGCCTCGCCCAATCCCCGTACAGATGGGAAGAAATGGCGATTAGTCCACTTGCTGTACTGCCTTCTCCTGGCGAGCCAGGGTATGACACCTCCTCGTGCGGTGATCCACCAAGTCTCGCTGCTGCCTCCAGTGCTCGGTTACAGGCAGCGCCACGTGCGCAGCCACCACGTGCGCCACCACCCAACCTTCATTCGCTGTCCGCCCCGCACGAGATACGCCGCACACACGCGGAGCTGAGAGGGCGCTGAACCTTTGGCAGTTCCTAGTAGTCGTTTTCAAATCGGGGGGGGGGGGGGGCGAGGGGGACCTTGAGTCGCCGCTGTCCCTCGCGAGCTGCCTCTGCTACTCGGCGGCCCAAGTGACTCCGGGAATGCAGCTACAGTGGGGGTCGCTCTCGAGTGAACACGCGGAGGGAGACGCGCCGTTTGCGCATTCGCTTGTCCTTGAACCGGATTCATTGCCCGGTGGTTCGGATTGCGCGGAGCCCTGTGATGCTTTGCACGAAGGGCCCTTTATAAAAGTAAAGTGTATTGCAGATCGAGTTTCATTATTTATTTGACCACTGCCCAAACTGTTGTCTCAGCAGCGTTTGCCAAGGCCCGCGTTCTGACAGCCATGTCCCACACAGGGGCACCTCTCCACGTAAACGGGATACCTGCTGATGATGTAGGAGCCGTCGAATATTAAAGACATTATTTCTTACCCCACCGATACGCCCATCGACTGGTTGATCGCGACGACGACGAATCAAGATGTGCACACATTGAATCCGCCGTGCAGATGGATGGACGCGGTCAACTGGTGTGACGGAGCAGTTCGGCTCGCCGCATCGCGACACCGTGAGAGACGGCGACGGCTCGGGTGGTCTTCATCCAGCAGCGGAGAGATCATGGCCGACGACGATGATTGTGAAGCCTTTGTACTTTCACGGCCCTTTTGTCACTTCGCTCGTGGATAAGGGCCCCTCCATGCCTCGCAGGTTTTGACCGCGAACTCCACAAACCCTGGTCGGTGCGGGCAGGGAGGATGGGCACGGGAGCGTCGAATGGCGCAACAATCGATATTCCTGCACTCCGAGCCTCTGCTGTCGAGCGCCATGGAGCCTCGCAGTGACCTATAACACCTGGCACGCAAGCTGGGCTCCCATCCGCGCCTTATCCGGGCTTATCTCTGCCGAGCTACCGCGAGCTGACGGCGTCGGGTGCATGCCGGGAGATGTCGTCTCAGGCTGGACCCGTGCTTTTAAAAGCTTTTAAGCTGCCTGAATTTTACCATTTGGTGCCTGGAAATGACTACCAAATAAAATAAAAAGCATATATTACTTCTGTTATCCCCTGCTGCGCTATCTTCACTAAAATTGGGTCAAATGGGCTGCATGGGCAGCGTAGGAATTGGGTCATTGGTGAATTTGGGTCAAACGGGCTGAACCATCGCAGCGGAACTGGGCCCGACGGGTCCCTCTGACTGCATGACGTGGACGCGTCTGAATTTCCGTGATGAAAAAAGTAAACAAATGCTCATTAATTATTTGTTGCGGTTATTTTAAAAAAAAATTCTACGGCTGTGGTGATCACAGTCGTCCTTTACTGCGCACACATGACAGCTGTCGGGAGAAAAAAAAATATGGTACTTTTATTTCAGGAAATACAAAAACCCCCCAAAAAAATCAGTGGACCGACATTTTCTTTTAATATTTTATTTGTAAAGGTTTTTTGCATAAATACAATGCTTTTTAACTAAATAGCAACAGCTTTAGCATAATAACAGCGCACTTTTCTGTACAGAAATATAATTATTTTCAATCATTAGAATTCACAATAAAACAACATTCAAGAGCGACTTTCCGCAGGCTTTCCCCGCAAAGACGACCGCCACGCGACAGCATCACAGCCGTTCCCGGCAGACCAGCCTGCCTGCTTCAAAACAACCCGAGCCACCAAAGCCACCCACACACGCAGGCCCCTTGGGCCCCGTGAGACCACCACCACCACCAGCAGCAGCTTCGCCCACCCCCCGTTGTGTCAAATCAGACACCCCCGCCAACCACCCAACCAGCCTCTGATTCATCTCCCGCCACAGGCCCTTGAACGAGTTCCCCCCCCCCACCGCCCCATACACAAAACAATCGCCGCTTTCTCAGCATCCCTACAAAGACTCACTCGCGCCCCCGGGATTTTCAATCCACAGCTCGCACAAAAAATATAGCCGGCCCCTCCGTTCTTCCGCAGTGCAATCTTCCCGATTAAGATGACCCGTGCGCACGGTCGAGTGAACGGCACACACGCACTCCCATCGCTTCGACCCCTTCCGAACCACAAGGCACATGTACAGCACAGTACTCTGCTCGCGTGTGGCGAGCACCTTTCCCATGCACTTTTCTGTCTCCTCTGCTAAAGTCGGAGTTTTGACATCGGCCCTCCGTTGGAATCGCAAAACAGCCTGGGGTAAGAATATATTTTTTTGGGATTGTTTTTGAGAAGAGCAGCCCGTGGAGAGCCATCATCGTGCTCAGTAACTACCGCGAACACCAGCCCTTTCGCCCCGTTTCCCAGCTCCCAGTGCATGTGCCCTCTGCCCTGCCTTCAAAGAACACTGCGATAAAACAAACCCGAACAGAAAAATGAAGGCGACGATGAAATGTCATGTCACCATGTTGTCATTGTGTGTTTTTGTTACAGTGTGCTGGGCCGAACGCAGCCCCTCCGCCCGCCCCTGCAGTCTGGCTTTGGATTCATGAACTGACAGCGATCGAGGGCTTAATAATGGATGAACCCAGACCTCTTGACCTCTGCCTATGTCAGATACTCCCAGAGACGCGGGACCAAATCTGACCAGTTGGAAAACCAAGAAACGAAGCCGAGGGCAAACCCACGTGAGACCGAGCACACGGGAAAGATGGATGTGCCCGAGATCACCGATTGCGCCACATTCACCACGGCTCAGAGGGCCCAGGTTTGCGGGGCAACCGGCCATCATCACAGCTAGCTTGACAGCCTCCTTGCTGCTGGCCATGACGAGCCGATGGTCAGACACAGACCCCATCGATCGCCGCCCAAGGGCCCAGCAGATCGGGAGAGATGGCGGAAGCCAGCTCCGAGGAATGTGAGGGGCTCGCGCCAAGTGCCCTCGTTCCAGGATGACATCCAGCAGTGGAACGGACTCCTCCACACGTGGCCCGAAACATTTGACCGGCGTGGAAGACGCGTCATGCTCACGATTTGTCCACGCGATGGCTGGGGGCGAGCGGTGGCCAGCACTCTCCCAAGCGAGTGCCACGGCGAGCCCTCCGCCTTCACGGGGCTGATTTTTTTTATTTTACATTTACGAGAGAAAACAAAATGAAATAATATATTTTTAAAACGGAACTAAAAATATATATATGCGACGAAAGCAATATGCGAAATGCAAAAAGTCTCCAAACTTTTTCAAAGGAAAAAACGATAACAAAAAAAAGCTCATTTTGGTAACGCGTATGGATCGATGAACACAAGCCACAAATACTGTGTGTAGTGAGCACCCATTGTAAAGTTTGTCGTTATTTCAATAAACCAGAGAATCAATGCTCAGCAAAGCCTGCAGTCACATGCCTAGCTTTTTGAGAATTCTCTTTCCCAAAACTGAGCCCAGCTGAATTTGAAGATGAATTTGACAATATCCCAATCACCGTGATCACTTAGGAACACCAAATGAAACATGGGCCAAACTGTGAGGTGCGTTACTGGTCACGTACACGCACAGCTCTTTTTATAAAATCCACTGCTGGATGACCGACTGCCAAAACGTTGGGCACACTCAGTGGCCCGTCCTGACTAAATCGATCACCTCAAGCCTCCCGACCTCCTCGAGCAGGACTCGAACATTCAACGTTGTCACATTCGAGTCGGGGCACGTCTGGCCAGCAGCCAGAGATGGGCGGTCACGGGTTTGGGAGAGAACCAAACCTCGCACAGCACACGGCGCGGGTGACGCTCCGCTCTCCACCGCACCACACGCAAGCCCAATGACATCAAGAACCAAGGTGGAATTTCGACGAGCACGCGCCCACGTGTGCATTGGAAGGAAGGTCCATTTGGCGCATAATACTTAAACCTGGGCTCAGTGTTGAAGAGAACGTCATATTATATTCTGTAGTAGATATATAATTACATATAATTTCAAGTTAATGCTGTTGGCCGAGTAAAACACATTTCATGTAAAAGCTCTTCACAGACTATCTACAGCAATACCCTGTCAACACAACATCTCGGATGCTGTACAATGCAGACATCTGTACAAGTATTCACACGTGGGGTCGAGACGACCTCCGATTCACATCTACCCGCACCCGTCCCAGGCAGCGCCCTTCCAAGACACCAGTCCCACGCCCCACGCTGCCCACCCTCGACGCGCGCTACCAAACCGGCCTTGACGAGTGTAGTGTAACTTGGTGGCGGTGGCGGCGGCACCCGCACAGCGCTGGGAAATTAGGTCGGACGCAAGTGCCTCGTTACCAACTGAGCATCGATTTTCCAAACTGCGCAATCTGTGAATTGCCAGCTGCGCGGGCCCCATGCTCGCGTGCGGAACATCCTCATCGAAGAAGACGTCAGGAAAGCTGTCGGGCGAGTTCACCGCTCGTTTGGCTTGGGGCCTCGATTGGAAATGACGCAGCCAGAATCTCAGACGATGGACGACGGCGCATGCCCCGTCCGGCCTCGAGCGAGAAAAGGCGTCGGCTTTACGGCGCGTGTCCGTCGGCGAGTGGCGCGACGAACCGACACGGCGCGGGTTCACGCTCGCGCAGCGGCCCGGCGGAGCGAAGCGCACGGCTCTCCCCCCGAGCGTTGTCGGCTCGCGTCGCGCGGTGTTCGCCACGGCGTCCCCCGCGTTTTGATCCCCGTGCTGCGAGCGTCCGGAAGGGAACGGAAGCTCCCGGCACGCGGAGCGAAACGTCGTCGCGCGGCACGGCCCGGAAAAGCTCGGTCGGAGAGCGAGGCGACACAACCGCGAATAGCCTCCAACAGTAGCAGAGGAGTGCTGCTTCTTCCCTTGGCAGGGTTAGCGGACATCGTCCCAGGCCCCCCACACGCGCACGCCCACGCGACCCTCCCGGCGAGGCGGTCGCGGGCGGAGACGTGGGGCCCGCGGACATTCCCGTTACAGCTTTGCCCCTTCAACAACGGATTAATTATCGCCTAGCAAATAAATTACTCTCAATTGTATCACGTAAAAAAAATAAACACAATTCGAAGAAAAAAATTAAACGAAAAAAGAGAGAGAGGTGAGTTTTGGATCGCAGTGAACGAGCGTCGATGCGGGGATTTCGTGGTCTCTGACGCGGCGCCGTCTCCGTCGATGCGACGGCGAGCGCGCAACGCCTCCTGGGAGAGACGTCTGATGAGGACGCTACGCGAGGAACGGGCCCGGCACGGAGTTTCACTCCAGCATTCGGTCAGTAGTAGTGTGAGAACTGGAACGATTTACAAGGAGCAAAACCAATGGGCTGACATCTTCGGAACAACGACCCATCCATCGGTCGTCATCGACGTGAGCGCGAAAAGAGACCGCGGCTAAACCCGCGCCACACTCGGACATGTGCAACGCAGCAACACTCCTCACCGAGTGTTAAAGTACAAAAACAAACGCCCAGAAAACACACGGAAACCTCAACTCTGTACACGCACAAAACAAGAATCAGAAACACTTTCCCGAGAATGTCTTGATTAAAGCGTAATAACATCAACTACTATTATTATTCCTGGTTGTGTTTTTTTCATAAACTTTTCTCACGGTTTTTTTTGGAAAATGTTTCTTCAGTAATAATAATCAATAATCATAATATACAATTGAGATACATTTTATTTCGGCATCATTATTTTTCTTTATAAAAATACAGTACGTACAATTGTAAGTGTTCACGTGACGACAAAAGTAGAGAATTATTCTTTTAACAAAACCCTGAATTATTCTTGCAATTTCTTTTATATTTTTTTACGGGCAAGAGATAAATGCTCTCATCATCATCATCACCATCGTCACCATCGTCGTCGTCGCCATCGTTATTATCACTAAAGCGGCACTCTGCATTTTTGCCCGGGCGCTACGCTCAGCGGCAGCCCTCTGACTGCTGCAGGACGGTCTGGCCTGGAGCGCCGGGGGAGGCGATCGCTACGAGACCCCCCACCCCGGCTCCCACGGCCGCCTATGGCTCAAAGTTACTGCACCACCACCACCACCGCCGCACCGCGCGAAGCTCGCCACCGGGAAGAGTTGACGGCTCGCTCGGCGGCCGATCTCTCCGTCTCGCTCCGCGGACAGACCGGGAGAGCGCGGCGACGAGCGCAGCGTTCTCCGTGTTGTTGTTGTTGTTATTGTTGTTGTTGTTGTCGGTTGCCGGACGTCGGGTCCCGCGCGTTTTGAGAAACCGGCGTCCGACCGTGCGAGCGTTTTGCGGAGTTGGCGGGGAGTCACGCCGGCGACGCGGGGTGCCCCCCGTGGGGTCGAGCGAGCGGCCCGGCCGCGTCCCCTGCACGGAGCACCCCCCCCCCCTCCCGCTACGAGAATGGCTCCTCTACAAAGAAGTCGACGTGGCGCGATTCCCTTTCCCGTGCCCAGCCACCTTGTTGTATCTACGAGCAAAGCCTTCTATCGTTACCCTGTTTAAGCTTGTTTTTAATTTAAGTTACAATTCTTTCCCTACTTATGTCTGCGTGTTTAAATTACCATTGTGTTTTATTCACCACTACGACGTTTAGTTAAGAGACATGAACGGATAAACCATGGCGTGAGGTCTGTAGGTAGGTTCGTGTTATTTCTGAGGTTTTGCCACGCGGCGGCAGCGGCCGCGCTTCAAGTAGTTCCGAATCTGAAGCGGTCACAGATCTGGTTCCGAGGGCGACGTCGCTCTGAAGCCGTGTCCAGTGCGCCGGGAGGGAGCGCGCCGGCTCCCGGCACGGGTGAGGTATCTCGCGTGCTCGTCACGCCGGCTGCTCACCTCGGAGCACCGCCGTCTCATCGTCATCGCTCTCCCTCCTCCCCTCCTCTCTGAATCGCGCCACGAAAAAGGAAATCGTACGCTTCCCGATTACCGAATTGCGTTTGCATTTGGACAAACACAGAGTTCTGGAATGGACCTACGCTATACCCACTGCGACGGTGCGTGTGTGTGTGCGAGTCTGTACAAAGACAAAGACCTCCCGAACAGCCTTGAAGAGACTCTGTTGGGGCAAGAGCGAGCACCTCGATGATGACTGGCACGGCGCACGAAGGACGTGGCTGGCCAGCACCACGCCCGGCTGCCTTTGTCTTCAAAGTGGCGATGTCGACACTTCGTGTGCGGGCGCCTGCCCGATATTCTACATGTTCACGTGTGTGTATATGACTTATACTCGTTAGCATAGTAGCTTTCAATTTTGCATAAGAAGATGTTTGTAAAATTTGTAAAAAATAACATTAATTAAAAAAGGAACACCGTGAGCTGCTGTTCAATACCTTTGTAGGTGGAGAACGCGAGTAAGGCCATCGCACCTGGCTGGAGATGTACAGTAGTTGCTGCGGCTGTTGCCGCTGATGCTACTGCTGTTTTAAACGAAGAGCAGTTTCTAAACACATATACATATCGTAAAGAGGTAACAAAGGAAAAAGGGGAAACCCCAACCGCAAGTGGGCCGCGTGGCCCCCCAGTGGCCTCGCGAGCCGAGAGGCGACGCAGGTCATGGCGCCCGGCAGCTCGCGGGCCACCACCGGACCAGTCTGTGCGGCAGGAGGGATGTGGACATTTCGTTTCTGCTCCGCTCCTCCCGGCGAGATGACGAGCGCCATGCGCACGCGAGTTTTGCTACAACTTAAAGTGCACCAGTAAAACGTGGAGCGACTGATTGTCGGATTGCGCAGAGGTACAACAGCTTCTTCAACATCCAGCGTCTGTCGGGAGCTGCCGTCGGAGGGCAACCGTGGGGGGCCCCCACGCTCCCCCGCCTCGACCCCGGGCACCGCTTCGACCCCTCGAGTCTCGAGTCCGATTGTTCGTTGTACCTCCCCTCTAAGCGCCATCTTTGGATGACTGCACCGGACGAGCCGTTAGAAGGCCGCCGACGTGCGCCAATTTGACGAAGCGATACAAAGCGGTGCCCTCCGGCGGCGATCGCGTGGGTGAGCTCCTGCTGGCAAAACCACGCGCGAACCCCGCGCCACCGGCCCCTCTCGCTGGAAATGACGTCGGCGAACGTAACGAGCGGCGCGATGCAGGAGAGGGACGGTGGCGAACCCACGGGGTGCGCATGCGGGTGCCGAGCCCTGGCCAGCACGCGGCCGCCGCGGGTGCCGACAGTTCGGAGGAGCGTGACCCGCGGTGACCTCTGCCGCGCGTGGCGGTTGACGCGCCGAGAGGCGGGACGCGCCCGACGATGGCTCAGAGCGAAAGGGGAGCGGCGGGCGAAGCGATGCGCGGCCCTCGCACGCAGCGCGCGGGGGGGGGGGGGGGGTCGCGGAAGCGGGAGGGAAAAGTTCACCTTGAAAAAAAAAGCGAGCTGCGCGCCACATTCTTTTTACGCTTTCGATAATAAAATAATAATTCTGCGGCATCAAATTAAATGAAATGAGACCTCTGACGGTTCAGCTTTCGCAGGCGCGGAATGATCACCTCAATCACTGCTCAAGGACAAGCGACGGGGTGGGCCGGGGAGCGAGACCGAACGAGCTGGCCCCACGCGCCGCGTCCGCCGCGGTGCCGGCGGCCCCGAGGCTGTCGGTGCGGCGAGCGGCGCTCCCCCGCAGCTTCCGTGACAAATCAGCGCGCGCGCTTCTGCGAGGGCCAACAGAGAGAATGAACCTCGGGCTTTTGTGAGAAAGCGTTGACTGTATGGCAAGCAGCCTCGCGGACGAGGAGGAGGGGACCGAGGGGAAGAAGGGGAAGGAGGGGAAGGAGGAGGGGGAAGGAGGGGAAGGAGGGGAAGGAGGGGAAGGAGGAGGAGAAGGAAGGGAAGGAAGGGAAGGAATGTGACGGAGAAGATCCTGAGAGGGTAGACGTCCTGGCAACAGGTCGCTCCTGGCGGAGGCAAACTCAACGGCCAAACCCGACACACAACTCAAAGCAACGAGAACAACGGCATTCATAACCGTCGAGAGGAGATGATGGGCTTTTGTCGGATGAGCGCACGAGTTATGAAAACTTAGAGGGTTAACAGTTCCACAAACGTCTCATCGTTCGTTAAAATCACAGGCACCAGAGCTTCTGTCGACGATTCATTCAATATTCCTTTGCTACTCGTGGCTTCCTCCTTTCTCTTTCTCATCGCAGCACCAGCATCACATGCGGCTCGTTTCGTTAGTTTTTTTTATTACAGTATCATTAAGATTAGTTTCGTCGTTTTGTTTATTACTCTCGCTGCTGTCGCTACGCTTTAATTATTGACGATGAATACAGAACCCCTTGCCCACCGCGGCACGGGGGGTGGCGGCGCACAAGAGGCTCCTCGCGGAGCGGCGCTACTATTTACAGCGGGGCGACGCGCAACGGTCGTGCCGGCGGAGGAGCGCGGCCGCCGCCGCCGCCGCGGTGACGGTGCCGTGCCGGGCTCCGGCGCGCTCCGGAACGTGCCTTGAAATGCAAGGCACTGTTTGTGTGGTTTTGAAAGTTTCGAAGAACAGACGAAGGGAAAACAACAACTAAATACGCAAATATTAAATAAGAAAAGGGGGGGGGGGGGGTGGCTTACACGAAAAACACCACACGGGTACAAAGTCTGCGGTATAAATTACGAGTTGTTGATGCTGCGCTCCGGAGAGGGGGTGAACATCGCGGGGTGGCGTGTCGGCCCCGGTTCACCGGACACAGAAGCCTCTTAAAAACGCACCGTGGAGGGATGGCGCCCGCGCGCCCCCTGGGACCGCGAGCGCCGCCGCCTCCCTCGGCAATTACACGAGTTATTTACTTTTTAAAAGGCATCGGTGTCTTTAAAAAAAAAAATCACTCCCGGGATTTATTGTCCGGAAAACCTCGAGGCGGTGCTTGGCCGATGTGAGGACGCTGCCAATACTGCTGCTGCTGCACGCACGGCGGGTCGTGGCGGCGGCCGCGGCCGCCTGGAGCAAAATAATGAATGTTGTCACATTGCTTTTTTAAAGACTTTCAGTGGAGACGTAACAACAATAGTAACAACAATAACAATAAAAAAACGCGAACGAAGAAATAAACTTGGTTTAATTGGTCCGAGAACTGTAACACATCAGGACACCACGCACCCAGTTCGTCACTTTGTACATCGCCTTCCGGCGAGCGTCACCGTACCTCTTCGGCATTCCTTTGAGCGTGGCGGCCGCGGCAGGGGCCTCGGCGGGCCGTGGCGTTCAGGGAGGAACGGGCGGGGCCATCGGTCCGGCCAGTCGGCCGGCCGAGCGGTCCGGCGCGGGGCAAGCGACGAGCTTCCCGAGGGGACGGAGCGACGCGCCGTGGCCGTCCGACCGAGAGAAATGAAACACGCGAGCCCTCGGGAGGCCGCGCACGGGCGTCGTCGCTACCGGTTCCCGGCAAATACTTAGAGTCGGGCCAAGTGCCGTGAAGCGGACGGTAGGAGTCGTCTCGTTTAAGTGCAGGCCCGTTCGGGGAACGCGGCGGAAGCGGCTTCAGTCTCCGCGGAGCGGCGCGCCGGTCACGCGCCGGGTCGCTCTCTGCCGGCCGCGAGCAGCCAGGCGCGGCGGTGCTCGGAACCGCCGGCGCCCCTTCTCTCGAGACGGCTCGCTCGTCGTCGCGGCCTCGCGCTCCTCTCCGGGGTTTCCCGCGCGCCCGCCTGGCGTCGCCGTCACCGCGGCGAACGAGCGCGTCGACGGCGCCGCCCACGCCGGTCGCTCCATCCCGCTGGTCGCCCCCCCCACCCCCGGGTTCCGTGGTTCCGTCAGTCCTCAAACACCTCGAGGAAGAGCGGTGGGAAGAGCTCGGAGGGGCAGGTGACCTTCATGTGCAGGATGCGGCTGGAGTGGCAGGCGCCGATGAGGCGCAGGTCGGTGACCTTCATGAGCAGCTTGGGCCAGAAGAAGCGCATGGCGTGCTTGCGGTGGTTGACGTAGTGCTCGAAGGCGAGCAGGTAGGTCTCCTGCATCTTCTCCACCTTGTCCACGCTCACCAGGCCCGGGCGGTCTACCGTGTGGGCGGGGGGGACACGCGGTGTCGGGGACGCGAGTCAGCGTCGAGCGAGCCGTCCGGATACCATTGGCGCGGTCGTAGACCACGGATTGGTGTGGGTGCGGTGAGCGGGTGCGGTGAGCGGGTGCGGTGAGCAGGTGCGGTGAGCGGGTGCGGTGAGCGGGTGCGGTGAGCGGGCGTGGTGAGCGGGTGCGGCGAGCGTACCGGAGGACATGAGCAGGATGGCCTGCAGCAGCGCCACTTCCGAGTCGTCGAGCTCGAACGCGGCGAGCGAGCGGCCCAGCTCGAAGATGGCGTCGGACACGACGCCCAGGCCGCCGTTCTTGAGCTGCTCGCGCTTCACGGCCACCTCCCCGTTGAGCGTGAGCGTGTCGCTCTCAAACTCGTAGCGCACCGCCGCGCGTAGCGACATGATCTCCATGCAGCAGCCCTTGAGCAGCACGATCTGGTCCTCGCACGGCAGCTGAGACGGCGAGCGGGCATTGCCGGCGGGTCAGCGGGTGGGAGAGTGAATGCTTGGCTGTGTGGAGGAGTGAGTGAACGTGTGGACGAGCTGGTAAGTGGGTGGGTGAAAGAGTGAGTGGTGGGTGGAGGAACGAGTGGGTGGGTGGAGGAGTGTGACCGAGTGAGCAAGCAGGCGAGTGGGTGAGCGAGCGGGTAGGTGGACGGCCCTCACCTCTGTGAACATGGGTAGCTTCTTGGCGAAGTCGACCACGCGGGTGATGGCGGGCGTGATGATGCGGGTGAAGTGGCCGAACGCCTGCAGGTCGACCTTGTCTCCATCACGACTCGAGATCACCGAGCCGTGGCCGATGTCCTCCGACTGGCACGCACACGCGCAGGCATCGCGCACTTACGTGTGCACACAGGAATGCACGCCGACACATGTAAACCCGAGTACAGTACGCACACATCCGCATGTACACGGAACACATGTAAAAGTACGCGTGCACACGCATGTGTATATGTACACGCGCACACGCACAACTCTCATCATCTATTGCAACTTTAATAGTGCTGTTTGTTGCTGGCCGCTTGGCATTTTGGGCTTTTGGGCCCTGTGCTCAGCACCGTGCACGCACACACGGACACACGTGGACACACACACGGACACACGTGGACGCACACACGGACACACGTGGACGCACACACGGACACACGTGCACGCACACACGGACACACGTGCACGCACACACGGACACACGTGGACGCACACACGGACACACGTGGACGCACACACGGACACACGTGGACGCACACACGGACACACGTGGACGCACACACGGACACACGTGCACGCACACACGGACACACGTGCACGCACACACGGACACACGTGGACGCACACACGTACACACGTGCACGCACACACAGATACATGTACACGCACACACAGACACATGTACACACGTGCACGCACACACGGACACACGTGGAAGCACACACGTACACACGTGCACGCACACACAGACACACGTGCACGCACACACAGACACATGTACACACGTGCACGCACACACGGACACACGTGCACGCACACACCAAGTTCATGGTGTGTGGACGCACACACCATGAACTTGCGGTGCTGCTTCCAGGTGCTGCCCTGTGCGTTGGTGGCACGGTGAGCGTCGGTGACGACGCGGATGAGGTCCCACTCCTCGTCGCTTGGCTCCGGCCGCTCCTTCAGGCTCCGCTGCAGCTCCTCCTGCCGCCGGCGCTCGCGGTTGTCGGCGATGAGACGGCGCTTCGCCTGCCGCTTGCTCTCGTCCAGCACCACTGAGCGGAGGTCAGGGGGCGCGGGGTCAAGGCGGGAGAGGGCCAGGGGTGCGGAGACGGAGGGGTTGTTAACGCGGCTCTCCCACGCTGGTTTCGGGTCGCACCGCTGCGTGTTTTACGACGCAACTTCCGGCGTTTCGATCCACGCGTTGGGAGTTTCTCCAGGAAGCGAATTGGAAGCTCTCAGCACGAGCAGCGAAGTACAACTCTAACAGGTTAGGAGCTCACGGAAATATCGGTTTCCCTGTCACGCTACCAACATTACTCTCATATTCAGAGCGCATGGGATCAAGTGCACCCCTCGAGCAGGTGGATCAGAGGTCACTCGGCCTGCGCCGTTTCCACTCGTGACGCGTCGCCGACAGCGCGGCCAGGAGAACATTTGCGCAAAAACCACGTGCGAAAAAAGAGACGGGATAAACACGGAGAAGATGACCCGGAAAGACAGGGGGAGGATTTATACAGAGGGATGAAGCAAATTGGAGAGCAGGGTGCCGCCCAGGGATCCGTGCCGAGGAGACCGATGGCGGAAGCAGGAGAAGAGGACTTCTCTTCCCACGGGAGGCAGTGAAACCACAACTCTGATCTTCCCATCAACGCAACCGGGACGTGAAAGGTCACAGACGCATGCTCACACCCGGACAGATCGCCCTAAAACAACAACAACCATAACGACCCCCGTGACCGGCACGGCAACGAGGTGGTGACACCTTAACCCAGCAGCGACGCGAGCGTCGGTCACGGCGGCTCCGAGCCGGGTGGATCTCACACGCGATGCCGGAGATGGCGTCGTGAGGGCGCTCGGCCAGCGGGTGGCGCCCCGAGGCCGCGGCAGCGGCGCGGGTCGACGCCGCCGTCGCCGCCGTCGCCGCCGCGGGAGCCAGTCTCGTCGCTTCCTCGCCGCGGCGGCTGCAGCGATCGCCTAAACCCCGCGCGCCGGGAGCCCCGTAAAACCTCGTCGCTCGCGGCCTCTTGACGTCCCGATGGCGTTTTCCCGCGGAGTCGACGCGGGCGCCGCGTGGACGAGGGTGCACGGCGCTCGCGCGCCCCGCCAGACCCGTGAACTGCGTGCCACCCCCGCTACTACAGCCACCGCCATCACCGGCACCGCCACCAGCACCGCCATCACCACTGCTGAGGATTAGGAGGAGATTGAAGCTGCACCAGGGGCAGGGAAGAGGTTAAACTGCAGCTTTGCTAAAATGAATGGAATTTTAAAATTCTGCGTCTGGAAAAATGAAGGGGGGGGGGGTGAGGGGGGGATTGAATAGAAAAAAATGCGGTTAAATGGGCCAAAATTGTATTCTAAATCTAGCGGACGTCTGCAGGGCCAATTCCCTTCCTCACTGGGAAAAATACATTCGCTGTTTGGGTCTGTTTTATATCACTCTGACACTGCTTGGTTAATGGGACTTGAAATACAGTTCCATAAAATGCTTCTTTATAAAACCCTACGGTCAGACTTCCTGTGCAGGAACATTCGCAGGTCACCGGCTGGGCGCTCTTTTCAGCTGTCACGTTCGCCCTGCGTCTCAACGTTTGATTCCGTGTTTTTCTTTCGACGATGCCAACCTGCCGGTCACGGAGACCACGGCGGCACACAGTCCCGCTCGAAATCGGCTCGTTCGGCGGATTGTCTCGTCGCAAGATCACGAGAGGTGGCCCCAGCTGTGGGAGCCCTTCATCCGGCGGGGGATTGACCGCGGCTGCCAACGACGACGATGGAACCCCCCCCCCCCCTATTCCTTCCCCCTCCATGCTCCCGCTCCGCCTAACCCCCCCTCCCCATCCTCCCCGATTGGCAAGCGCTTCCGTGGCCCACTCACGTCTACGTGGCGACGGGACGCCGTCCTCTGTGCGCGCGCCGCGTCCGCGTGAACCGCTCGACTCGCACGGCGGCCGCGCGGAAACGCTGGCTGCCGAGGGCGCACGCCGCCTCCGGCCAACGCGGCTCCCGCGTCGTCGCTTTCGGATAAAAATACGGAATAAACGACGGTGCCGCGGCGCCCTCCGGCGCACGCGTCGTCACGCAGAGCGGCGGGCGACCAATGGCCGCAGCTGGACGGGACAGAGGGGTTCCCTCGGGTGCGCTGGATAATCGTCCCGGAGCTCACGCAGCGAGAGCCGAGAAGCCCTCCTCATTAGCAACAAATAACACGACGCGCGCGTGCGTGCGCGCGTAAGTAAACGCCCTGGAGGCAATTACGAAACAAAATGATCGCACTCAAGATGACACCGACAAGTCGTGACGCACTGCTCAGGTGTTGCGTAATAATGTCCACGTGGCGCCGACCACCGAGTGACTCTAATGGAAAAGGGCGCGATGGGACCAGCGTCGCCTTGACGATGCTGGGAACCACGGCAGCACGAGTGAGGCACGGCACATCCAGTCCACCCCAACAACTTCGGTTACAAAGAACTTGCGGCTGGTTAGAATTTTTTTGCAGTATTCGTTTTAATAATAATAATATAATAATAATAAAACTGCCTGCATAAGTGTGAACCCAGTGAACTCGCTGTGCCGTGCCTATGCAGGGCCCACCGCCCTCCCCTCCCGAGTAGCCGTGGCACGCGCGCTCCGCTAAAACGCACCGTATGGTGGCGAGGCGATGGCGTTACTGCGCTCGCTGTCAAACAACAGCGGTCACATCGGCTACTCGCCTCGCACGATCGAATCTGCAGCTTCAAAAATATTTACGCGATTTCCTGAATGCTTCCGAGAGTTTTCCGAGCAGAATTTTTTTATAAAAAGAATCATTTTCACGTTGGTAGTAGAAACTCCGCAAATATTGAATTAATCCGATTCAGCGCAGCGTTTCCCAAAGGAGGATCTTGGCGGCTGCGGTGCGACGTTGGCGGGCGCGGCCGCCCGCGAGTCCATGCCAAGCAGGCCTCACATGACCCGGCTCGCACCGCCGATCGGCGCCAACAACCACTGCCTTCGCCGCCAAGTCCACCGCCGCCAAACGGTGATAGCGGTAGAGCCCGGGCAAAGCGAAGTGCGGCGAAGCAAACGACACAACGGCCCGCACGGCCGCAGGGCGACCTTCGGCTGGGCCCAGACTGGGTGGTGGGTGGATGAAAGGATGGTGAGCTGCCTGGGGTGAGTGGCTTGGTGTGCGGCTGGGAAGATTGGTCGCTGTGCAGTTGGTAGCTTGGGCGAGTGGCTGGGTAGGTGGCTGGGTAGGTGGCTGGATAGACCGGTGGACGAAATGATTGACTAGCGGGTGGCTGAGTGAGTGGCTGGGGGTCTGGGTGAGTGGCTGGGTGGATGGATCGCTGGTTGGATGGGTGGAAGCCTGACCGGCTGAGTGAGTGGGTAGATGGTTTGCTGGAGGGTGGCTGAGTGGATCAATGGCTGGGTGAGTGGGTGGGTGGGTGGCTTGTTGGATGGGTGACTGGGTCAGTGACTGGCTGGTTGCATTGGTGCTAGATGCACGGTTCGTTCATTCGGAGAATGCGTGGCCGAGTGAGAGCGGGGGGTGGATGGATGGTTGTTGGATGCGTGGATGGGTGACTGGAGAGATGCCAGGACAGATGAATTGCTGGGTTGGGTGGATGGCTGGTTGGGTAATATCATAATGCATGCTATTCGCTGATGTCATGGCCCAACTCTCAAATTGTAATATTACTCAACACTACATTTCAATGAGCAAAACTGCCCCCGTGCAACTGCAGTGACCCTGGTCTCCCTTCATCTCAAAATTAACTCAACCCGTTACACATAGCACACGGACTCTTTTAAAGCATTAACGGTAACGATGATCACGCCGAGCCAATTGGAAACCGAGACGACGCCGCTGACACCAAGACAGAGGTCACCGACGACGACCACCAACACAGCGGTGACGATGGCCGCCGTGTGACGACGAGGCGGCAAGGACGGGCGGACGTTTCCCCAAGTTGCTGCCGATCTTCATTGAGCAGCGGCCTTCGTTGTTTACGTTCACGTTCTGGAGCGGCCTCCGCTCCATCGGCCGCCCAAGTCTCCCACACGGGCTCCCCACCCCGTGCGTAAAAGGGGGCGCGCGGCTCACCGCGGCCCCCTCCTTTCGACACGCGGCGGCTCCCTTGGCGCTCGCGGCTACGAGGGGCCGCGGCGTCCGAGCCGAATCCGTGCATCGGGTTGGACGGTGGGGCTCGAGGAGGAGGAGAAATAAAATACGGCGCGACTGAAATCAAAACCAACTCCACCTCGCGGGTCCGCAGGCGCGTCGACTGAGGCCGCGCTCGTAAGCCAGACCGACCGCGATGATGGCCGCCGCGTCTCGCGCAATATTAATAAAAGCTGCTCGCCGCTCATTGAACTTTAGAAAGACGCAAAATACCGCGAATCGAGTCGGTTTGAGGTGGGGGGGCCGGCGGTGGAGGGGCGCTAGCCGAGTGGAACGAGCGCACGTTTCGTCCACATTTCTCTCGGTGAGCACGGAGCTCACGCGACCCGCGACCGCCAGACCCACCCGCCCTCCCCACCACCACCCCAACCTTCGCGCTGCCAAAATAGATGCGAAACAAAAGATAATTGAGGCAGACTCGCGGTGCATTCGGGACTTATTAGGGTGGATGTCGGGCGGCTTGAGGAGGCCGGGCTGCCGCGCGGCACGGAGGATAGGGTTTCGGCGGCAGCTGTGCCGATCGGCCGCAGCTGGTGAGGATCGGCCATCGGGAGAGAGATCGGGGCGACGGGGGGAGCGCGGGGGTGGCGCCGCACTCTCCTCTGCTGCCCCGCCGCCGCCGCCGCTGCCCTCTCACCTGTGCTGCCCTCTCCCACTCCGACCCCCCGCCCCCCGCCCCCCGCCCCTCCGTCGGTCGGGCCGCCCCCCGCCCCTCCGTCGGTCGGGCCGTCCCCCTTCCGCTCCCCCGCGGCACGCCGCGTCACCTGCGCTCTGACCTCTCCCGCCGCCCCCTCTCCTCCACGCTCCCCGCCCCTCCTCCCTCTCTCCTGTCTCTCCGTCGCTCTCCTCCACACCCCTGCTCCCCCCCAACCGCTCCCTCCACGAGGTCGCACGCAATCTCTCCCGCGTCCCCTCTCGCGATCCCCCGCAGAGCCGGCTCAGCCCGGATCCCCCCCGCGCCCTCCGCCAGGTGCCAATGATTTACGCGCGGGCAGCGGAGGGGAGCTTCGCTTCTCTTTTAGAGAGAAGAGTGGGGGAAACGAGAGAGAGAGAGAGCTGTGGCTCTTTAGTTCTTTATTTTCTTGGTAAAACTCGCATTAATTCGTCCGCGCCGTGGCCGGGGCGCGGAGAGACGAAGCGTAAACGGACGCGGCGAGCGGCGGTCCCCTGGCCTGCACCCTCCGCTCCCTCCGCACCCTCCGCACGCTCAAACAAACCGGGGGGCCTCCATTCCCTCTGGGTGAAACCCACAGGAGGGCGGTGCTGCGGGGGGGGGGGGGGGGGGGCGGCGAAGGGCGACGGGGGGCTGGAGGTTCGCGGTGGGCGGTATGCAGGAGGTCGTGGGTCCCGACCCTGCTGTACATGCGGAGTGTGCGTGCCTCTCTCCCCGTGGTCGTGTGGTTTTCCCTCCACATTTAGAAACGTCCATTAAGATTATTTAGATTATTTTGGTGCTATAAATGTCCAAATGATGGGCCAGGTGGCTTCTGAAAGTGAATACCTCAGTGGCTTTTGCCTGGTAGGACGTGGATGGTTTAGTTGATTTGTACGTGTTTGGGTGATGTGTTGACTGTGCACTACGACCATGTTTGTCGTAGTAACGTTCGTACCCGCCCCTACTGGACATCTTCCGGCAGTATAAACAAATATTCTGATGCTGCAGACACCCGGCCCCCTCTCCTCCCCGCGTGGAGAGCGAAGGGGCGGTGCGGGCGGCGGCCCTCACGGGCGGCGCGTGGCGGCCACGTTGATTTGTTGTCGTGTCGCCGTCGGGAGAACGAGAAACGGGCGGAACGCGTCGAGCGGCGTGGGCGGGCGAGGAGGACGACGACGACGACGGTGGCAGCGGCAGATGAAATATCGGCACAAATTCACCGCGCCGGCCGTGGGTTTGGCGAGTTCTGACCGGCCGCTTGATAAATTTCGGGTTTAATTTGGCCACGTGAGAGGGAGGAATTGATCGTTTGAAAAAAAAAAACCGATATGGGAACATCTGTCATTCGTTAAGGGAAGTCTGAAGGGCACATTACATGCAAGGCTGAATTCATGCATTTCAATCGGTAGCAATAAAAGCTCCCTTCCCTTTCCCGTGCAGCCCATTTGTCTCGCGGGGGAGAGGGAATGCCGGGTGCCGGGGTCGCGCCGCGTCCCAGTGACCAGAGCACCAACCCACGCCGCTCGTCACGGCCGTCCCGAGTTCACTCTGCGGCCGCCCCCCACCCCCAGCGCCCAACCCCACCAACCACCCCCAACGCGAATCCCGACGATCGTAACCAGGCGAGAGCTGGAGGGCATTTTCAATCATCGCGCTTAAATCATTACGGGAATGGGATCTTTCTGTAATGCCTCTCGTGCCCCCCTCTCTCTCGCACACAAAGGTCCTCCCCGCGCGTAGCCCGCCTCTTAAGGCTGGCGTGGCGTACGTCCGGCCACCTTTGTCTCTCCCCAGTGCTGATGCTCACACACTGCAGCAGCAGGTACTCATTTCAGGCTTGGTTGACCTCGGGAAGTTCCAGTGATTGAGTCAGATAATCGCCCCTGAATGTCAGCCATGGCCAGGAATTGAACTCGGGCAGCCAGGTTCATAGCGCAGTGCGCTACCTACCAGGTCATCGAGCGGTGATGGTGTTACCAAAACACTATAAGTGTACCTAGCCAGGCCATGTGACTCGCTGTAGGAGGTCAAAATACAGACCAAGGTGACAGGAGGTCATGGGACAGACCGCGGGTGTTACATGTTGACGATCAGACAACCTGTAACACCTCGGTCTGTCAGTCAACCCACACAGAAACAACAACGACAACAACCGCCATTCGCCACTACGCTTGTGCCAGGCTATGTGCACGTTAAGGCTATGTTAGGTGTCGAACGCCCGCTGGTAGAAGGTCACGGGACAGACCCGGGTGCCACTGGTCGACTGGCCGATGCACCACCTGTGCCCTCTACTGTGCCAACACACACACACAGACACACACACAGACACACACACAGACAGACACACACACAGACAGATACACACGCGCTATCCTGTCCCACCCGTCCGCTTTGCCCACCGCCCGTAATACTCACAGTCGGCCGCCATCCCGGCAGCCAAGCACTTGCGGAAGCGGCACTCCTGGCACTGGTTGCGAGTCACCCGGTCCACGGCGCAGCGGCCGCCGAACTTGCAGGCGTACGACGGGTGCAGCTTCTTCTGGATCGTGCGCCGGAAAAACCCCTGGATGGACGGACGTACGGAGAGACACGCCGGAAGTGAATGGCTGGCGATGGCATCACCGATAGCAGCACGGGAGAGGAAGCGATTCCGCCCAGCGCGACGCCGGCGCCGTCGAGCTCCGCGCGTCACCTCCCGTCCAACGGCACGCATGGGAACAGAGGCGAGAGTTTTTTCACCCCCCCCGATATATTGTTTATCCGGCGATTTGAGTAATCGATGACTAAAACCACGGCTCGGCCCGCCCACTCCCCTGCCCCGAGCCCGGCGCCGGCGCGTCGGGGACGGCAGCGGCCGCCCCCTCCACCCCCCGGTCCCGAGCCCCGCGAGGCTGCGAGGCCCCGCAGTCAAAATCAATTTGGCCTCAAATTAAATTGAGCACGGGCGGCTCTCGGCGGACCGCGCAGCGGCACGGGGCCGGGGAGCAAGCGGCGCGGGTGTCACTCAGCCCGAGCACGCCGGCCTGCGCGCAGGAATGAGCTCTCGGCCCGGCGAGATCTGCAGAAGCTTTTGGCTCAATCGCCGTTGTTGTTTTTTTTGAGAAACAAAGAGCACCTTCATGGGCACCGTAATGCAGATGAATGCCTTTCTCAAAAGTGCTGCTCGACCGCGTTACCGAGAAACGCCCGATGCTGTTTAATTTATCCATTTGTGCGGCGGCGGTGGTGAATTACATTTGCCTCTTCCTGTCTATACAACTGTGGGGGGGGAGTGAGTGGGTGGGTGGGTGGGTTGGGCAGGCAGGCAATTGGGTGAGCGGGTGGGCGAGTGAACGGGAGAGTGAGGGGGCGGACGACCAAGAGGGTGAGCAAGCGGGCGAGTGAGCAAGCGGGCGAGTGAGCAAACGGGCGAGCGAACGGGCGGACGAGCGGGCGAACGAGCGGGTGGCGGGCAGCCTGGGCGACACCTATGGGAATCACCTTGCAGCCCTCACAGGTGATGCAGCGGTAGTGGTAGCCCGTGGCCTTGTCCCCGCACACCACGCACGGCTCGTCCTTCTCCAGGTAGCTGGGGATGTAGCCTCCTGCTGGAACGCATGCGCACACACAGACCCCCCCCGGGTGGCCGTTTACAAAGACCGTCGGTGACCAGTGCGGTCAGCGAGCACCTATTACAGCCGGCGTGGCGCTCAAATGGTTGGTGGTCCCGCCAGGGGTTTGCGCCATTTAAGGCCAAGTCGACCGAGGGGAGGGGCTCAGGAGTGATTCAGACATCCTTTTCCACGTGCACACACGCGCACTTTGACACGCACCGTGCGCATTTGCGCGCGTGCGCTCAATCACGCCGAGTGGCGAGCTACGTGGGCCCGAGTTGGCCCCTCGCGCCCCCCCCTGCCGGACGGCTCGTGACAGCGCTCCGGCCGAGTAACAGAATCAGAGTCCCGCTGGCGCGAGCGTTTGAACGGCACGTCGGGGGGGGGGGGAGGGGGGGGTGGTATTTTGAGGGGGTGACGGCCGAACCGGTCTGACGCAGCGTGGCGCGATTCCCAGCGCCGCACCGCGCTGTCTGTTCCCCCCCACCCCTCACCCCCTGGTGGGGGGTGAGGGGTGGGGGGGAACGGGGAAGGGGCAGCGTGGGCCGCCGCCGCCGCACACAGGCACACACAACGCACATTCATAGCGCGCGCGGACACCGTGTGTTAAACAATGCAGTCAATGACAACCACAACAGTTGGATTTGAATGCCGAGAAGACACGAGGCATTTTAGATATCGTTTTGACATTTCTCGCTGTACTGCGTGGGGGTGGAGGCGGGACGTGGGTGGGGGACAAGGGGAGAGGAAACGGGGGGGGGGGGGGTGGGGACCGATGGCACGGACCGAGCCGCTGCACGCGGCAGCAGAGATCGCAAATTGGCAACAACCTGAAGAAAAACTGAAAGCCCCCAAAAACATTATCTATTCACGAAATCTACGCTTGACGAAAAACAGCTTTTGAAAGAGCTCCGGGCTGGAAGGGGGCGCGGCGGAGGGGAGTGGTAGCGGGTGGCGGCGACCCAGCCGGCGCTGGCTGCCAAGCGGGGCAGCCCGTGCCCGCTGCGGGGATTGGCGCAGCTCACGGCTTGGGCGACCTCCAAGCGCGGCGACTGCCAACCGCGCTCCGCGGAAGCACGCTCAGGGTGCGGACGGGAGGGGGGAGGGGTGCACAGGACGCGGCCAACACGAGCGGAGCGCCGGCGGCGGAGCCGGCGCGGGAGAACTCGTGTGACCCCGTGCCGAGAGACGGCGCCCTCTGCCGCTCGCAGGCGCCGACCGATTCTCGAGCCGTTACGTCGACGCATCGTGCCGAGATGTAAAGGCCGCGTAGCGTCGATCGCCGACAGAGCGGCGAGTGACAATGGGGAGCGATGGCGGCGGCACGGCGCTAACGTGCCAACGCGAGTCTTGGCTGGCATCCGCCATGCCGGCGCCCCAATAAAAACGCGGAATCCTCAGTGCAGCTCTCCGGCATCGAACACTCTCCGCTAAAAAACTGTTGTTTTAAGTTTTTCGTGGCATTCGACGGTCAGGTAATAAAAATGCTGGCACGGGCGCTCGGAATAATTCCACTTGCCATTCGAGCAGTAATTATTGTTATTACAATTTCAATTATTTTTTTCCCACCCGCCCCACCGTGAAAGCGACAAAGGAAACTCAGAAAACTTTGCTGAGGAATGAATTCGGATTCCCCGGCTGTTCCCAGCGGCCGCCCCCCGTGGGGAGAAGAGACTCCAGATCCGAGTCGGCCGAGTGGGTGGCCTCGTGGATCAAACCCTGCCGGGTCGCATGGCGGCGGGCGGGCGGGCGGTACCCAATTACGCCAACGGCCCGTGCGGCGAGGCCCAGCTGCGAGCCGTCCCATGGGGACGGCACGGAGCAGTCGCCCGCGCGGGGACCGGGGTCGCGCCGAGAACCAAACTCGCCCGGGGACGGCAAACGAAGCGGCGTGGTTCCGCTGAACCTGACGACATCATGCGGCACCGGCGGGCCGCTCCGGGGCGGTACGCGGCACGCTCGGACGACCGCCAATTTCGGTCTCTTTCTTTGAAGCGATGCGCGTGGGCATGCCGCGTTTAAACGCACGCCGCTCGACGGACTCGTGCCGCCGCACGCCGAGTCGGCGTCGGCGCCGGCGCCGGTGCGACTGGGCTGCGTTCTTCCGGCAGGGTCTGCTGGGAGACGCCCCGCGGAGATTCGGTTTGCAGCGGAGCCGTCCGTGCCGAGGTTGAGTTGTCCACTCGGAGGCAAAGGACCTACGCTGGGCCAACCGGTTTCATCCGTATGGAAAAAAACATCTGGAATAACCGGCAAAACAATCCAGCACGAGCCCTGCCCCGAAAAGAATCCTCGACACTAATTGGGGTTTATTCGATTGTATAAAAGGGAATTTATTATTACGGTCGTAAATCGTGGCAAGATTGTCTTACCCGCTACACCCAATACCCGCTACACCCAATACCCGCGCTTACAAAAAGTTTTGAAAGCCGCTGGCAAAGTGCGAGCGAGGCAGCGCTCGCGCGGACAGCCGCCAACACCTGCCGCTGCGACGCCCCCCCACCCCCGCCGCCGCCCACGGGATCCTCGGGGCCAGCGGCCTCCGAGGTCACGCGGAGCTCGGATCCTTGGAGGCCGCCGGGGGCCGCGCTCCGCCGCGAGCCTCGCGGTGCCGCCGACTGCGTGGCACCGAGCGGGGAGAGGTCACGGCAAGGCGGACTCCGGGAAAGCCCACGGCCCGCCGCCGAGAGCTACTAACTTATTCATTCGCTCTGCCAAGCGTGACGTGCGCCGCCCGGCGAGACGGAGTTGAGGGCATCGCTTTCACCGGGTCGCTCGCGGGCGTCCCGGCGGGAGAGGCTCCGGCCCGCCCGCCCGCCCGCCGCGGCACCCGGTTACCGAAACCGGTCCCGAAGCGACGCGGTTCGGCAAGGGGGCGCCGCGCGCCGCCCTCCCAAAACGGCAACCCCCCCCCCCCCTCCTCTCGCCTCCCCCCGCGGTCCCCAAACTCGTTTCGCCGCCCGTCGTTCATCCGCCGCCCGTCCGTCAGCCGCGGACTGCCCCCGGGGTGATGTGGCTGCCTGCCGGTTTAATTACGAGCAGAGCGTCACACGACGGTGAGATATAAATCGATGGCCGTGTTATAATGCGCGTCACGCGCACCGTGCCACGCGGCGTGCCACGCGTGCCGACCCTACCGACTCCTGCGGGACGCCGCCACGGAGTCTTCGGCCCTTTTGCCGCACCACAAAAACATTCGACGCAATTTTTGCTTTGATCGGCGCGCGGCGAAATGGATTACGAGCACCACAACGCGGAGAAGCCGACAACGGTTGTGCTATGGATAGACTCGCCCCTCCCACACCTCCCCGGCCATAGGAATGTAGAATGTCTACCGCCAGCTCCAGGGCTGTAAACGGGAAACGAGCATCACCTCGACCGGCATCCCGGCCCGGCGGGGGCCACGGGGGGGGGGCGGCGGGGCGGACGCGCGAGCCGTACCTTTCAGCTTCTTGCTGGACTCCCCGCGACTCGGCGAGCCGGGGCTCTCGCAGCCGCTGCTGCTGCCGGCGAGGAGCGGCGCGGCGAAGGGCGGCACCCGCTCGTCCGTGGAGGAGCAGGACGACGACGAGGAGGAGGCGAAGGAGGGGCAGCTCGTCGCGCCCCCCCCGCCGCCCCCCACGCCGCCCCCCCCGCCCCCCCCCGCCGGCAGGTCGTCGCCCTCATCGTCGTCGTCGGCCGGGCGCTTCGGGGGGCGCTCGCGCTTGCAGCGGGAGCCGGCGCCCCCCCGTCCCCGGCCCCCCCGGCCGCCGCGCGTCCCGCTCGTGCCTGCAAACGGAGCGGGGGGGGGGGGTTATGAAGTGCGACGGCCCGGTCGCCAGAGACCCCGTCGGTCGCGGGGTGTCGGTTGCCCATACTTCACCATCGCTTGCCACTACCGCGGACGTCAACACAAAAACATCGCACCCCTCCTGGATTTAATGCTCCTCCTCCTCCTCTGCGACACCGGTGGGACCACCAACCGCATCGGAACATCACCAGGCCGAAGTGCACCGCGTCACCTTCATAGTACAAAAACAGAGACACGGCCACAGTCGTACGAGTGTGGCCGTGCAGCCCACACTATGGACCGTGCAGTAAAACCACTGCGGTCAGCAGACCTCCACGAACGCTCTCTGCCGAAGCAGACATTTGCATCGAGCACCTGAACAGATTGCCGCCGTACCCAACAGCAGAACTTGCCACCGATGTCATCTGTGGCAGGGAATCGCGGTGGTTCGCGCACTACTGTTGCTACTACTATTATTATTAAAACTCTGTTCTGCCGACAGGAACCCGGGCCTGCGGTGAATTATCTCGTTGTTGTTGAGCAGCAGAGGCTCCCCACCCCCAGGCCTGCCGCCCTCCTCCTGCTCGGGGCCCGCATCGTCATCTCTCACGACCTTCCCGTCTCGGTAGAGAACTCACGACACACCGCGTGTCGCACGCGAGGGCTGTGGTGGACGTGGAAACCGCGGCACGGCACGGCCCGCAGGGACGGGAGCCGCACTGCGCGCCGAGATCCGGGACGTGTGGCGAGAAGCCTGTGTGTGCTGGCACCCTCGCAACCAACGGGATATTGCAGCACGATTCACATCTTGAGACTCAATGAGATTCACATCTTGCGACTCAATGGTTCACATCTTGAGATTCGATAATTCCGCTAGTTAGTGTTTTCTCTCTGGAGAATGTTGTTTAGTTTTGTTGTTTTAATAGAATGTCATTGTAATCCACTGCAAATCAATGTTTGATCGCACCCCAAGACAGAGCAAAACAGCAGCAGCGCAGTGGTCAGCGCACCGCACGATGTAGCCGGCATCCTACCATTTATTCCTGGCCACAGCTAACATCAGTGGTGAGCAATATCTCAACCAGGCCGAACCTAGGCCTCTCCCTACCTTCAGCAACATGCACCGACCAACGTGAAGTAAGATTAAGCAACCCCCATTGGCCGATGCATGGGGTGGATAATTATTTTTGATGACGCTTAAAATGTGGGACCCCCACCAATCCGACTTGGCCAGCACCGCCGAGCGGTGGCAAGCAAGGCGTCGTGACCACGGCCTGCCAACGCCGACACGGCAGCGGCAGCCCGTGGCGGAACCGGCGTCGAAGCCTCCGCATGCGGCACCCGCCGCCCTCCCTTCACCCCACATTTACCCTTCGCGAGCGCTCTCCCCCTCCTCCTCCGCCGCCATCCCCCCCATCGCCCCCTCCAGCCACCGCACGAAAGGCCTCGCGTGGAATCAAACGGCCTTGGCTCCGGTACCGGCGCTCGCCCCGCGCCCCGCAGCTCGGCAAGATCGAGCGGCGGTGCCGTCCCTCACCGTCGGACGGCGGCGGTCGCCCGGGGGCGGCCGGCGCGACCGTCGAGGCTCGGCCCGGCGGGCGACGCGGGCCTTCGATCGGGGTTCGCGCGGGGAACGGCAAACGCGCGCACGCGGACAAATCGCTGGGACGCGACGAGCGTCGCGCGGGTCTAATCGCTTCACCGATGCCCGCAGGATCCGCCGCGCTCACGCCGAATGGCATCGATTTTTTATTTTACTCTGTCGATGGCGAAGATGAAAATGTAACACTCAAATCAGCGCGGCATCGATCGCCATCGACTGCCTGCTGGGACTCACGAGGCGGAGGGGGAGGGTTCTGTAAACTCCCACTTGGCCGTGTTTGCCGTCACGAGCGCGTGACACCACGGTGTGCTGCCCTCCAATCTCCCGCTTTATTTATATATTAAAATAATTGCCATTGTCGTTGAGTAATTGCGTAATTGGGGGTTTGACGGCATCTCCTCGGCGGTGACGGAATTACGCGAGACGGCAGCCATCACTCCGCGACAGCCGCGTGGCTCTCGTGCGTCGGCGTTTCTGTGGCTTTGTGTATCGGGGTTTGGGAGAATTGCGTGTGTAAATAACGATTCTTTTGAGGATTCTGTATATTACGATCTTTAGTTGATGTCCTTGGAGATTTTAAGATCTTGTCAAAATACGTCAAAGCCAACGGAGCCAGCGCTGGAAATTCCACATTCCTACGGTGGCGGTGAATCTTTCCGAAGAACCACCACTGTTGACGTCCCTGGCGAGTGCCACCGATTTGACGTGACCCGGGGTAGACGATGCGCCGAGCCAAGCCCCAACAAGGGTTTGAACTCGTCACCTGCCCACTGCGTGCCGCTCGCTCCCCTGCTGAGCCACGCGGCCCGAGGGTAGGGGGGTAGAGTCTGCGTAGGGGGGGTCCGCAGGGTCGCACGCACACAGGGCCGAGTATTCTGTATACGAGGGACCGGAGGCCTCCGTTTAAACGGCCTTGAGGCCTGCGTACGGTAGGCTGCTGCAGCGGGGGGTGGAGGGGGTCCGCACGACCGTCCGGTTCCCTGTGGGCACGACCGCCAGGGCGGCCACGGACGCCCGACTCCACGGGCCCCGCGCCGTCCGGTGCGGCGCGTCGCCGCCCCCCCAGCATCTGGTTCGCGACGGGGGGGTTCTGCGCGTCTGCCAGCGGTCTCGTCCGCGCGCGCCGCGTGCGAGCTCGCACCGCGCCATCCGGACGGGCGACTCGCGCGCCGCTGCTCGCCCAACGCGCGGCGTCCGTTGCTCAAGAAGCTCACGGCTTCTTGTAATGGCGGTGGGGGAGGGCGCAGCAGTGTCGTGTGTGTGCAGGAGGCGGTGTGAGCGTGTGGTGGTGGTGGTGGTGGTGAAGCGTGTGGGGTGGTGGTGGGGGGCAAGACAAACAGGGCCGAGTCAGTCTCCCGTGCGGGTGACAGCTCGGGGTTTAATTGGAGGGCCCAGGCGTGCTGGCCCACGAGCGCAAACCCCCACGCAAGCGCACGCGCCGCTTCTCTCGCCGAAATCAATTAAAGGAGAGCGCTAATGAGCAGCGCCGCGGAGTTTGGCCGATTTCCGGTATTTTTCTGCCGCTGGCGAGAGGGCGGTTTAAGTGACAGATCACGGGGAGAGGGTTCACTCACCACCCTCACCTGCCTCTCTCCACAGCGCCACTCCCCCACCCTCACCGCCCTCTCTCTACAGCATCACTCCCAACCCTCTGGACTGGTTCGTGTTTGCGACCGTAACTCCACGTTCGCGCCCGCTCCTGAGCCCAACTCTGCAGCCGTTGTGCGTCGCCACTCCCCAAACCCGTTCCCTGCTGGCCACTCCTCGTCACCATCGCCGTGCTGTCGGCAACATCCACTTTACATCCGCGCCCACTCGTCCGCATGGCGAACACCCTCTGGTGTCGCTGTGAAGCTCACCGCGCACGCTCATCCGGACATCTAGTGAAAATGAGCTTCATAGCTCATCGGATTCCTCCAGTATGATGGCGAAACATCTTCTGGTGCCTCACTCCCCTCCGTTGCTCTCTTCGTGTGAACTCCGCGTCGTTGTTGTTCCCGTCTTGTCGGTGTCTTTTTAAAATCTCACGAGAAATATTTTAATTTTAGCCTGGGGTTGTAAGCGATGACTGCTGCTTCAATCTGCCCCGAGTCACACAGAGGCAGGATTGAGGGCACCCATCCCACGACTGAGATATTTCACTTCTGTGAGGACATTTAGTAAATAGCTCCGCAAACTTTGTTCCGACAGCTGGTCCCGCTTCTTTGATGATGGTCGCAGTTATTCCATATGGCCCAGAAGCGTTGCCACGTTCTTACTGCATAGGGCGGTGTTTACTTTTTTGACGTGTGACATCTGTAACTTCCTGCGCTTCGTCGGAAAAACGGTACGATTCCTGGAATGTGTTAATGTTTTGCTAAATATATAGTCGGGAAAAAGTGATACGGTCGTGGGCCATTGGGTTGTGAATTCCTTTAATCACGATGCCTATGACTGACTGCCTCTATAAAATAAATATGTCGGCTATTTTTGCGTCTCGATGGGCGGTCACATCTCGACGCTACGTAAACACAACCGGTCGCGAATTGTACATGGCGTGCCCGTCCGCGGCGTCACGCGACTCGTCCTTCGCTCGCGCGGGCCGCACGTTTCGCGCCCAACGGACGAGCACCGATTTATTTTCTTTCCGTTCGTTTCGACGCGGAAACCTTCGTGGGCCGCGCTCGAGAGCTCCGTGCCACGCCGGGCGCGGCGTGTCGGGACAGCCCTGCGAAGAGCCGTCCCCCCCCCGCTGCCCCCGCAACCCCCCCACCGCTCCTACGCCGCGACAACCAAATGGAAAACAATAACCGGCATCCACGTCGACGCTCGACCAGGTCCACCGCACGCCCGCGCGGCAGCGGCGTCGAGCGTCTAATTTTACCTTCCCAAGGTCGGCGCGGAGCGCGGTTGATGACACTCGTTTTAACGGTGCCTAGGGGACCTCAAACAACAAGGGGAACAATGTTTCGGCTGCGCCGGGGTCGCGTTTCACTTTAAGCGTTTTTTAGCGCCGCCCCTAACAAACTTGATATTCCGCCTCCGCGAGGAGGGGGGGGGGGGGGAACGTGCGGAGTCTCGATTCCAGGTGGTCGGGATTTTCTACCGCGGTGCCGGCCAAGTCGGAGAGCGAAGCCTGGGACAGCGCCGTGCGCTCCGTGCTGCACTCGGGGTCCAATCGACGGGGACCCGGCACGGGGCGCTCAACATCGACACGGCCAACCCGAGCACCCGGGACAGAATTGAAGTCACTCGGCGGGGATGAGGCAGGGCGACAGAGCCCCCTACCGCCAGACTACACCCGTCCGCAAAACGCATCGGCGCCTTCCTTCGTTTTAGCGTCGTGTGACGTGAATACCAAAACGTATTTCCGGAGGTGCCCAGCACAGGGATGGAGTTCAACAGTAGCAGCCTAACCGGAATTCGTCAGTGACCACCATAGGAGCAATCCAAATTTACTCCACCCATTATTGTTGCTGTTGTTGTTGTTGTTGTTATAACCACAGAGACAGCAATCCCCCAGATGCAAGGCCTCCGCCTTCTCCCCCCGATATCAATGCACTTTGACAATCAATCATCTGTTGAGAAGCAAGCAAGAGGATGATTAGAAATCAGTGGGGTGTCTAAAATGCACAAGAACATTCTAGGCGGAAGGCAAAAAATAATTAATCCCATGAACAAACGAAGAGCAAAGTGCAGCGACGACCCTCACTGCCGTGGTCTAGGCTCCAGTCTCTCTCTGTCTGTGGGAAAGGAAGGCTGCTGCTGCTGCTGTTGTTGTTGCTGCCCACACGTCGCCTCCTGTCCACGTCTCCTTGTCGGGCCCCAGCGTTGCCGGCGAACGTGCCGGCTTGTTTTGTTGACCGTGCTTGTGCACCGCTGCCAACGCAGCAGCAGCAGCAACGCGGGCTTCCACTCCCACCCAACTCCGCGTCCGTCTTTCTCTCAGGCGACCCCCGTGCGCGACCCCGGCGGACACGCGACGCCCACACAGGGAAAGGGGGTGGGGGGGAGGCGGAGCCAAGCGAAGGGTCGGGGGTCGGGAGGTGCGGGGGCGGGGATGCGGTGACGCTCACCTGCCATCGGGAGCTGCTCACGAGGGGCTGACGAAGACGAAGGCCATCTCGGGGCGTGCGCCCTCAGCCCTCGGACATTCCTGCGGGAGACAAGGCGCCCACGCGGCCACCGAGCGTCACAAAGCGCGGCCGCTCCGCTCGCGCCCCTCCGCGACTCGCCGTGCCCCCCCACCCCCCGCCCCCACCTCCCGCCCCGCACGCCGCCCCCCGCCCGGGGGACGCGAACGCCGCGCCGCCGCATCTCGGCGACGGAGGTCGCTCGAGCGACGCGGCCGGCTCGGGGGCGGTGGCGTCGCCACGCGGGTCGCCGCGCGGGCTGGCGTCGAGCGCGGCGGCGCTGGCCGCACGGCTTGCGGAGTTTGTTCTTTAAATAGCAAAGTGAATCAAAAACAAGGCGGCCGCTCGCCAGCCCCGCAGCGGCAACGAGAGAGAGAGAGAGAGCACCGGCGAGTGTCAATCTTTATTTAGCCCTCAGGGTCATTAGGTCGCACAGCGAGTCCCGGCACTCGTTACTCCGGGGCACGTGGGAGGTTGTGACAACGTTTAAAATAACACGATGCCAACGCTGCTGCTGCTGCTGTGGATTTAAGCTTGTCTGTGTGTGTGTCTTGTGTCTGTGTGTCTTGCGCATCTCTCTATCTGTGCGAGTGTGTGCTTCTGTGTGTGTGTGTCAATTCGTACCGTCTTTGTTTTGCGCGCGGCTGTGTTTGCGTGCGCCCGTCTGTGTGCGTTGTGCATCTCGCCGTGTGCGTGCGCATGTCTGTGTGTGTTTTACGATCCGATTGAGAACGTCTTTATTGAGTGCGATTTGTTCTCACTTCTACGAATGCCTTCGTCGGCCGGCATACCAAACCGTGACGGCTTGAGAGGGGTTGGGAGGGGTGAAGGACTCTTAGAAAGGGGTGCGTGCGTGCGCGTGTGCGTGTGGCAGCGCGCGCGTCGATCGGTCTGAACTATATTCTCCGCATTACTCAACCCACAGTGGGCTGCTCATCCGTGTGGTTCAGCCTGCGGGATGGCTAATTACGACGAAGATCTGGCACCCAAACATCATTAGCCGTCAAGCCGACTTTTTCCACGGAAAGCGCAGCTCATGAAAGCTGCAAGTGTCACTCGATAGTCCGCTCCCTCTCCCTCGCTCTCTCTTTCGTGAGTGGGCAGGCGGGCCGGCAGGCGGGCCGGCAGGCCGGCCGGCTGGCCGGCCAGGCCGCGGACCGTACAGACTCGCTGGCTCCGCTCCAGCACGGTTACGCTGCCCGGACCGCCGCAACCCGACACGGGGGGGGGGGGGTTGGGGGCTACGCACGCCATCGCGGTCCCGCGCGTCCCGTCGTCTATTTCACGCCTCGGCCCGGCTCTGCGTCACTGGAACGCGCCGTAGCGAGCGATCGGCGGCGACCGCGAAGACTCCAGAAATCATAAAGAGATGTCAACGTGAGACACGGGAGTGGGGGCCGCGGGGGAGAGGAGGGGGGGCTCGCAAAGCGGCCGGAGCTGCCTCGCCGCCGCGGCCACCCGTTTTTAGATGACAGGATTAGACAGGAATTTTAAATGGATCATTTTATTTTTATTGAAGGCCGTTATCTGCCACAATGGTAATGATGATTTTATCTCTCGCTGAAATTGGTCTTGGTTTTTTGCGGACTTGGGAGTCATTTCAAGTGCATTAAACATTAAACACATTTAGCGTTGAGGGGGGAAGAATGCGTCTCGTGGTTCCAATTTGAGACGCATTTTTGTGTTGTTAACCCGTTCGCGCGTCGGGCACCACGCACCAGCGGGCGCACGCGTTCCCAAAAAATATATATTTCTAAACCGGATAAAAATTCTAATCACCGTTACGCGGGATTTCTCATCCCTTCCTCGCTTTTATCTTGAGAAGCGCTTACGGTGCCGGCCGACAGCCATCAGATGAAATGTGTGACATTCTCATCTCGTTTTTTTTTTTACGCAAAATAAAAAATAAAAAACAGAGCGCGAGGCGCTCCTCCACGATAAACCAATCAGCTCAGGAGCTTAACGAGATAAATGTGAGCGGTGCGGGTTTTTTCTTGCGCCCGTGTCACCTTCACAGCGCCCGGAGTGACATGGAAAGGGGGGGGGGGAGCGCGGGGGGGGGGGGGGCAGCCATCTGAGCGACGCCTGGGACGCACGCAAGGGAGAGAAGCCACGGGACACGCGGCCACATCACACACGGCCCGCAATCCCCACCGTCACCCGGTCCGTCTCCTCGCCTGGGAATCATCACAGCGAGAGGGTGGAGGGGGCTGCTGCTGCTGCTGCGAGGAGGAGGAGGGGGGTGGGGAGAGAGACGCGGCTGGACTGATGGGGCGTCTTTCATCCCACTTCCCGACGGCCAGCAGCTGCCACAACGGGTTAGTCTCGTGTCGACGCAAGCGCTGGGCGGAATTGCGGCGGTGAAAATAATAATAGTAATAATAAAAAGGACAAAAATTACTGAAGAAGAGAAGGGAGAGCATAACGCCAGAGGAGGATAGGGGGCTTCAAAACTGCATCCTGCCAGTGCGCGCACTCACGCACGCACGCACTCACGCACGCACTCACTCACTCACTCACGCACGTGCGCCACGTGGATCGGAGCCCGTGCGCCGTCACACGCGGTTCTAATTTCTGTCGGCGGGGGGAACGGGCCCGCGCGCGCCATGGGAAGCGCCGCCGACTAAAATTTATGGGGCTCGGTGGCCGCTCCGCTTGTTCGGCCATCACTCTCACCGCTTGTTCCGTACGAGTTGCGCCCCGTCCCAATTTACGGCGCTCCGCCGCCGGCGCGCGGGTGGCTCGGCGCTGCCACGCATCGATCCGTCTCCGCCAATCGCGGAGACTGCTCGCGCCCGCGCGGGCACCGCACATTCCAACATCTGCCGCGATAACGCTCGGGACTTCATCACCGTCGTCGCCGTCGTCGGCCGCGATCAATCGACCTCCGGACGGAGGCCTCCCCCCACGAGCCGCAGCGGCCGCCCGCGATGCCGCGACGGAACGAGCCGCTCGGCGCCTGCGCTCCGACTCCGGCCCGAGCCCTTCTCGGACGTCGAGCGCCGCGCATTTACTCCGGCGCAAACGCAGCGGCCGATCGTCTCCACCGAATACCCCGAGACGGTCATGGAAACTCCGCATTCTCACGGCAAGGGCCAGCCCACCGGAGAGCCCGGCCGCACGGGCGCCTCCGACAACCTATTTGTGCACGGCGGTCGCCCATCCGAGCATTGTCCAGCCTCAACCCTGCTTAGCTTCCGAGATTTGACAAGATTGGGCGCCTCCCGCGCGATACGGCCATAATCAGTGGCGCACCAAGGCCTCCGCATGTCGTGTCGGCCACCAGAGCTGTCCGACCGCACGACGTTGGACAGTGCGGACAGTGCGGACAGTGCGGACAGTGCGGGGGCCGGGAGGAAGCAGAGAGAGGCGGTTTGGTCCTAAGGCTGCTCGGCGCGTGAACGTGGCGTGCGCACACACGCATACACATGGCGTGCACGCGCATGCGTGCGTGCGCATACACGTGGCGTGCGCACGCACAGCGTGAACGTGGCGTGCGTGCGCGCGCGTGAACGTGTCGTGCGCACGCGTGAACGTGAGCTGGCGTGCAGCTGGTACGGCCAAAGCCTAGGGCCGACACGTCGATTGCGGCGAGGGTTGGCGTGCGTTTCCCGCGACCCCCAACGCGCGAGCGGAAAAACTTAAAACCCCCTCCTCTCGGATCGCACCGGCACCGCGAGGCCCAGGCCTCCGCATCTACAGAGCAGAGTCGAGGGGAAACGGGGGCCACGGACGGAGTGGCGTGGGGGCGGAGGGGAGAGGAGACGGGAACGCGGAGGAGAGGGAACGGGGAGGAGGGCAGAACGCGGCGTTTAAAGCCGCGGCACCAGCGTGACGTTACAGCGACGGACGCTCCCGTCAATGGCCCCCGACCCCGCGGAATTTCAAACGTATAATCGGCCGCAAGCGACGCGCGTGATTTGCCGCTAATAGCAGAGGCGTTGTCTTTATGCTCCGCCTGTCAACACAGTCACCGGCTTCAGGAACAGGAGGCTGCATCCCGGCGCATGGCAGCGCGTGAACGAGCGAGCGGGCGGGCCCCAAGGGCAAGGCATTATCTCAACCCGGTGCAGCCGCCGCACGCTTGCGCATCCCGAAACCGCTACTGCCACCACTCACGCTCCACCCGATCCCGCTCCATGAGCAGCCACGCCGCACTGCTCTTGCCAAATCCGGGCGAGCAAACCGGGCCTCCCGAAGGCCGTGTTGTCCATAAACAGTGGCAACAGCTGCCCTGTCAGCGCGCACGTCCCAGCACGCAGCTGTCGTGCTGCTGGCCACACCGTACCCACACCTGCGCCGCTCTGGTGTACACAACAAGCAAGCCCGCGCTGCTCACTCGACCCTGCCGTGACCTCGCCGGCAGACAGGACGGGCGACGACACGAGATCGCCCCACTCACGAGGCCTCCGTAGGAGGCAGTGGCCGGCGCCCGATCGGTGGCACGGGCGATGGCCGTCGCTCCCGCCGCCGGCGCCCAACTCGGCGCGTCGTCGTCGCCACTGTGCTCGCACGCTGCCCCCCGCCGCTTTTAACACCTCGAGCGATATTCCCCTTCGTTCACAATGTGGAGCAGTGCGAGCTAAGGGGACTTAATTTCACTTAAGCAATTGAATGAAACTGGCCCCCGACCTTTACATCGCGAGAGCTCCGCAGCGGAACACGTCCTCTCGACAAACAAAACGAGAATTAAACGATCGTCGCTGTCGTTGCCGGACGTCGCCTCGGTCGAGACGCCCTCCCGCTCGGCGGAAGCCACGTGCCAACGCCTGTAGAAATTCACCGCGAGTGTGAACTCAAGAGCGGCATCGTCACCGTCACCGTCACGTCGCGCTAAAACCTCCCCGGGGCCGATCGCGGGAGATTAAAGCGTCGCATCGACTCGGGCGTCTGAACGGGTCGCGGTGCGAGACACGGCAGGCGGCGGGGTGTGCCACGCCCTCGGAGTGTCGCTAACAACGCCGTTCACGCCGCGACGCCGGGGTGCGTACACCGCGACGGGGGAGACACAAACAACAAGATC